CAGTCACAAACGTCGGGCTTAATCTCTCACTCGATGTTTTCCGGAACGTTGCTAGGCCGGCTTGGAGTAGGGACCACTAGAGTACACATATCCATAACACTCCGATATTATCGTGCCCGATACTGGACGTGACCTGTACAAAGAATTCCCCGAACAAAGTTGCGAACTGACGCGCACTGGTCACACAGAAAACATTTTCACACACAGAGTTGTGATCAACAAATAAATAAATAAACCAGGGCGCTCCAACAGCCCAACTCGCGCTCTCTGAGCTGGATAAGTTGTCGGTCTAGCGGTTGCTTGTGTGTTTGTGTGTGTACATGCCACGGGGAGTACGAGTCATTGTGCGGCGACACGATGCAGTCGAAGCCAAGGGCTTTTGTGCCACGCGTAATGGATTGGGCTGGGAGTCGCGTGTCGCCTCGCACGCGCGAGCGAGACATACGGGAGGCAGCCACGACGCCGCAGACGGTGGGTGCGCCGAGCACGGGGACCACTCGGGGAAATTATAGCCACGGTTTATACAGCGGCCCCCTCCACGGAGCAGCGAGACAAAGGCTCCGCACAGGGAGGAGACGGGGGTGTGGGATGGAGGAGCCTTCGCTTGGGGGAGCTGGCGGGGTTAGGGCTGTGCGGTGTGAGTAGGGGTTGAACTATCGCAAACGCGAGACAAAGGCGGGCGTCCTCATTCACTTTTCATTACAGTATATTGTTATTTCTGGGGTGTTCACCCCCACCGCGCCACCCCTCCGTGCCTCTCCCCCCCCCCGCTCCCTATTCTGCACGGCCCGTGTCGCTTAATCGATCGATTGGGCCGACAACAGGTTGGAGGTGGTGCGAGCGAGTTAATTAAAAAGGGCGCCCCGCCGCCAGGGTCCCGTGTCCCATTCGACACGGGGCGGCCTCTCAATGCGCGGAGTGACGTGGGCTGGCGACTTCGCTCCGAGCGCAGACTCCAAACTCACCCGGCAACCGGTGCCGGGCAACATAGACACAGCCGGAGAGCCAGCCAGCCAGCCAGCCCGCTCAGCCGTCTCACGCCTCAGGATGGGGTCCCCGGTCTGCACCCCCCCTCCCCACCTCGTCAACCCCCTCCACCCACCTCTCACCCGTCCCGCGACAGCCAACACAGCCCCCCACAGTGTGTCCACTTTCCTGCTCGCGTCCATCACTGCGCGCTGGTCTGAATGTGAACTAGGGGGGCGGGGGGGGGGGGGGAGAAAATGCAACACGAGCAACGTGCTCTGCTAAGTTACCCACGGAAGCCTCCCTGAGTCCAGAGAATCTCGGTTTAGCAGGGTCCTGCATCGAGAAACAGGACCCTGGTAAATGTGCTCATCAAAGAGTGTTTAAGCACTTGGGAATAACGTGCACATCTTAAATACAGTCGCCACGCTATGAGATAGACTGACAGTAAAACCCCCGCACCATGCAATTAAATAATGCATTGCTCTAACATGCAAAGTATAATAAATGGTAATTAGTATAGTGTTTGATTTCAGCCAGAACAGTCCTGAACACTGTTCAGAAAATTGTTGGCTACGCCACGTCAGTCTCTTTATTGTGTTCACGTCATCCTACGACAGTGGCAGACCACGTGCGTGAACTCGGGAATATAGATCACAATGATATAACATTATTATGGATAGATGGCAGTGCCATACGCCTATAACACTGACACCAAGACAGCCTAGTTGCGTTCCACAACATGTCGAGTGAAATGATGAGCCCTCTTAATATATTCATGACTCCGTGACGGAAGAAGTCAAATGATGCACTAGTTCTGTAGTATTCCTCCTGTTGATCTGGTGTCAAACAAGAACAAATCTGGGCGGCAGGGTGGTGACGCAGTGGTAGCGCGAGTGCCTCATAGCAAGGCAGGCCCTGGGTTCGATTGCCGACTCGGGCGCCTTTTTCTGGAGTATGTATGTTCTCCCCCAGGTCCTCCCATGTAACTGGTATTGACCAAGACATCCCAATGTTATGCACTTACCTGCAAAATACCTCAATTGGGACTACACAGAGCGAAATCGCCACTGCCAAATCTTGGCAGGATCCTCCGTGGGACGTTCTTGGGTAAACACGCGTCATTAAAACAGTTTCCTACTGCACAGCGGTGGCCAGAGGATGCCTTTATATTGATGGAATTATTGAATCTATTCGCGTGGAGTGTTTTTTTTGTTTTCTTCTCTTTTGCGTGCGGTTTTTCTCCGGGCACTCCGTTTCCTACCAATCGCGTGTACAACACCAAACAACTCTCCCGAACGTCACGCCCTCCCTTACAAGCCTGGAGGGTCTCATGAAGTCAACGCGTGATGCCCACATGCACGGGTATGAAAGCAATGAATGCTGCCACACGGAGCCACTGCCGGCATTGGTGGACAGCAGAAGTTGGATATGGGGTATGGGGGATATCAAGGGCAGAGGGGACAGGGGGATGTCTCAAGGCTGCTGGATGTGTCCCCTTTCAGTTTCCTTCACCAGCCCCCTCGACTCCGCGATCGGGCCCACGTGGACCAATTGCAATAATGACGTCTCAATGGGCTCTGATCCTGCTATAAAGTTCATATTTACGAAACAGACCAAAAACATGCTCGACCATACTTCACCGCGCTGGTGAGTGCGGGTTGGTGAAGGGTGGGCAGGCCCAGGACCACCGGTTGTATTTTTTGCACGCGTCGCTTTGTGTGCAGCGAGCCACCGACTGTGGGCACCGCAAGCAGTGGCCGCCTTGAGAAGTAGGAGGCTGGGGGGGGGGCTCTGGCGAGCAGTGACGGCCGGGGTTGGGGGCAGCAGCGCCACCGCGTGGCCCCGCGCCTCTGCGGGCGCGAGGGCCCCGTGGTGGCGCTGCTCCGCTGCCGCCTGCTGGGCGCTCTGTGAATGAGCGACGCGGCTGGGGTCGCGCCTCTCTCTCTCTCGAGTGGCCACGCATTGATTGTCGTTGTGGTGGAAGCAAGCGCAGCGATGTCCCGCTCAGATCAGCACCGAGGCAATCGCTAATCTCCTAGTTTACCGTCCTGAGCCACTGGTGGAAATTCCACATTCCTACGGGGACGAGAGTGGTAGCCACTGTTGAATTCTCTAGTGGCTACTTGTTTTTTTTTAAATCGACCTTGCAAGGACTATGGGCTGAGTGAACCCCATAACCAGGATTTGAATTCGCAACCTTCCCACGAGAGTTTTCACTTTTTCCGCCGAGCCCTCCGGCTGGATACAATTGGTCTGAACCATGACAAACAATCAACTGAAGTCCCTTCTATTCTAAACGTAGATATACTTGCCAGAGGTCTGTTTCGCTGTGTTCCGGGTTTTTTACGATTTGGACATTACGATAAGTCCGGCAAATCAAAAAACAAGAAGAGCCATTTTTTTAATTCGGTAAAAAAACCCACAATATTTCAAGAGCCACAATGCACATGAATACGAGACGGTCGTCCTGAATAACGTCACGAAACAGTCCTTAGTGAGCCGCATGTGGTTCCGTAGCCAAAAGCTACCGACCCCTGCCCGTGGTAAACTGGACTTCCATGTTTCGATTTAAAGCTTTCGTGACTGCAATGATTCATCTTCTTTGGTTCTTTCGGTAAAGTCACGTAGAATGAGAATAAAATAAATTGATAAAATAAAATAAGACGAGACTGTCTGGTAGGACAGCGCTGTCCTACCAGACAGTCTCGTCCCTTCACCTGATGAAGGCCGCTTGTGTTGTGGCCGAAACGTCGTAAGAATATTATTGTGTTATTTTATTTTATCAATTTATTTTATTCTCATTCTACGTGACTTTACCGAAAGAACCAAAGAAGATGGACTTCCATGGTCAACCGATCTTCGTGGTAAACTGGACTTATATTTTGAACTGGACTTCCATGGTGACCTTGACTTCCATGGCAAGCTGGGCTTCCATGGTGAACTGGACTTTCACGGTGAACTTGACTTCCATGGTGAACTTGATTTCCATGGTGATTTGGATTTCGATGGTGAACTGGACTCCCGTGGTAAACTAGACTTCCGTGGTGAACTGGACTTTCATGGTAAACTGAACGTCCATGGTGAACTGGATTTCCAAGGTAAACTGGACTTTTAAGGTAAACTGGACTTTCATGGTAAACTGGGCTTTCACGGTTAACTGGACTTTCATGGTGAACTGGACTTCCATAGTGAACTGGACTTCCATGGTAAACTGGACTTCCGTGGTGAACTGGACTTCCATGGTGAACTGGACTTCCATAGTGAACTGGACTTCCATGGTAAACTGGACGTCCATGGTGAACTGGACTTCCAAATTAAACTGGACTTATATGGTGAACTGGACTTTCATGGTAAACTGGACTTCCAAGGTAAACTGGACTTATATGGTGAACTGGACTTTCATGGTAAACTGGGCTTTCACGGTTAACTGGACTTCGATAGTGAACTGGACTTCCATGGTAAACTGGACATCCATGGCGAATTGGATTTTCACGGTGAAATAGACTTCCATGGTAAACTGGACTTCCATAGTAAACTGGACTTCCGGAGTGAACTGGACTTCCATAGTGAACTGGACTTATATGGTAAACTAGACTTCCATGGTGAAATGAACTTCCATGGTGAACTGGACTTCCGTGGTAAACTGGACTTCCATGGTGAACTGGACTTCCATGGTGAACTGGACTTCCATGGTGAACTGGACTTCCGTGGTAAACTGGACTTCCCTGTTCAGGGGACGGCAACCAAAATAACAATAAGAGCCTTTATAATTTCAAGAGTCGCACTGCAGTCCTTAAAAAGAGCCACATTGCGGCTCCGGAGCCGCAGGCTGCCGACCCCTGCACTATATGGTCCAGGTATTTTTTTTTTTATAATAATCTCGATGGGTCCTTACCTGAAGGTCATGAGTGCCGCGACGTTCCACACGGCTCTGCCGCACAGGCATCGCCCTTCACACGGAGTAAAACAAAAAAAAAACTGCAACCGTCCCGAACTGAACCGTGAAAAGAACAGAAAAAAATAACCATGGGTTTTAAATGATATGTAAATATTTATTTCACAATATTCAAAAATAAGTCTCATTAAAATAACGTTATTATTTCAATGTTGACAAATTAAATATCCTACAGATAGTTGAGCTCAATGCCAATAGGGAGGAGACTACATGTTTTAATAGGAAAAGTGTGGCTTTTTATATGGAATGTATATGCACTTGTGATACAAGGTTAAAATACGTACATCTAAGTATAGTACTGGTACAATATTGAAAGATAGCAGTGCATGTATATGACTGCATGACAGCATATTTTAATTAAACACTAACCATCAGCAAATGCTATCTTAATCATCTTCAAGAGGGATGTCAAAATAGTTAATATAATCTTGCAAAGATCCTTTGAAACATTTTCAAAGGAAGACAAAACCTCATCACCAGTTGCTCTTCTCGTGCCAATACGCACCTAGGCCTGTGCGTGCCAGCTTGTCCCACGTAAGCCTTGAGCTTTGCTCGTGACAAAAGGCTCTCGTGAGAGTTTCAGGTCACAGCTATGCACCAATGACATCACTTGATCATGCTTGTAAGTCAATGTAAAGTCTTAATTTCTGTTCACAGAGTTTTAAATTGTGCCTGGGTACGGATCGACACAAGACAGCGCTTTTTGCGGGTTGCATCTTCCTTCAAGCGAGTAAACGATTTTACAGTTGTAAACAATTCTGCTTTACTGGTTTCAAACATTTCTGAAGCCAATGGCTCTGGTCCTTTGTGGTGTTCGTTAACTTGGCCCCGACCATGCCTGTGCTAGAGCAGTCGTTCACTGAGTCGTAACAGTTTTTACATGACCACAGGGCCACGACGTCACCGTGTGGTTCAGTAAGGCGCACAAGAGTGGGCCATCTTAGACATGTGCTTTCACACGTGATCTCTGGGTATATTTTCATAGATTTAACCTCAGGAATCGCTCATACCGTAGATCACATTCCCACTCCTGCAAAAGTGACTTTGGCCTCAATGGGCTCTCACTTGGTAATCAATTAAGTTTATGGACGTACGCGCACGTTCACAATTATCAACCGGCATCGTTTGGAGTAGACCTGTATAAAATGTGAGCGAGCATCTGTTTGTTTTACGACCCTTGCGTGGCTCTGCATTTCTCCGGTCAGAGTTCTGTCACCTCGAGGATCTCCTGCCCGGCGGCAATGATGCTCTTGTTGATGGGGATGGTGCACGTGGTCGAGTTGTCCAAGCCACCGATGCCCTTGGCAGCGTGCGCCCCCTTGGCCGGGTGCGCCCCCCGACCGTCGCACGGCCTGTAGCGGTGAGCCGGCGTCGACTTGGCCGACTCGCCGTAGCCCTCGTCCGTGCGCACCGTCTCGGAGCTGCGCGCCAGGCCATCGGCGACCGCCCCGGCCAACCCGGGCCCCGACGCCGACCCCGACCGCGACCTGTCGTGCCCGGCCGCCCGCCCGGCGCCCGCTCGCCGCTCGTCCTCGTGGAGGCTGCCGGGGTCGGAGGTTAGCAGCGTGCCCGCGCTGCCCTGCAGGGCGCGCACTCCCTCCCCTCCGCCGGGAAGCTCCACGGGGGGGTGGTGGCGTAGGCGCAGCGAGGCCACCACCTGCTCGGGGTCCGCCAGCCCATCCCGCTGCTGGTCGCTGCCGCTCGCCGCCTCGTCCGCGTCATCGGATCCCGCTGGTATGAGCTGCGGGGGCGCGAGTGGGGGGTGACGGTGCGTTACGGTGCGTCGCGGCGGGGCTCTCGTTTCACATCAAGTTCACGCGAGTGGCCGGGACGGTGCGTCAGCACGCCATGGTTGTCTGTGCCTATTGGGAGACGCGTGTTTTTTGGTTTGTTTTTAAACCCCATTGCAGTATTTTGGGTCGTTTTTAAATGTGCCAATAAGTCTCCTGTGACGTGAATCTTTAGCATCTGCATTACAGCAGATCGGGCACTCTAATACATTAACCATGTAGAATTAACAGACAGGAATGGCGTTGTTAGTGACTGTCTATTGAGGATGGCACCGCACACGAGAGAGTGGTGTGACCAGCAGCACACCCAGCGTGGATGTTTAAACACCATACCAGGAAATCGTTTATTCCGCTGTGGCTGGGAATTAAACTCGGGTTTCCGTGTTGGGTGCGCAGCACATGAAACACTGCGTCACCATGTGCCACAACAGACGACACAAACACGCAATGATTTTGTCGTGTAGTCTTAACAGACGGTTGGGGAAAGTGCTGTTAGCGAGCCCCTATGAAGGCCAGCATGGCACATGAGAGGGTGGGTTGCCGGCACCATGCCCGGCCGCCTTTGTCTCCCCAGAGCTAATGTTTACATACCGCACCAGGTACTCATTTAAAGCTAAGTCGACCTAAGTGAGGCCCAGGGATCGATTCAGATATTCGGCACTATTATTGGTCGCAAGCAGGAATTAAGATAGGTTCGCCGGGTTCATTATGTAAAGCATTACTGAACACCAGTGTTCTTCACTAATTTTCAGATAGGGGCCACTTTCGCCGACAAGATATCGGCGGGAGGGATGCCACACCTTTGAAACCATTGGGGTTTGACAGCAGCACGATGATGGGTGGTGTTTTCACATGCTGTGTATTGTTGGGAGCCACATACAGACACACACGCACGCAGTTCTGGGAAGACTCATGTGCAGCACGAGGTACAAAGGTCAGTCAAGTCCTAGTTGCGCTTCAGCCATGCCGAGTGCACACCGAGCTCACGCGCTGTGGCCATCACAGAGGAATGGAGAACAGAACGTTTTGAAATGGGTGACGTGGAATGGGCGAGGAGGTTCGAGAGTCTGGGGGAGTGCGGGAGAGGGGGTGGGGAGTGCGGGAGAGGGGGTGGGGAGGTGCGGGAGAGATGGGGGAGAGGTGGTGTGGGGGGAGGTGCGGGAGAGCGTGCGTTGAGGGTGGGATGGAACCTCGGTGGTGGATGAGCTCTCGGCGATGCTAAGCGACTTGTGCAGCACGCGCGCTGCAAACAGCTTTTTGAGGCGCAAGTAGTCGTCCAGCACCACCTTGAGCAGCGAGCCCTTGCGAGGAGCGCAAACACAGATGCGGCAGCAGCAGCAGCGAGTGCGATGGCAGTGGAGCGCAAGCGTGAAGAACAACGGCAATCACAACGGTCGTCATCAACCCCCTCCCTCTGTCTCTCTTCTCTGAATGAGGGCCATTGCCCACAACGTCAGCCAAAGTTTGTGGAAGGTTTTTTTTTGCAATGCCAAGAATAATAATAGTTTATAGCCGTTTGTTAATCCACTGCTGGATAAAGGCCTCCTCGTGCTGCATCCGCCATGGAAGTTGTTTGACCATACGTCACTGTACTGGTCAGTACGTGTTGAATAGGGGACCCAGGCCTGGTTCAGATATGACTCAATAATCGTGTTAGCAGCGGCTCGAAATCTAATTCAAGTTAATCACTGCATCATAAGGCAGTGTTAATAACGTGTGGTGAGAGTTTTTGATTTTCCACGCTTGAGTACGTGTGCAATACTGAAAAACATGGAATGGAGTTGGTCACAAAGCCACACATCAAGCAGTTTGTACCCAAAATGTAACAATCTCCTTCCCTCCCCTCATCGCCATCATCTTCCCCACCGTTCACACTCACCTACACCCATCATTCTAACCATAGGTCTCTCTTTGACAAATAATTTCGGTCTCAATGGGCTCTTGCCTGGCTATAACGGTCGTCCATATCCATCCAGTCTGGTGGCTCAGCGCTTGAGTGATAGGTAGGTTGGGAGTTAACTTGGCAAATTATCCCTCTGGGGTCAATAACATGAATGCCACTGTATGGGGAAGTCAGCGATGGTTGTTCTATTGAGAGACTCGCCCCTGACATCAGCACGTGGATGTTCTACCTCAGGCCTATAAAAACGAGAGACGAGCACTGCCTCGACACTCACTTGGGGAAGGACACTGCTCAGTTTTTATGGTGAGGCTCTGGTGAGAGGGAATCGATGTGGTGAGGCAGCTATCGGAGAGCGCACTCTTCTCTCCAAACGGGCAGAGAGATGCCGTGGCTTGACTTGGCACGGCGTCGGAGCACATGGCGGCCGTACCTTGACGGGGCCGTCGCGCATGATCTGGCCGAGCCGTGCGATGTTGTCATACTCCTGGATGGCAGCGCGCAGGTAGCGGTCGTCCTCGGGTTTGGTGCTTCCTGTCAGCGGATCTCGGCCAAATGTGCCCTGGTGGGGGGGGAAGGGGGTCAAGGGGGCAGCCTAATGAACTGACCAGCGTGGTTCATAATAGATGTTTAAGTTAGGCCAAGTGATGATCTCACCGATTTTGTGCCATAAAGGCCCTCCACCACCCGACGTGGCCAAATAGACTGAGTTCCTTTGTTGCTTCCTCTTTTTCTTTATTTGTATGACTTTTGAAAAGCGACGGGCGCATTCGTAACGGTGAGTTTCGCGAAGTACCCACCTGTAAATTTTGACTTAAAGCTTTCGTGACTGCAGTAATTCACCATCTTTGAACCTATCTACGTGACTTTATCGAAAGACCCAAAGAAAATAACAAAAAAATAACAAAAAACTACGACGTTTCGATTGCAACACAAGTGGTCGTCATCAGGAAAAGGGGGGTTAGCTTCTAAAGACAAACTGTTTATAAAGGTTTCAAATGGGCGTGGCCCAAATGTCAGCGGCCAATGTTAATGTAAGTGGTGGGCAGCGACTGTGGCGGTGGTGGGTTTTCCACCAATCAAAGGGCTGCCAGGTAAATAATTAGCATATTAATGTAAGATCGCCGAGCATCCTCCACGGCGAGCGTGCCGAGGTGGCTATGTTAATGTGAGAGATTAGCATGTTAATGTGAGAGATTACCATGTTAATGTGAGAGATTAACATGTTAATGTGAGAGATTAACATGTAAATGTGAGAGAATAGCATGTTAATGTGAGGGATTAGCATGTTCATGGGAGAGATTGACGTGTTAATGTGAGAGATTAACGTGTTAATGTGAGAGATTAGCATGTTAATGTGAGAGATTAACATGTTAATGTGAGAGATTAACATGTCAATGCGAGAGATTAATATGTTAATGTAAGAGATTAACATGTAAATGTTGCAACATACAAACTCCACACGGAACAGCGTCCGAGTCGGGAATCGAACCGAGGCCCTCTATGAGGCACGATTGTTACCGCTGTGCCACCCGATAGATCATCAACATGGTGAAGGTCAGGGCTCGGTGGGAGGGAGGGAGGGAGCAGACACGTTACTGTGACGGCGCCAGCGCCCGCTGCAGCGAGGATGAGATGGGCATTTTAACGGCATCGTTAATTTCTGCGCGATGTGCGTCAGTGTGGTGGCGGCATGGCGGAGTGGCAACGCTCGCGCTGCTTCACAGCAAGAAGTGCATGGGTTCGATCCCTGACTCGGGCCCCTTACTGCGTGCAGCTAGCATGTTCTCCCCCTGTTCTGTAATGGCTTTCCTTCGAGTTCTGCGGTTTCCTTCCATTGCTGAAAAAAAGTATCCAATGTGACTGGTATTGGCCAAACATACCCATGCTGAAAAACATCTTGGAAACTACTTAATTTCAGACAGTAGCAAAAACTAGGCAGGAACCCTCCGAAAAAAATAATCTTGAGACTCTGTGAGGCTTTCCTAAGTAAACAATCAAGATGATAATAAACATCTACCACGAAAGTGCAACGTACATATTGTACCGAGTCACGACCACAATGGTAAACTCACGTGGGTCTTGGCGGGGCTGTTCCACAGCTCGGTGATGTCGCTGAGGTTGTCCGGAAGGCCATCGTCATGCTCGGCCTGCGCCGCCAACTCCATGTCACGGTAGTAAGGGTCCAGCCACACCGGGTTGGCCCTGCGCGCCCACACAAACACTTCACAGCCGCCGCTCAGGCGACGGTGGACGACGGCGACCCGACCACCCCAGCCCGTTGTTGTCGGTCCGTCATTGGGTGAGGGCCTCCTACACGCCATGGGGGCTATCTGATCACACTTCACCGTCAGTGCGATCAACTATCCGATCATACATCACCGTCAGGAGAATCGGCTATCCGATCACACTACACCCGTTCCTCCGATTAACATGGTCGGCTATATACGGTGCGAAAGAAGTTCAACATACAAAGATCCCCCCCATATAGCGTGTACAGACTGTTGGGGCAAGTGCTATTTGTAAGTAACGCCTATGAAGGCCGATACGGCACACTAAGGGGGTGGGTGGCCAGCACCACGCCCGGCCGCTTGTGTCTCCCTAGTGGCAATGTTTACACACTGCACCAGGCACTCATTTGAGGCTGAGTCGATCTGGAGGAGGCCCAGGACCGGTTCAGATAATCGTCACTGGTGTTGATTGCGAGCGAGAATGGAAACCGGGTCGCTGTTTTTGCAGTGCAGCGCGCTAATCCCTACACTACATATACAGTGTGGATTGATGATACAAGAATGGATTTTTTCGTACTGCCCTCTGCTGTCTACAACATAGCCCCACAGCCCATGACTGTGTGTGTGTGTGTGCACAATGGACACCCAATCTGAGCACCACCCGGGCTCAACCCCGCTTAGCGTCTCAGATCTGACGGGATTGGGCGCATTGCAGGTGATATTGGCCTGAGGCGTCCCGACACGCTCGCTCGGAGCTTTAGTCTTGGAATGACGATTTTGCGGGTCGCGTGACGCGCTGATTGAATTACATCTCGTGCCTTTTAATGTCAACGCCGTGGGATCACTACCAATGTCACTGCCTTGTGATTCTGCTCTCGTTATCTCGGCTTCAGAGTCGAATTCGGCAGCTTGTGACGTAGACCAGTATGGTGATTTATCTTGCGCTTCTTTCCCAAAACAATTTGAGCAATCACTCCAGTCTTGGGCCTCGATTACTCACTATATTATTGTCTACCCTTACAGTATCCTCCAAACACTCTCGTGTCGTCCCTTTACAAGTTATAAGTAGAGCTACATCTGTAACTTGGTGATGACATTGCATTATACACCATCCCATTAACGGCAGCGCTTGCTGCGTGCAACTCACAATCAGAAGGTATGGAGCTTAAGACTCAGTCCGGAGTCAACTCGCACCTTCATCCCTCTGAGTTCTATAAAACGTGTACCGCCTAATGGGAAGGATACATGGTTTCACTCAGTCCGAGCATAGGAATGTAGAATTTCCAGCTCTGACTCAGGGCTATAAACGAAAGATGCGACCCTGGCGCGCTCGTCAAAGCAGGAAACCACTTTCACTTCGCATCGCGTTAAGCGCTTGCCTGCAGGATAACGCTTCCGTTATCGCTTTCAGCTTGTAGACTGTGCATTCAGACCACTGCGTCGGTGTGACTGACACTGCAACAGTGGCAATAAATGGCCTCAGTGGCTGCGATAGAACTGGCATTGAGGAGAGAGGCAGAATGATCGTCCGACTTGCCCCTCCACGGCGAACTTGTTTGTGTTGGGCATGTTGTCCAGGATGTCCATGAAGCCCTGCTGGTTGCCTTGGAGTGCACAGGGGTCATGGGGTCAAATGCACAGAGAATGGATTTATGAGACAGGGGTTCAAAGGGGCCTCGCTTGAATGAGCGACCCGAACGAAACGACGCACAGGCGATGTTCGCTCACCGAGAGAGCCAGCAACGATGGCTCTTAGCTTCCGCTTGTGACTGAAAAAGAAAAACGCACGCACGCACGCAACCGCTAAGGCTGTATGCTCTACACTAACATGGTCACAAGTGGCAGTTCAGAAATGCCGTAATGCCATGGTTCATGTAGGAGTTTGGTTTAGTCTTGTGGCATTGTAATGGTGAGCACGCTGGACTTGCCATCCAGAGGTTGCCAGTTCGATTCAATCTCCCAACAGTTGAAACAACGTGTACACTTCCTAAATCCCCACGCGCCCACCTGTGTCCACCCGGCAGTACAAATTTAGTTCGCTGCGGGTAGTAGATGACAAGTCACGTGCTGCAAGGTAAAATGCAGGTACGCCTACCTGTCCCAAAATGCCTGGCCAGAGTGCAGTGTGTAAAGAGTGGCCACGTACCCTCCGGATTTCCCTGCACATGCTGTCACATTGGCTATTGGCTTATCCAGCAAGTGTGCTCGGCACTTGAGGCCACGCACGGGTGTGGGCACTGCCAACGTGTCTGTGGTGCGGGCAGCAACATGAATCCGCGACGCGGGAAGTCGGACGACTCACGTGGTCCTGTAGTACCAGTTCATGACCACGAGGATGGCAATCACCAGGACGAGCAGAATGGCCAGGATGACGACGGCCATCTGACCCCGAGGCAACACGCAAAGCACACGTCAGCCACGGGCAGCTCCGAGACAGTGGCGAGTGTGGGCATGGTCGTGCGGGGTGACTCTCCTTGATTGATTGATTTGACAGTTTTTGTCTACGCGGGTAAGAAGCATTCTGCCTGAAGCTGTTGTTTTACGAGAATGACACACGGAGGGACCCTTAGTGGAAAAACAGAACGTTACAGCAGCGAATAAATCACATTGCAGACACTGGTGAGGCGCCCCAACTACCATGAGGTGTGTGTGTGGCTGAATCCGTGAGCTGCGTAGCTCACCCGGTGAGGGGTGTGAACTCACTTGTAGGGAGGTGAGGTCGTCGGACCTTGTGGCCACGACGGCCGGCTGAACGTCAAGCACGTTATAATTCCGGAAGAGGTTCTTTAGCTGCTCCTTGTTGTCATCTATGAGAGCGATTACCCTGATGCGTCACAGCAAATGCTTACATTATCATCATCGTCGTCAACGTCTTCATCATCGCTACTGTCGCTGTCGTCTTAATCGTCATCACCGATGTCGTGGATTACCATCGTTATCACTCGTCAATGACAATAGATGTTATCATCTACAGTATCATGAGTAACATCCTTGCCATTGTCGGCATCATCAATGACTATAACCACACAGACAATTGTCACTGATGTCATTGACATGACAATCATCATCATCACCACTACCATCATCCATTACCCATTTATAAAAAAGACTAAGGCTCAGTGTGCAGTAATTAAAAAAAATGTAATCTCATGGGTAATTCCTCCCCCAGTGTCACTCTCTGCTCGTGATCCTCACACGATGCTCTCTCACTCACCTGCTGACATCCATGATTTGATTGGTGTCTTTGTTGACGACGTGGATGAGAACGTCCGACTGGGCGAAGTTCACCCGCCCGTTACTGTCCACGTGGTACTGGGAAAGAGGCCGTGCGATTGTTAAGTTATAGTCAACATATGGACATATTGGCGGTACACAGATGCAGCATAACACACCGGTCCTCATAAAAACAGTCTAAAATCTAAATTGGATTTAGCAAATCTGTTTATTAGTATTTAATTGATGCTGTCACCAATGTTCACGCGATTTGAAGTTTTATTCAGTCTACTGAGACTTGCTTAAAAAGGTCAATAATGACCGCTGATTTGGGTCCTTTGAATCGAGGAACCGTCCAACCAAGTCTAGGGCACGAGAAGTAAAATCTGCCTTTGGAACACGGAGCAGCCAATTGCCATCAGGCTGGGTGCTGCTAAACGGCAACAAACTGTGAAGCTTCATGTTCAGCCGCTCGTAATATTCGTCTTCGGACTGCTACGACATCACGAGAACTGATATTTATACACCCCGCAAGATTTTATGACCGGGGTTGCAAATCACTGGAAAATAAATAATGATTACAAACTTTTTTTATATATATATGGTGCTCACCACCGGTGTACCGCCGATACATTCATATCACCATCACTACGACGGAGCGTGAACCAGTGGAGATGTCTAACCGGCTGTACAGGCACAGCGAGCGAACGCGACAGATTCAAGGGTGTTTGTGGGCGGTGGCGTGGCTGTGCGGTAGCGTGCTTCGCCGTTTGCTGCAGAGGTTCATGGTTTTAATTCGGCAGGCCGTCCTGGTTATTACTTCAGGTCTATCAACGATGAATTTCCGTGTTCACGTCTGCTTCACAGTGGACGTTAAAAGTTCTGGTGGCACTTTTCGAAAAGAGCAGGTCACTGCGTGCTGGCGTCATCATCCAACTTTGCCAAATGCTTTATTTACCTGTCAATCACGCAACGGGATTAGGGCAACATCACCCCCTCCTGTGAAACTACTGCAGACTGTGCCTATCTAACTACAGTAATAGCTTTACACGATAAGAACGGGCCGAATATCACATGTACTAAATCAATATAATTTATATACCATATATAACGTTCTTCTGGAAAAGCTTGTGTAAATTATTTTATAAACTGATAACCGTCTCTCCTGTACATTTAAAATCGCGCGACATCTCGCGTGGTGAATGTGCGGTGACTTTCGGTTATGCAAGGGAAGTGAAAACGGAGCTCTGCGGTTTCCAGGCTCCAATAAGAACTGAGCGCATCGCAAGCGACTGCCCCATTCTCTCCACTTGCTGGGGGAGTCAGACCACTCCGCGGAACTGCGAGTAATGCCATAGATTGGACACTGAATATAGACCCGAAGCTACAGATGTCACAAGCTAGGGTAAGAATTGATCCTATGAAATATATCCGTAGTTGTTGTACGCATTGGCTCGAGAGAGCTTTTGCAAAATGGTTTTCAAATGCTCATAATTGATTCGCGAGTAAAAATTCTGGTCAGGGGTTGACTCTCAACCCATTATCCCCGCAAGGTTGACGAGAATATTGCCACTCCGCTCCTGCTGACTCATGACCACCCGTGAAGATGAGCGCTGTTACGTGCGTGGTTTGCGCAATTCTAAAATCATGCTTTTGCGGGGTGGGTGAATTCATCATGTTTAGTTCACGCTACAAATATTTTAATGGGTGACAACAATGAACATTGTCTGAGATTTCACTAAAAGTGAAATCATTTTCAGTTTTGGGGGGCAAGCATCATGAGTCAAATCGTCGGGGGGGGGGGGCCTTGACCTAACTGAGCCCACGTATACGTTGTGTCGCAGTGGCAGTGTGGCTGGTGTGGGCAATGGCGCAACAAATTAAATGGGATCCGCCACCCCACCACGTCCAATGTCCCTGTTTTGTTATGGCCCGGCGCTGGGGGACTCCCGTGCAGCCTGCACACTCGGCATCTCCACAGCCGGCGGCGGCAGCAGAGGTACCTGCACATCGTCGGTGTTGACGATGGCACCCGTGATGTTGGACAGCAGCTTGACGAACTGCTCCTGGAATGCGCGCACGCGCTCCGGAGTCTCGTTGATGACGATCTTGACGCGCTGGTCGTCGCGCAGGATGTACACACCCACGGTCGCCGTGTCGTTGTGGCCGGCCAGATCGGCGGCCACAACCTCGAGCATGAAGTAGCCTGGGCCGTACGCCGTGAAGAGGTCGTACGTGCGCAGGATGCCGTCGCGCTCGCCTGCACGTGCGCACCGGGAGCGGTAGTGTAGTGGTTAGTGTGCTGCCTTACGAACCCAGCGATCAGAGTTCGATTTCCGCTCACTACCGTTAACAGTGGTGGCAGTCCTGGGCATCCCCTGGGTCGACAAATAACTGAGATTAGTACTTTGTGCAGTGTGTAAGCATCAGCACTGTGGAGACAAAGGCAGTCGGGCGTGATGCTGTTCACCCAAACCCTTGTCCGCCGTGCCGGCCTTCATAGATGCTGCTCACTAACAGCACTTGCCCCAGCAGTCTGCTAGAGGCTACACGGGGATCCTTGTGCTGCGTGTGGCCATACCCAGGGTGAAGATGTTGTACATGCGCGTGGAGCTGTTGCTGCTGTGCTTAATGTAGAGTATGCTGAGGATGCGGTACAGCACGATGCTGTTGTTCCCCACGTCCCGGTCCACTGCCTCCAGCTGCAGCAGCTCCGAGCCCACCTTGGCGTCCACCGCTACGCCTGCGGAAGCCTCTCGTTACCATCCGACCCGCGCACATTCATCACTTAATCCTCTCCGAAATGTATTCAGTATCCGGACAAGTGGCTTGGCAGTAGAGCAAGTGGGTCGCAATACGAAGGTTGAGAGTTCAATTGTTGGTTTTCAGTTGACACATCCCTCTGAAGTCGATCAAATGAGTACCACCTTCTGGGTATCTATACTAGTTGTCCTCTGATAGACTTAGCCCTGTCATAGGAATGTGGAATTTTCACCACTGGCTCAAGGTTATAATCAGGCGATAACCACCTCAAATGCTCATTTAAGGAAAGTTGTAAATGCAATAGTGTAGTTCATCTTCCGGGATGACCCATATGGATCCAATTAAGGAATTAGCACTTGCTGGGCTGCACCCGAGTTAGGGTGGCTTTGTTTTAAGATCCAAAACATAGGTGTCTGGGTAGCTCTAAGGTCAGAGGACTTTCTCACAAGCCCTGCTACTTAGAAATGTTTGTCACATGGCATCCAAGCCAACATTTTACATTCTCAGATCTGGAAATTTGCCAAATTAATAAAAAAAAGTTTTTTTTTTTTAAAGTTCAGTCAATAGTGACTCGCGAGAAAAAATTATGTTCAGGGGTTGCCTCTCAACCCATTATCCCCACATGGTTGACAAGAATAGTACCAATTTGTGGCGAGTCAGCAGGTGTCACCCCTGCGCAGAGAACCGCGTCTCGACATACTGATTTCCTCCACTCGCTGCTGACTCACAACCACACGTGAAGATGAGCGCCGTTACTGACTACACCTGACAGCCATGTTTGATCACAGGCGGCTCCCCGCATTCTAACCCAGGATCTCGGTGATGCTGGCTCATTGCCTCTCAAAGCCACTCGGCCACATTTACAGTCTCGTTTTAACACAGTAATTGTTTGCATGGTCACGTCGGTAACTTGCCTGCTGTGTACTCGTGGTTGGTGAAGACCGGCCACTGGTCGTTGATGTCCTCCAGATAAACCCTGACCTCGCGGAGCGTGCGGTCCTTCGAGGGGTCGAACTCCGGGCCCGTCGTCACGGCCTGGGCCGCCTGGGCCTGGGAGGGCGAGGCCAGGGCCTGGCGGGCCCTCGCGGCCACGGCAGGGGTCCAGTTGGGGTTGCTGGAGGCCTTGACGATGATGGCGTAGTAGGGGCTCACCTCGCGGTCCAGGTCACTCAGCACCACCAGGAGGCCCCAGCGGCTCAAGTTGAACTTGTTCCCCTCGTTCCCGGCTGTGCACAGCGGGCCAGGAGCAATCCGATTTGGAGGAGGAGAGGGAATGGCCACGGCACACGAGGGTGGGATTGGAGCTGCAATGGTTGCTTTCTCATTGCTCCCATTTACATTCCAACTGCAGGGAGTCCTGCAGTAAGTAGTAACCCACCTTGTGTTGGCAATCTCGTGGTACAACTTTTACAAGCCCTGAAAAGAGTGTTCATTTGAATGAAACAGACGTTTTAAATTGTCAGTGTTACAAATGAAATTAATTGAAAAAAATAAATGACTTCTACAATATACACGTTGAACTTTTTTCGCACCATACGTGGTCAACCGTAGTTTGATAATGTTCTTGTGTGTAGTCATTGCTGATCAGGCTGAGGATATCAATTCGCTGCAGTTGAGGACCAATATATACCGCGGGAGGCTGAAGCCCGGATTTGAATTCAAGATCTCAGTGGTGTTGGCTTATAATTGCTTTGACACAAACCTCCTCGGCAATCCAACCACCTCTACACCAGCATGCTGATGAATCCAGAAGCATACGTAGTAGAGGAATTGACTCAATACATTTATTATCATTGCTATTGGGTCCTCCTGAAAGAGACTACTGACACTCAGTGATACTTCCCTTGGTGAATAGAGAAGAGTTTGTATCATTTAATTACTGTACCAAGCATAGCTGGACTTTTAACAAAGCAAATACGTTTTTGGTCTTCAAATACAGGTCTACACAGAGAATACCAGAAATATTATCAAAGTAACTTGGAAGTTCTTCATGGAATGTCTTGAGAAAGCATTGCAGATGTAATCGGTAAATGCGAGGTTGTGATGGGTGGGACACGTGGTGTGCAGCGTGGCAGAGGTCAGGTTACTAACACAGACATTTGGAGTGGCACCCAGAGGTCAGTTGTGGTGGAGATGACACCGTAAGAGTTCTCTAAAATCTGGCTCGGGCTTAATTTCCAAAAAAAATTTCAGGTCGCAGGTAAATGACAGTAGGCTAAAGACTGGACCATAGCCAAAACCATAGCAAGATGTATACTGGATGTGGTGTACCAGATTTGGAAATATCTTTTGGGTGAGCAATCCAGACAGACCTGGCCGAAATGAATCCCTGCAATCTAGCAGAATAAAGCACATGGCGAGGTGCAGTGGCATCAACAACATTCGCTGTGATGTCCGCTCAATCTTGACCTTGACTGCTAAGGTCAAGGGAAGTAACACACCAGCGTTGGTGCGCGCCGCTACTCGTGTGCGGTGGGCGTGTGACGAGACGGCCGCGGTCACCTGCGATGAAGTAGTAGACAATGGCGTTGGCGCCAACGTCGGCGTCGACGGCGCCGCTCACGTTCCCGACCGCCGTGCCCGGCGGGGAGTGCTCGGGAATGGAGAACGACTGGTACGGAGCTCCGCCGTCCTGCCACGCATGGAGAGCGAGAGGGAGGAAATGACGTCTGCGCTCGGACGAAATCGAAGTGACGCTCAGTGGATATCACGAGCTGCCGTTGGAGGGGTGCGTCCATTCTCCCTCGTGAGTCTCAGGCCAGCGGGCGTCATCCGACCCAGCGACGTGTCCTGTTTGAGCCCACCCACGTCACTTAACAGCCAACGTGCGTGTCAGTTTAACACATAGCAGACTTTCGCGACCAATATTATCCCCTAAAGAGGTTTTTGGGTCAGATCGCGTAAATATAAATCTGTCCTTAAAAAACAGCCACCACCCGACACAGCGAATTAGTAAGGTTTGTCATGTACACAAAGCATGCCAATTAGTTACGAGTTCAGCACAACCGGTGTGTTGGAGGGTAAACCCACAACATGTGTGTTTCCCGATCCAAGCGTTCCTCTTCCTGCCTCTCAGTGCAATTCCAATCATGTACATCTCCATGCATCTTTGTCCACCTTTCAACTTTTGTTTGTGTCGAGGTTCATGTTTCTGACCCACGTGTCATAGCGGGTGATATATATATTGATTACCATACACACGTGTGGAAGTGCGTGTGTGTGTACATGTGGGTGGCGGGCAGTAGTGCAAAGGTTAGCGCGCTGCACCACGAACCCGGCAATCCAAATTCGATTCCCGGTCACGGCCAACACCAATGATGATTATCTGAATTAGTCGTGGACCTCCCCTAGGTAGACTCAGCCTAAAATTAATACCTGATGCAGTGTGGAAACATCGCCACTGGGGAGACGAAGAGGTACTGTAGGTACTCACTATCAGCTGGTACAAGCGGGTACTTGCGGGTACATACATGCGGATTCGTGCCGGGTACGCGCGGATACATGTGGGTACGTGTGGGTCTATGCGGGTACAGGTGGGTATGTGCGTGTGCGTACGTGCGGGTACGTGCGGGTACGTGTGGGTGGATACGTGCGGGTACGTACGTGCGGGTACGTGCGGACACATGTGGGTACGTGTTCTGTAGTTACGTGTGGGTACGTGCGTACAGGCAGCACGATGAACACGGGCTCGTTATCGTCGATGTCGTCCAGCACGACCTGCAGCGGCTGCGTGGACTCGTAGGACACGGGCTGGCCCTGATCCGAGGCCAGCAGGATCAGCTGGTGGTTGGCACATGGACATGCAGCAATGCCACTGATTCCTTTTGACGAGCAGCATGGGCGAGGCCTGAGCCAGCGATGCCGAGATCAGCGGTTGGAACCTGGATCTCATCCACACTCCTCAAGAATAGTACGTTGAACAATGACTGCACAACTAACCCTCAAATTAAATAAACCCAAAACTTTCGTCAATACCACGTGGCCTTAAAATGAAAATATATAGAGAACGTTTCGGGCAATGGCCTTTTTACAACAATGTGTTGGGTGTTTTGGTTATTTGTGTCCTTGTGCACTGCTGTCAATGCAGCATCCCTAAACAATACATACAATTATTGTTTTAATTAAGTCGCAAAAATCATTATAATTGGACTGCAATGCACACACAATTCTATAAAAGCTACCCAGGCTAAATACTTGCTCATGTTTCAAATTGCAATGAGACCGGGCGTATTCAGCATCATTTCTACCAGGTGGCTCGAGTGCCCAATGCGTTTAGAGCATTCGGCCCGAGCTCTCCGCGTTGAGCATTGAGCCTCCCAAAGCATTCTGGGTGAGCAAGTGGAGAGCGTTCAGAGGGTTGGGGCTTGGGCCGCCGAGTTGGATGCGCCGGGGGGAGCCTCACGCTGTAGACGGCCTGGCTCTCGCGGTCGAGGGCGCGCGCCGTGCTGATGATTCCGCTCGTGGCGTTGATGCGGAAGCTCTCCCAATCGCGGCTGCCTACGCCGCCGGCGTGCAGGAAGCTGTAGCGCACGGCGCCGTTCTGGCCCTCGTCTCCGTCCACCGCGAGGACCTCGTACACGAAGAAGCCGGCCTCACGCTCCTGCGGGTGGGGGGGGGGGGGGTGGGGGGAACCGATGATGCGGGATCGAGCCAATGGTGGAGTGGTGAGGGTGACGAACGTCACAAACGTGGTACGGAAAAGAACCCATAACTAGTACCAACGTGGTATTTTTTAAAATAAATAATAAATAATATTAATAATCGCCCCCAGAGCCTTATTTTCATCACACCTCTAGGCTGTCACGTGGCACTGCGGCTACATGGGCTGACGTCCACTCACATAACTTTGACATACATGCACGTTTATTGCTTTACTTATTTATCTGGCGTTTCTGGCAGTCAGTCCAACTGTGCAACAGACAGGTGTAAAGCATTCGCTAAATAAACTACGGTTCTGTGTACGGTGTGGCAGAAAATGCGTTGTCCTTGTTAGACACGTAAAAGTAATAATAACAATAACAACAATACGAATAACGACGGGCATGACCTCGGTGATGTTGACAACGGTGCCGTTGGGCGGCAGCACGAACACGGGCCGGTGGTCGTTGACGTCGAGCACCTCGACGTAGAGGCCCGCCTGGCCCCATAGCGGGGGCCGCCCGTGGTCGGTGGCCACAGCCGTCAGGTTGAAGCGCTCGTACGACTTGAGCAGCCGGGTCGAGGTCACCAGGCCCGAGGTCGCGTGCACCGTGAACGCGTCTGTGGACAACGGGGCCGAGGCGATGGGGGCGCCCGTTCTTATTATTGTTGTTGTTGTTGCTGCTGCTGCTGCTGCTGCGCTCGCTCACCCAGGAAAGCCTTCACTAAAAGTCCCAAGACTCTTTTTCAGGAGGGTCCTGCCAAGCTCTCACCGCAGAAAGAGATGTTGTTGGGTGTGTGTGTGTGTGTGTGTGATTCCAATTGAGTTATATTTTAGCGCAGGGATGTTTTTTTTTTTCCCAATGCCGGTTACACTGTGGTTTTTTTTTAGCTATGGGAGGAAAGTGGAGAATCCAGAGGAAAGCAGCAGAACAGGGGGAGAACGTAAACATTCCAGCCGGGAATTGAACCCAGGGCATTCTTGCTGTGAGGGACGAGGTGTTGCCACTGCTCCAACCTGCCACCCTAAGAGTGAGGGTTGGTAGATCATGAGTGATCTCTGAAACTTCCGGTATCCTAGGTTTAGCACAGTTGGCTACGTACGGCGCAAAATAATTTCAACATACATACATACACAAGGCTGCGATATGGCCAGGAGTTGGCAGGACCGCTCATGGGTTCAAGACCCTCTGAGTGTTATCCCATCGCATGACTTTTAAGTTTTCTCTGGGTACCGTGATGTTCTCTGACATGTAAAACACTCCTTATAAAAAAACAATACTCAAACATCTCAATGCAGCACCTATGTATCAAGGCTTTCCTGGATAATGCATTACATTATTAAGGACAGCTCAGCTAGTCTAAGGGTCTCACCGATGTTCGGTAGACTAATTATGAAGAGACGTGGAAAAACATTTTAAGCACAAAATATAATCACAACAATGAACATCCATGCTCAAGCGTTCATCAATACCTATTGTTGATGCTTAGCCAGTGGTGTAAATGACACAAACAGTTGGCGGGGACCAGTCTTGCCGCGGGAAAACCACACATATATATGTGTGTGTACACATATAACAAACAAAAAACCCACTTCAAAATGAAATCCACATTGTGTAGGCTGAAGCACCTCAGTGTCGTGGCAGTCAATTTCTCCGCGTGTGCAAACATTGACCTCATAAATCATTGCCGAGGTGTGAAATTGACGCACGGCACAGCGATGCCGGACACAAGCGCACGTAGGAAAGCCAGGGCTCCTCGTGCCTCTGGGCGGCACATTACACTGGAAATAACTATTTGCTTGTTTTTTTTCAAATAGGTGTGGTGGTGATGATGACCCGGGTGGCCTGCTGGCTCTCACCTCAATGAATCTGCTGGCTGGGAGTCTACGACCCCGAAATCTAAATTCGTCTCAAATCATCGCCGAGCCGTGTGAGAGTTATGAAATGGTCTCTGCTCGGGCGAGCACGCGACTCGTGGTGCCGCACGTGGCCGTGCCCGGGGCAGGTTTCCTTGGCGCAGAGGGGGGGGGGGGGGAGCTGCCCAAAACCGAACTCTTCACGGTTTGAATTGAATGGCGGCCAGCAGCGGGCGCTGTTGGCCTGCCCATGTGGAGTCTGCACAACCTGCTCAATGAAGTTGATTCCAAATTAGTGACAATGTATAACATTACCGGATGCATACACAGTAATGCATGATACCATCTAAACTATTTTGTACGTATATTTCATGAAAGCCTATCAAAAATAAAGTAAATTGGTATTGGCCAAAAACAACCTCGTGCTGAAAATTTCCTGAAAATTACTGAAATGGGATTACGCAAAGCAATACCGCCCCTTACGGCAACAAACCTGGCAGGAACCCTCCTCAAAAAGAGTCTTGGGACTCCGCAAGGTTTATCTGGATATATAAGTGCTAAAATGAAAGAATAACATATTTCACTATGGTAAAACTGTGGAGGAAATTACACTTTGCTATGACACGGACTCGTCTCTACAAAGGAAGAATAATATTCTTGTCTTCCTGTATAAGTGGTACTTATTTATTTAAACAATCAAAGGATGATTGGCACTGTCAGCCCCTGGCGTGACGATGACCCAGCCTGTGGATCTCTATCCTCAAAGGACACAAAGTAGCGTTCATTTGTTTGTTGGTTGTGCAATATTCCGTTGGATCCTAGACTCATTCTCGGCAATATTGATGTTTTTGTCTATTGTTATTGTTGCTGTGCTGAAACAGCACGGATCTCCGTTTGAAAATATCTGGGCATCGGCTAAACGGGATCATCATCCGTGTAACAATACAAATCAATTCAAACGCATTCAATACACCCTGAAAGCAAAGCCAGTTTGGTTGGCCCCCGTGATGCCCGAGAGGAGGGTGGGTTTGCTGAGGAGTCAGAACTGTACAACTGAGATGCAGGGTTCGAATCTGGATCTACATAACCATCGAACTTAATTTGTCCACTTAATTTGGCTCATTTGGAGCATTGAGTATAAAAAATATCAATCTGATGAATAATTATCTCTGGATGAGGATATGTGAGAATGTGCAACCATCAGCGTATGGTCATTTGAAAGAATTCAACATCATTGGAAGGGATGTCAGAGGTAGTTGTGCTTGTGGGCCATTCCCTATCATAGGCCATCCCACTGCAATGCGAGAGTTCCCAACGGACGCTGGTTCATCTCGACACACAAACCCGACTGAGGAATTTGAATAAAATTTGGAAGAAAGATTAATCATAAGGCCCGCCCGAGGCTCTTGTTTCGACTGAGGGGCTGCGCTGCTGGGGGTTACCGGATCCAGGGCCCTGCAGGGAGTAGTCCACCCGCCCATTGTCCCCTTCATCCAGGTCGGTGGCGGTGAGTGTGAGCACGGAGGTGCCCGCCGGCTCGTTCTCGTACACGGCCGTCTGGTATCCGGGCAGCGAGAACACGGGCCTCACGTCGTTCACGTCGATCACCGTCACGTACGCCTGCAGGGAGAAGACGAGCGAAGCGAGTCATCGGTGTGTGACACGCACGCGTGCGCTCACTCACTCGTGGCGCATGCATGTGTTCATATCAGATCATTTGTATGAGAGTTTATCGTGACCGCCCCCATTACGAACGGACAGACGGACGGAGATAAAGCATTGAACGCCATCGACCTGCATTGGAAAGCGCTAGGAACTTGATAGCCGAAATTGTGCCGTGGACGTCGCCACGCCGGCACTACCTGTGCCGAGTTCTCTCTCTGGTTGGATCTCAGGTCCCCGGGGTTGTCTCGGGCCGTCACCGTCAGCGTGTACTGGTCCTTCTTCTCGCGGTCGAGCGGGGACAGCACGTACAGCTCGCCCTGCAGGCCGCACGCCAGGGGAGACACGGATGCGGTGATGTCTCGTGCTGGCAGACGAGCGAAGGAAGCATCAGTGCACTGAGTTAGACTCCACGGCCTCTCGCGTGCAGCTTAATTTTGATACGTTTAAAGAAATGAATAAAAAGAAACACCTGATCTGTCCTCAATACTTGACTATAAACAAGGGCTGAGTGGCTCAGGGATCGGAGCACTGAGCCGGAACTTCTGAGACCTGGGTTGAAATCCAGGCACCAGCCCATGATGAGTCTGGGCTCTTGAGTGAAGTGAGTGACTGGTTTAGCTCAGTTACCAACGGATGAACAATATACTTGGCACGAGATGAAATCCAGTAAACACTCGGGGTTACAGTTGGATTGGGTGATTATCGGTAATTGTACAATCCCAACCCATTCAATTTGCCAGTTCAGAAGGTCGGTTAAACATTGCTGCAATTAGATATATTGGAATTAAAATGTTATTGTAATAGAATCTTTACATTAGATTGTCTGATATATTTAAAAAAAAAAACTTGTATTGATTGTTTTCATGTGCAAAAATGTAAAAACCTTGATGATGATTCCAAAGACGGATGATTAAAAATGACGACGATGATGATGATGCTAAAGATGATGATGATTGAAGTTGAGGAGTGAGCAGGTGACTGCTGCACTGAAGATACGGTCAGCATTGGTGTAGCTATCGAGTGTACGGGTTGGCGCAATTGCCAAGGTGCCAGGCTGCAAAGAGGGGGAAGTAACTTGGACAGGGGGCCCCATTTCATTCATGGCACCGGGGCCCATGCCAAGCAGGCCGTGCCACCGGCAGCCGGTAATGGAGAGCGGTGGTGAGGGTGGTGTGCCGGGCCGCTGACCGTGGATGGTGTGATGCCAAACTTCCCCTCTCCGTCCACGAGGGAGTAGACGACAACCGCGAAGTTTCCCGAGTCGGCGTCGGTGGCGGTGATACGCATCAGCACCGTGCCGGGCGCCACGTCCTCAAACACCGATTTCTGTGGACGGGCAACGCGGGCACGGAGTTGACGAGACGAGCGGCATCGACTGTTAGAGCCAGTGCAGTTTGTCAGCATCATCAGCATCATCACCATCAGCATCATCCTTTCGCAGTGGCTATTGGCTCGCCATCGAACAAAGACGGTCACTGCGTTGCCCGCTTTCAGGTGCGCTTCTCTGGCCGTCTGGACTCCTCTTCCTTCTGATATGAGGAAGTCACTGGAGCTGTGCACTATTAAATCTATATTGAAAACGAATTGCTTTAGAACTGCTTTTGGTGTTTAGTTTGTTGTCCTTCCCCCACACCTCCGATTAGTCCGTTTGGCTATGTAAGGTGCGAAAGAAGTTCAACATACATACATACTTACATGCATCCTTGGCCATGATCTATTCAATTCGTCACCATCCCTCATAGTCCCGCAATGCAACACTCTATCGAGCACCTGCACAACGAGCTGATTTCATCGCTCCTTCTCCACGGGGGATGTACTCTCTAGTGTGTCCCCTCCTTCGTCTGCCATTCTGTCGTTCAAGTTTCAAGTGAATCCGGTTTAAGCTGGTTTACCAGGTTTCAAGTTAATCTGGTTTACCAGGTGAGAACTCAAGTGATCAGGATGAGTCTCATTTGCAAGAGTGACCGTGGGTCACCAAAATGACAAAAGCAAATAAAATAACGGTACAGCATTGAAGCAAATAAAAATGACAACAAAAACAACTGAGTCACGTGAGACCTCAAAAATCTAGTCTTGACCATCGGCGATCATCCCTTCTTGTACCGTCTGCTCTCAAATATGCTGCACTGTGAGGTGGCCATGAGATAGCAGTGAGAAGTGAGCCTGTTAAGTCATCTGTGTGGACCCATGAGTGTTGACCCGTGTGGGGTTTCCTCAGGCGATTCTGTGGTTTCCTCGCATGCCAAGTGATCGTTTTTAGAAATGTCCCAAATATTTAAATGGGAAAAGTCTTGAGGCTCAGCGAGACTTTCCTGGGTAAACAAATGACATTAACCAGACTATAACCCACTAAGAGCCAATTGCTATTTTTGAAAAAGTGAAGGTGGAAGACCTTGCTGTGGCTCCACATATAAATAACTACGTTTTAAGTCCATATTCTTTGGTTCTTTGGGTAAAGTCACGTAGATAGAAAAATAATAAAAAATAAAGTTAATAAAAATAAAAAACCACGATGTTTCCTGATGACGACCGCTTGTGTTGTGATGGAAACGTCGTAATTTTTGGTTTTTATTTTTATCCACTTTATTTTTACTTTTCTATCTATGTGACTTTACCTGAAATAACTAAATACTATGAATTCCTGCAGTCACCAAAGTTTTACGTCAACATTGATGTTTTAATCTTGATTTGAAGCTTTCGTGGCTGCAGGAATCCATACTCTTTGGTTCTTTCAGTAAAGTCACGTAGATAGAAGATTAAGAGATCACGTGACGTTTCGATCGCAACACAAGCAACCGTCATCAGGTGAAACAAACACAGCAGGAGAACTGCTGACGGAGCAGTTCTCCTGCTGTGTTTATTTCACCTGATGATCTATTAGTTTTCTATCTATGTGACTTTACCGAAAGAACCAAAGAGTATTTATGTTTTAAGTCCATCAACCTATTAGCCTCCCAGCCCAATATCAAACATCAAGCATAATACTGGTCTGGGAAGGAAAGAGGCCGATGGCCTAAAACACATGCTCAAGTACATGTGGAGACACAGGGTAAATCAGGAATCCGATGAGCTATAAAGCTTTTTTTCACAGATGGATAGTAGGGGCAGGTCAGAACTTTGCAGCAACAATACAAAGCACACGATAGTAGTGCAGATTATAGGAAAGGTAGGCAAATATCAAAACAAAAACTAAACATTTTTTTTATTTTACCAGGTAAAGCCAACTGAGCTCTTACCTTTTTTTTCAGAAGCCACCTGGCCTTAATTGATAGCTCAATAAAGTGGCTTATCACATGGAAATTTACATCATGCGGAAATTTAAATACACAAAAAACATGTGATCGTAAATAGTTGCGCCAGAAATAACAACAATCACCAGTCAGCATAAGCATGATGTGAGAAGAGGAAATAGATCTACAAAGTACTTAAAGCAATAAAAGTGAGAAATAAAATAACTTGATTTGGTGCTTTCGTGACTGCAGGAATTACTCTTTGTTTTTTTTCGGTAAAGTCACGTAGAAATAAGAAATAGTAATAATAAAATGAAATTACATAATAGCATACGACGTTTCGATTGCAACGCAAGCAATCATCATCAGGTATAGAAGAGCTACATTTAAGAGAGAGAGGAAACACAGAGAGATGGAGAGGCACATCAAATTGAACAGTCCCTGTGGGCATGCTAATCTGATTTCTGTGCCCCCTACCGCCCCCTCACCACGCTGCAGCGGCATGTGCGGTGGCTCCCAGTCCATGCTAATTTGTATTCCTTTGCTCTGTCTCCGCCCCCCCTCCCTCCCCCTCTATTTAAAGCTTCGACACAGAAGCACTGTTTCACTTTGTCCCATGTGTGTGTCTCTCTCTGTGTGTCTCTGTGCTGGCTCTCTCTGCTTGGATGTCTATATATGTGTCTGTGATCTGTACTCTATCACTCTTAACCTATAATTTAGCAATCTTTGAAATAGCGTAATCAGCTAGACCATGCGTTAATTGTGTTTTGACCGACCCTCTGTGCTGCATTATATTGTTTCCAAATTTTACTAAATCTTGTTCAATTTGATGTGCTTCTCCATCTCTCTGTGTTCCTTCTGTCTCTTAAATTTAGCTCTTCTATACCTGATGATGATTGCTTGCGTTGCAATCGAAACGTCATATGCTATTATGTAATTTTATTTTATTATTATTTCTTATTTATACGTGACTTTACCGAAAAAAACAAAGAGTAGAGTGAGTAATAAAATGTCAGTGTATACGCTCTATCACGAAGATATGTTTTCAACCTTACTATTAAAACAGCTAGAGAGGGAGCCTCCCTTACAGATTATGGTAGCTCATCCCAGTGGAGGGGCTTTATAATAGAGGTTTTTTGGGTTAGATCGTGTAAATAATTATAACTAATTGGCATGCTTTGTTTACGTTTAGTCTACAACACACATTTACAATTGTAGATGTTGTGGGTTTATTCTCCAACACATCGGTGTGCTGAACTAGTAGCTAATTGGCATGTTTGTTTACGTGACAAACCTTGCTAATTTGCTATGTCGGGTGGTGGCAGGTTTAACGACACATTTGTATTTATGCAATCTAACCCGAACAATCTCTATTATGGATGATATTGGTCACGAAAGCCTACGCGTTAAACAGTGTAGGGGCGTATGCTCTGGTGGTGAATGCTCTGCCACCTGCACGTTGTCTCTGCACGGTGGCTGTGTCCTGTGGCCTAAGAGGCCAACTATAGAACGTTATGAGGTCAACAGTTTCTTTAGGTACGAGCGACGATGGTCATGTGGAGAGGGAAGCTCTTCGGAAGGCGGGGGAGCAGACGCACACTGTAGGAGGCGGGGTTGAAGATAGGGTTGTTGTCGTTGATGTCGATGATGCGGATGGAGACGGGTGCGTCCGTGTTGCGGGGCGGTGTCCCGCGGTCCTGCGCTCGCACCGTGAAGTTGAGCCACTTGACCTGCTCGTAGTCGATCGTGCGGTTGATGGTGATCTTGCCTGCGCATCAAAGAAAGACGACAAGAGGTGAGGAAACATGCTGATGAATAATAATGAAAAGCCCTTTGTCCACTCTCTGCTGGGTGAAGGCCTCCCCACGTCGTGCTGGTCGTAAGGCGTGGTTTTGATCATACTTCACCATTCTGGATAGCGCGGCTCGGTGAATGGGGGTGGATGGCGTGGCCAGGACCAGTTTGGATATCATACGCCGCTGATGTCATAAAAGGAATTCAGATGACTGGGTTCGTAATCCAGTGTGCTAACCGCTCCACTCGCTAGATAACCCGGGTGTAATTCTGTCATGGCTTAAAAAAATATATATTTAGTTGGTGTGTTTGAAAAATATAATCGCTTCTCTCTATATTTATGTGAGAGCCTCTTGAGATTCATTATCTCTTAAAGAAAGGGATGCTAGAGATGTTCTTACTATTTGGGGACAGGTATGAATCATTGCAACCGCAATATACATTGAGGGTGTTGTACTCTGAACCAAAGCACACACTGACCTCCCAGCATGAATTTGTTTAATGTCGCAAATAAACTGCCGGACAAAAGTGAAAACCAAAAGATTGAATGTTACTCAATAGGCTCATTGGAAAGTTCACTCGCCCCAAGATGAACCCATTCTCAGGAGGTGCAGCCGCGGTGGCGAGATGTTAACGACCTTGCCCGGTATACAGGAGGTTGTGGGTGCGATGCCGACCCTGACGCCTGTATATTGTGAGTTTGCGTGTTCTCCCTGTGTTCGCCTGGATATATCTCCGGGTCCTCCGGTTTTCCCCTCCACATTTAGAAACATGCGTTTAGAGTATTTGGCTGCTATAAATTTCCACATGATAAGCTACCTCGCTGAGCTATCATTTGTGGCCAGGTTGCTTCTGAAAAAGAGCTCTATAGCTCAGTGGGCCTTACCTGGTAAAACAAAAATAGTCTTATTCTTAGTTTTTTCGGTAAAGTCACGTTGAAGAGAAACAACAAAATAACAAAATATATATAAAACAATAAAAAATTCTCACGACGTTTCGACCATAACTCAAACGGTCATCATCAGGTGTGTCGGTTTGCATAAATTTATTTTTTAAACGGCACATTTATTTATTTATAAAAACGTTGGCGTCACGCGCAGCGATTGGCAGTTTGCCCAGGACTAGTCCATCTATTTTTTTGAAAAGAGGAGGGGGGAGACGAATTTTTTTATAATGTATGCTGTCTGAAAGCCACTGTAAGCGTGAACAATCAATCAAGAACTGAAATGATTTATCAAATCTTTCCAATGATTTCTAAGATAGAATCCATCTTCTCGGTTGAAATTGTCTCTGTGCTTGTATATGTGGATAGCCTCATGAACGAATCTCTCATGGAAGCCAGTTGGCTTACAAAGAACCTCCGTCTTGGAAAAGTCAATGGCATGTGAGCCTACTGAATTAGAACAATGATCTGCTACGGCCGAGGTGTTGGTCCTACCGTGTTTAAGGTCTGCTTTATGTTCACGAATGCGGTCCGAGACATGGCGTTTGGTTTCTCCAATGTAACTACTACCACAGAGGCAACTTAGTTTGTAGACACCAGGGTATTGTATGTCCGGAATCACATCTTTTACAGACGGAACCAGATCACGGGTTTTATGTAATGTGTTGAAACGGACCTGGATCTTGTGTTTATTCAAGATTTTGGAGATCTTTTTTGTGATACCAGCAATGTAGGGTAAAGTGATGGTTTTGAAAGGCTCCTCAAGAGGGTTCTTCTTCATGGTTTGAGTGATAGCTTTGCGGATTGTATAGTCGGAGTAACCATTAGCCCTAAGAGCTTGGTGTACATGCTTGAGTTCACTGCTTATGTGTTCCTGGTCGGATATGCATTGGGCTCTATGATACAGAGTCTTGATGAGAGAATTCTTCTGTGATGGATGGTGGTGGGAATCCGGTTTCAGATAAGCATCCGTATGGGTAGCTTTCCTGTAGACAGAGTGGCTCATTGAACCATCAGGTCTCTTTTTATCAGGTCTCTTTTTATTAAAAAGAGACCTGATGGTTCAATGAGCCACTCTGTCTACAGGAAAGCTACCCATACGGATGCTTATCTGAAACCGGATTCCCACCACCATCCATCACAGAAGAATTCTCTCATCAAGACTCTGTATCATAGAGCCCAATGCATATCCGACCAGGAACACATAAGCAGTGAACTCAAGCACGTACACCAAGCTCTTAGGGCTAATGGTTACTCCGACTATACAATCCGCAAAGCTATCACTCAAACCATGAAGAAGAACCCTCTTGAGGAGCCTTTCAAAACCATCACTTTACCCTACATTGCTAGGATCACAAAAAAGATCTCCAAAATCTTGAATAAACACAAGATCCAGGTCCGTTTCAACACATTACATAAAATCCGTGATCTGGTTCCGTCTGTAAAAGATGTGATTCCGGACATACAATACCCTGGTGTCTACAAACTAAGTTGCCTCTGTGGTAGTAGTTACATTGGAGAAACCAAACGCCATGTCTCGGACCGCATTCGTGAACATAAAGCAGACCTTAAACACGGTAGGACCAACACCTCGGCCGTAGCAGATCATTGTTCTAATTCAGTAGGCTCACATGCCATTGACTTTTCCAAGACGGAGGTTCTTTGTAAGCCAACTGGCTTCCATGAGAGATTCGTTCATGAGGCTATCCACATATACAAGCACAGAGACAATTTCAACCGAGAAGATGGATTCTATCTTAGCAATCATTGGAAAGATTTGATAAATCATTTCAGTTCTTGATTGATTGTTCACGCTTACAGTGGCTTTCAGACAGCATACATTATAAAAAATTTCGTCTCCCCCCTCCTCTTTTCAAAAAAAATAGATGGACTAGTCCTGGGCAAACTGCCAATCGCTGCGCGTGACGCCAACGTTTTTTATAAATAAATAAATGTGCCGTTTTAAAAATAAATTTATGCAAACCGACACACCTGATGATGACCGTTTGAGTTATGGTCGAAACGTCGTGAGAATTTTTTATTGTTTTATATATATTTTGTTATTTTGTTGTTTCTCTTCAACGTGACTTTACCGAAAAAACTAAGAATATGAATTACTGCAGTCACGAAAGCTTTAAATCAAAAATAGTCTTGTTTATATAATTTAGTTTAGTATCCCTCTAGATTCTGAGTAGGCGCACAACAATACACTGCTGCCCTCTCTCAGTGGGTTGTCATTACTCAGGACCACAAATAATTCAAGTATAAATAACTTTTGTTAAGTTTGCATTGTTTAATTCAAATTTCCTGTATTAATTATTGTATTCTCATTTGTTGTTCATCAACTTTAAGGCCTGTTGCACTTTCCATGATCATTCTCACCATTTACACTATCCGACATACGTCTAGTGTGCACCGCCATGTGGCCTTCCACATTCATTTCCACCATTAACCCTACAAACAATATTCGCGTTGAGAATACCGTAATTACCCCTTGCACAAAACAAAGACAAATATCCCCCGCATAGCCTTAATAAAACAGTTGGAGCAAGTGCTGTTAGCAAGCACCTTTGCAGGTCGGCACGGCACACAAGGGGGTGTGTGGCCAGCACCACGCCCGGCCGCCTTAGTCTCCCCAGTGGCAATGTTTACACAATGTACGAGTACTCATTCGAGGCTGAGTCGACCTAGGGGAGGCCCTGGACCAGTTCAGATAATTGTCACTGGTGTTGGCCGTGAGCGGGAATCGAACCCAAGTCGCCGGGTTTGCAGCGCAGCGTAGCGCTACCGCTCCCCACACACACTCACACACGACTCAAGAGTAACGATGACGTTCATCGGTGAATTGTCGCACGACGCCGCCTCGGCGCACCTGACACGGGGTCGTCCAGCCGCACGTACTGCCCGGCAGGCAAGTCGAGCAGCTGGTAGCTGACCTCGCCATTGGGGCCCTTGTCAGGGTCGACGGCCGACACGGAGAGCAGCGTAGTGCCGGGCAGCGCGCCCTCGATGACCGCGTCGCTGAAGGCCGCCACGCCGCGTGGGCGGAACCACGGCGCGTTGTCGTTCACGTCCACCACGCTCACCGTCAGCACGGCTGGCCAGAGGAATGGCAGCACGGCCGGGGTGATTATTGTCACATTAACAACAGTAAATGCGACTCTACTAGCGTGTGCCTACTTGGCCGAGCTGGGCCACAGCGTCATCGTCTGCGTGATTCAGTGCTCTCAGTCCTCCGCCCAGTCTGGATAATGGCAATCCTCAACTGTGCCACACAATGCATGGAGAGGCCCTCATCCAGCAGTGAATTGATAGAAGGGGCTGTAAATGTACATATTTATAAAGAGGGGGGGGGGCTTGCAGAGTCTCAAGACTCTTTATCCCAGGTGGTCCTGCATTGAGATGATTGGCCAATTCCTTTTTTGAGAGTTTTGCCTGCAGGATAATATTAGAGTTTCAAGAGAAATTCCATTATGCATACAAGGGGACAAGCCTAAATGCGCTGCACAGATAACTTAAGAACAGACAGATGTTGTGCAATCTCTAAATCAAACCTCGCAGCCAAAGCCTCCAACACATGGTATTTCCAGGAAGTCTCTCACCTCAGAACGAACCAGGCTTAAACCCCACGAAGCTTCTGGTTGATTGGGCTCAATGCCTTTGCAATCCCGTAATCATCGGAGACTCTGCACCTCTGTACAAGTTATATTTGTTCGAGTTACTCTTGCTACCGACGCACGAATCGTTTGCTGCACGGTACCATTGGGGTTGCTGACGGACACGTTGATTGAGCCGCTGGCCTTGTCCCGCACGGAGACGGTGAGTACGTACGAGGCCACCTTCTCTCGGTCCAGCGCCGAGTTGAGGCGCACATCGCCTGCACGAGATGGCAACGGTGGCCACGGTGGAGATCATTTCTCAAACGTATCACCACCCAACCGCTCGTCGCTCATCAGCTATCCCCATCGATGATAGATCAATCAGGCACCCATCTCACATCATCTGTCAATCACCAGCCATTATCCATCAGTACTAATATTGAAGGACACATAATTCATGATGGGTGATGACTGGTAAATAAGAGTTTCAACGCACTGAACCAGCGCAGTTAAGAAACTTGAACAAATTCTCCGTTATGCTTGTAACGTCTCATCGTATGAATATTATTTGTATTGTTGCATATTGAGGGCCATTCTCCAATGTGATGAGTGCCACTGCTGTCGGAGCGAGTGCCACAGAGGGAAATGCATGGCAATGTAGATAACACAGGGATGTATGTACGTTGATCTTCTATCACACCGGATGTAGCCAACTAATGCTAATTGGAGGTGTGAGGGAAGGACAACAAACTAAACACAAAAAAACAGTTCTAAAGAAAGGAGTTTGTCAATCTAAATAATTTTAAAGTGCACAGCTTCAGTGACTTCCTAATATGGGAAGATGGCCGCAGAAACACATCAGGGATGTAATCGATGTGAAATTTCGTGTAGGAGAGAAAGGCGATACCTGTGGTGAAGTCGATAGCGAAGACGTTCCACTGGTTCGGCACGATGGCATTGGCGTCATCGTACGCCAGAACCTCGATGATGAAGTACTCCAGCTGGGGGTTCAGGTCGAGGTCCAGAGCGGTCACCTGGACAGAGGCCACAACGCAGTTCACCACCCGCCCATTAAAACCACCCAGTCACCCAACAAGCACACCCACCCAAAACCACCAAACGCGCACCCACCCACCTAACGCACCCTCCGACGCACCCACCTATCCAACCATGTACCCACCCACCCACGGATCCACCCATCCATAACTACCCAGCCATTCAATGAACCCAACCCACCGAGAGACCCAATGCACACATCCACCTACCCAACCAGCTACACAACACCAACCAACCACCCAAATCACCCAGTCACCAAAGAAACCCAACCTACTCAAAACCACCCAAGCCACCCAACGCACCCACCCATGCAACCACCCACCCACGTACCCACCCATTCAGCCACACATGCACGCACCAACACACCCACCCACCCGAACCACCCAATGCACCCACACACCCAAAACTACCCGCCCAGCCACCCACGTGAACCATCCAGCCACCCAACCAACAACCCAACTACCCAACCAGAATATTGTCTGGCTAGAAGATTTCCTGGATCTGGGAATCACACTCCTAGAAGTGGATAAGAAGGCCAGATACACAGCTGAAGGATGATGCTGAGGCATTAAGCTACAATGAGCAAGTAATGAGTCAATGAATCGTGCCATTAGTATTGCTATCATTGTGCTTGTTTACCCAGGAAAGCCTCATTCACTCTCAATACTCTTTTAAGGAGGGTCCCCCAAAGTTTGCAAAGTAGGGGGCGATGTTGCTACGTGTCATCCCAATTGAGTCATGTGCAGCTATTTCTTTCAGCATTGGAATATTTGGCTAATATCACTAAAATTCTCTGTTGTTTTAGCGATAGGAGGAAGATGGCAAACCCAGAGGAAACCCATGCAGAACAGGCAGAGATCATCGAACCCCCATAGAAAGGAGCTCGAGTTGGGAATCGAACTCAGGCTCTTCTTGCCGTGAGGCATAAACGTGACCAATGCGCCACCATCCTGCCACCCATGCACGATTCTAGCGAACTGGCGTCTGCGTGGGACGGGGACTCGGAGACTCGGCCTTCACCGTGGCCACGAAGGAGCCCACGGAGAGCGACTCGAGCACGGACACAGTCTGCACGGGCGCCAGGAAGGCCGGGCGCTCGTCGTTCACGTCGTCCACAAGCACCCGCACGATGGCGCTGCCCGAGAGCGGGGGGTTTCCCCTGTCCACGGCCACGACCTGCATTGCAACCGCACGACACGCACATGCACGCACGCATGCACGCGCACACACACACGCACGCACGCACACACGCACATATGTATGTTGAACTTCTTTCGTTCCGTACATCGCTAACCATGCTAATCGGAGGTGGAGGAGAAGGACAACAAACACAAAACCACACAACTACACAGCCACACAACCACAGAACCACACACACACAACCACGCACGCACACAGTGATAACGTCAGGGATGCAGCGAGTTACAATCCACGTCTGGATGACTTCATTTCTTCAGGGTTGAGGATCACGTCATGAGAAGATGGGAGCGATCGTTCTGGGACCTGCTAAGAACAATGGGAATGTGACATTTCCACCACTCCATGCTGGCAAGGAGATGAGCATAGCCCCTTTGCTCGATGAGCAGGGAGACACTGATTAGCGTGGCTATGATGAATATAAGTGTAACTATGATATAATTACTATTATTATAGCGGTGCCATATTATAAAGATCAATGTCAAACAATGACAGATCAGGGACAAGCCCACGATTAGCCTCACCCTGCAACCCTGCAGATCCATCTCTTCTCCCTTGCCCATCCTAATACTGCCTGCCCTGCCCCACAAATACAACCAGGCCTACCCCAACCCCTATTACTTCCCCAATCACTACCCCTTTCACGACCCTAACCCCTATCACTACCCCTGTCACTACCCCTATCCCAACCCCTATCACTACCCATTATCACTACCCCAACCCCCATCACATAAAGCTGTTGCGGTATGCCACGTGAGAGATTTGATGCACGTGTGTCTCCGTTCCCCACCGTGAGCGCGCATATGGCACACGAGTGTGCATGAGACTCCTCCACTCGCATGCTCCTGTGGTCGCGTGCTCGCGTGCCTCACCATGAGTGTGTAGGCGGCCCGCGTCTCGCGGTCGATGTTGGCGCCCGGGGCCACGCGAATTATGCCGTCGCTGGGGCCGATGCTCAGCTTGTCCCCACCGCCGCTCTCGATGCGAAAAGTCACCTGGCCATTGGGGCCCGCATCCGCATCCGTGGCCCAAACGGAGGCCACCAGCGTTCCTGGTGCCCCAAGCAGGACAGACGATTATTAGGTCGCCTTTATAACCAAGTAAGGGTGGAGCAGTGGGGCGGTGGTTAGAACATTGCTACTGGGAACCTGTATACTTGAGTTCGATTCCCGGTTGTGGCTAACATCGGTGACGAGCGATACAATGAGGGAAAAAAAGTATTTGATCCCCTGCTGATTTTGTACGTTTGCCCACTGACAAAGAGATGATCAGTCTATAATTTTAATGGTAGGTTTATTTGAACAGCGAGAGACAGAATAACAACAACAAAATCCAGAAAAACGCATGTCAAAAATGTTATAAATTTATTTGCATTTTAATGAGGGAAATAAGTATTTGACCCCTCTGCAAAACATGACTTAGTACTTGGTGGCAAAACCCTTGTATGACAATCAAAAGGTCAGACGTTTCTTGTAGTTGGCCACCAGGTTTGCACACATCTCAGGAGGGATTTTGTCCCACACCTCTTTGCAGATCTTCTCCAAGTCATTAAGGTTTCGAGGCTGACGTTTGGCAACTCAAACCTTCAGCTCCCTCCACAGATTTTCTATGGGATTAAGGTCTGGAGACTGGCTAGGCCACTACAGGACCTTAATGTGCTTCTTCTTGAGCCACTCCTTTGTTGCCTTGGCCGTGTGTTTTGGGTCATTGTCATGCTGGAATACCCATCCACGACCCATTTTCAATGCCCTGGCTGAGGGAAGGAGGTTCTCACCCAAGATTTAACGGTACATGGCCCCGTCCATCGTCCCTTTCATGCGGTGAAGTTGTCCTGTCCCCTTAGCAGAGAAACACCCCCAAAGCATAATGTTTCCACCTCCATGTTTGACGGTGGGGATGGTGTTCTTGGGGTCATAGGCAGCATTCCTCCTCCTCCAAACACGGCAAGTTGAGTTGATGCCAAAGAGCTCCATTTTGGTCTCATATGACCACAACACTTTCACCCAGTTGTCCTCTGAATCATTCAGATGTTCATTGGCAAACTCAGACGGGCATGTATATGTGCTTTCTTGAGCAGGGGGACCTTGTGGGCGCTGCAGGATTTCAGTCCTTCATGGCGTAGTGTGTTACCAATTGTTTTCTTGGTGACTATGGTCCCAGCTGCCTTTAGATCATTGACAAGATCCTCCCGTGTAGTTCTAAGCTGATTCCTCACCGTTCTCATGATCATTGCAACTCTACGAGGTGAGATCTTGCATGGAGCCCCAGGCCGAGGGAGATTGACAGTTCTTTTGTGTTTCTTCCATTTGCGAATAATCGCACCAACTGTTGTCACCCTCTCACCAAGCTGCTTGGCAATGGTCTTGTAGCCCATTCCAGGTCTACAATCTTGTTCCTGACATCCTTGGAGAGCTCTTTGGTCTTGGCCATGGTGGAGAGTTTGGAATCTGATTGATTGATTGCTTCTGTGGACAGATGTCTTTTATAGCGGTAACAAGCTGAGATTAGGAGCACTCCCTTTAAGAGTGTGCTCCTAATCTCAGCTCGTTACCTGTATAAAAGACACCTGGGAGCCAGAAATCTTTCTGATTGAGAGGGGGTCAAATACTTATTTCCCTCATTAAAATGCAAATCAATTTATAACATTTTTGACATGCGTTTTTCTGGATTTGGTTGTTATTCTGTCTCTCACTGTACAAATAAACCTACCATTAAAATTATAGACTGATCATTTCTTTGTCAGTGGGCAAACGTACAAAATTAGCAGATCAAATACTTTTTTCCCTCACTGTATATTAATCCATGATGGGCCTCCAACACCTAATCAACCTGCCCTGACCAGCGTGATGAAGTATGTTCAAACAACTGCCATGATCAACGTGGCACAGGGAGGCAGTGGTTAAACACCGCCGCCCCCGCAAAGAGTCACTTCTTTATTTCAGGTGTTAACGGTATCTTCTCACAACACTTGGTCAACTGACATTTTCAGACAGTACAATAAACTGGTTTAAGAGTTATCTTTCAGACCATTCTTAAAATGTACATAGTTAAACCATCTCATCCACAAATATTAAAATATAAAAGGGTGTTCCACTAGCTTCCATGATGGGTCCAATTCTGTTCTTATATTTAAACAATTTTGAATTAAACTTAAATTAGTCAGAATTAAATCTCTTTGCTGATGACAATGAAATGCTAGTATCAGGTAAAACTCCAAATGAGGTCAAATAGATGGACCATACAGGACCCACCATTGTGATCTACATTTGATGCACGAAGCAATCAACATTAGGCGCTGTTCATCCATAAAATCCTTATTGGCAAATCTGTGCTGTACTTAGATAATCATCTAATTAATTAACCCCATTGTCAAACCCAAGAAACCTAAGACGTCCATCTAATTGCCTTTTAACTATCCATAGAACAATTGGAACAGGTGACACAGCTTTTGCTATTGCAGCACCAACGTTTTGCAACAACCTTTTCTCCTCCCTTAACATTGTGAATCTTCTTTCAAAAATCATCTTGAAGCAGAAGATTAGTGCTGGATTCAACCACATTAGCCAATGCAATTTGTAACTTTGATCCCTACCCGTGTATCGATAGTTCAATTTTTATGTGCAATTTTATTGAGGGACTGTGTGTTGTTGTCTCGGTGTGGTCTGGAACGGTTGTTATTGTTTTGCTGCCTTGTCCAAGCTTGCATTTCGTGTTGGCAAATCGGCAGGAATGTTTGTAATTGTGCAATTTGTACTGATGTTATTTATTTATAGGAACTTGTTTAAATTGAAAAAAGTGGCGTTTTTTTAACGTTAGCACCACGGAGAGCGATTTGGCAGTTATTCAGATGGACGAGTCCATCTATGTTCGGAAAAGAGGAGGGAGGAGACGAAAATAATGGATGCGGTCTGAAAGCGACTGTAAGTGTGAACAATCAATTTAGACCCGAAATGGTTTATCAAATCCTTCCAATGATTGCTAAACCATAATCCATCTTCTCGGTTGAAATTGTCTCTGTGTTTGTACATGTGGATAGCCTCATGAACGAATCTCTCATGGTAGCCAGATGGCTTGCAGAGAACCTCTGTCTTGGAGAAGTCAATGTCATGTGAGCCTACTGAATTATAACAGTGATCTGCCATGGCCGAGGTGTTGGTCCTACCGTGTTTTAGGTCTGCTTTGCGTTCACGGATTCGGTCCGAGACATGTCGTTTGGTTTCTCCAATGTAACTACTGCCACAGAGGCAACTTAGTTTGTAGACGCCAGGGTACTGTATGTCCGGAATCACATCTTTTACAGACGGAACCAGATCACGGATTTTATGTAATGTGTTGAATCGGACCTGGATCTTGTTTATTCAAGATTTTGGAGATCTTTTTTGTGATCCCCGCAATGTAGGGTAAAGTGATGGTTTTGAATGGCTCCTCAAGAGGGTCCTTCTTCATGGTTGGAGTGATAGCTTTGCGAATTGTGTAGTCGAAGTAACCATTAGCCCTAAGAGCTTGGTGTACGTGCTTGAGTTCACTTGCTATGTGTTCGTGGTCGGATATGCATTGGGCTCTGTGGTGCAGAGTCTTGATGAGGGAATTCTTCTGGCATGGATGGTGGTGGGAATCCGGTTTCAGGTAAGCATCCGTATGGGTAGCTTTCCTGTAGACAGAGTGGCTCATTGAACCATCAGGTCTCTTTTTTATTAGGACATCCAAAAAAGGTAGCTTGCCATCTTTTTCGACTTCCATGGTAAATCTGATGGCTGGGTGTATGGAATTGATGTGGTCGAGGAATTGGTCTAGAGCAGGCCGGCCATGTGGCCAGATGACAAAAGTGTCATCCACGTACCTCTTCCATAAGGTTGGGCGCAGAGTGGCAGTCTGGATGGCGTCAGTCTCAAATTTCTACATGAAAATGTTGGCTACAACCGGAGATAGGGGGGAGCCCATTGCGGTGCCCTCAGTTTGTCTGTAGAAAGTTCCATTCCAAGTGAAGTATGTATTGGTTAAACAGTGTCTCACCAGGGGGGGTACCTCAGTGTTTAGTCCTTGATGAACCAAGTCTTCAATGATTGTGATGGTGTCAGGTACAGGAACTTTGGTGAATAAGGAAACTAAATCAAAACTGACAAGCAGGTCGTCTGGGGACAGGGAAATACCCTTGATTGTTGATACCAGGTGAGTAGAATTTTGTACCACAGAGGTGGTTTTTCCAGTGAAAGGCCGTAGGATTTCAGACAGAAAACGAGGCAGTTTGTAGGTGGGGGAGTTGATAATAGAGACGATGGGACGAAGGGGTGTATCTACTTTATGTATTTTTGGTAAGCCGTATAATCTTGGTGACCTGGCAGCAGAAGGTTTCAACGAGAACTGTTTGGTTTGCTCAATTAATGCGGTTGAATCAAAAATGATTTTGTTGGTTTGTATGACGAGGCTGTTGGTGGGATCTCTCTTTTTTTTTGTATAGCTGCCATCGTTGAGTACAGTGAGGGAAAAAAGTATTTGATCCCCTGCTGATTTTGTACGTTTGCCCACTGACAAATAAATTATCAGTCTAAAATTTTAATGGTAGGTTTATTTGAACAGTGAGAGACAGAATAACAACAACAAAATCCAGAAAAACGCATGTCAAAAATGTTGTATCTTGATTTGCATTTTAATGAGGGAAATAAGTATTTGACCCCCTCTCAATCAGAAGGATTTCTGGCTCCCAGGTGTCTTTTATACAGGTAACGAGCTGAGATTAGGAGCACACTCTTAAAGGGAGTGCTCCTAATCTCAGCTTGTTACCTGTATAAAAGACATCTGTCCACAGAAGCAATCAATAAATCAGATTCCAAACTCTCCACCATGGCCAAGACCAAAGAGCTCTCCAAGGATGTCAGGTACAAGATTGTAGACCTACAAAAAGCTGGAATGGGCTACAAAACCATTGCCAAGCAGCTTGGTGAGAAGGTGACTTTACCGAAAAAAACAATGAGTAAGGTGACAAAAGTTGGTGCGATTATTCGCAAATGGAAGAAACACAAACGAACTGTCAATCTCCCTCGGCCTCGGTCTCCATGCAAGATCTCACCTCGTGGAGTTGCAATGATCATGAGAACGGTGAGGAATCAGCCCAGAACTACACGGGAGGATCTTGTCAATAATCTCAAGGCAGCTGAGACCATAGTCGCCAAGAAAACAATTGGTAACACACTACACCGTGAAGGACTGAAATCCTGAAGCACCCGCAAGGTCCCCCTGCTCAGGAAAGCACATATACATGCCCGTCTGAAGTTTGCCAATGAACATCTGAATTATTCAGAGGACAACTGGGTGAAAGTGTTGTGGTCATATGAGACCAAAATGGAGCTCTTTGGCATCAACTCAACTCGCCGTGTTTGGAGGAGGAGGAGGAATGCTGCCTATGACCCCAAGAACACCATCCCCACCGTCAAACATGGAGGTGGAAACATTATGCTTTGGGGGTATTTTTCTGCTAAGGGGACAGGACAACTTCACCGCATCAAAGGGACGATGGACGGGGCCATGTACCGTCAAATCTTGGGTGAGAACCTCCTTCCCTCGGCCAGGGCATTGAAAATGGGTCGTGGATGGGTATTCCAGCATGACAATGACCCAAAACACATGGCCAAGGCAACAAAGGAGTGGCTCAAGAAGAAGCACATTAAGGTCCTGGAGTGGCCTAGCCAGTCTCCAGACCTTAATCCCATAGAAAATCTCTGGAGGGAGCTGAAGGTTCGGGTTGCCAAACGTCAGCCTCGAAACCTTAATGACTTGGAGAAGATCTGCAAAGAGGAGTGGGATAAAATCCCTCCTGAGATGTGTGCAAACCTGGTGGCCAACTACAAGAAACGTCTTACCTCTGTGATTGCCAACAAGGGTTTTGCCACCAAGTACTAAGTCATGTTTTGCAGAGGGTCAAATACCTATTTCCCTCATTAACATGCAAATCAATTTATAACATTTTTGACATGCGTTTTCCGGATTTTTTTGTTGCTATTCTGTCTCTCACTGTTCAAACAAACCTACCATTAAAATTATAGACTGATCATTTCTTTGTCAGTGGGCAAACGTACAAAATCAGCAGGGGATCAAATACTTTTTTCCCTCACTGTAATTCTTGAATTTTGTTGTTATATTCTATTTTATCCATGATGAAAGTGGCATTGCCCTTGTCGGATGAGAGGATGACAATGTCATCCCTCTTTTTAAAATCATATATTTCAAAACGCTCATCTTTGCTGAGGTTGCTAGCTGGCATCTTAGCGTTTTAGAGGTTTGCAGCGATTTCAGATCTTGCTACGTCTGCAGCGATGTGACCCAGGCCCTTGAGAGCCACGTCTACTTGGGCAATGATATCATTAACTGGTATGTGTTTAGGTGTGACTGCAAAGTTTAGCCTTTTAGCTAAAACGGATTTCAGACCATCGGAAATAGAACTGTTACTGCGATTAATTACGACTTTGTTAACATCTAGCTTTTTGGTGTGTGGGTCCGGTCTTTTGTTGGCGAGTAGGTTAAATTTGGAAATCAGGTTGTCCTTACATTTGGTCGACATAGTGGCAGCTGAAGAGGCAGTCATATTGTCTACATGTTCCCAATCCGATGTGGACATTGTTGCCGTCAATGATAAGTCTGATTTGTAGAAATGTCTTGTCTAACTGATCTAGTTCAGTGTGTATAAGTCTGATTTTCTCTGAGATAAGAGCTAAGCTAGATCTGGAAAGAATTCGTTTCACACCTGATGATGATTGCTTGTGTTGCAGTCGAAACGTCATGAGAATTTAATTGTTTTATAATTGTTTCTCTTCTATGTGACTTTACTGAAAAATACAGTCACGAAAGCTTTAAATGAAAAATTGTTTAAATTTGTTCTATTTTGCACTTCTATTGTTGTTTGTATTGTTTGTTGGTGTAACTTGCTGACCCGCCCCTACTGGACATCTGTGAAAAAGAGCTTAATAGCTCATCAGATTCCTCATGCAGTCTAAATAAACATCATGTGATAAATGTAGATCACGAAAGATAAATATATTTCATGATCTTACTCAGACATTTGAATCTATTGCTTTCAAAGAGCATAAATTAAGCTACCTCATTTATATTTTTTAATTTTTCGATTTAAAGCTTTCGTGACTGCAGGTATTCATCTTCTTGGTTCTATCGGTAAAGTCATAGTAGAATGGAAAAAAAAAAAAAAATCTATTTTTTATTTTATTTTTTATTTTATTTTATTATGTTTTATTTATATTTTTTATGTTGACTGTCAATATTTCTGTCTATAATTAGCTTTACTTTATGTGCATGCATGTAAATATGTACGTTTGTATGTGTGTGTGTCTTGGTATTCTAGTTCAATTCCTGCTCAGGACCAATAACAATGGCGAATATTTGAACTGGTCTTGGGACTTCCCTAGATCAACTCAGCTTTAAATGAGTACCTGGCACGGCATGTAAACATCAGCAGTGGGAGTGGCGGCCGGGCATGATGCTGGCCAATCATCCCGTCGTGTGGCATGCCGGCCCTCAAAGGTGCCGCTCGCTACCGGCGCTTGCCCCCGCGGTCTGCTCAAGGCTATGCGGGGCGGGGGTGGGGGGTCATTGTGTCGGTACCTGCAGGGCTGTTCTCGAGCACGTGCGCGGTTTGCGACGTCACGTTGAAGGTGGGCGTGTTGTCGTTGACGTCCAGCACGGTGACCCCGAGCCGCACCGTCGCGTTCCGCCGACCCCCATCCTGCACCAGGATGGTGAGCTCCAGGCGCCCCCCAGGGATACCCTCGCGGTCCAGACCCTGCCCCAACGCCATTGACACGTTCCCTGCACACGCATACACAGGGGTACCGTGGGTACTAAAGGGACTCCAGGAACTAAAGGGACTACGGGTACTAAAAGGACTCTGGCAGTAGCATAGCTCTCACGTATGCAGGCAGTGCAACTGCACGGAGGCCCGTGGGCTGCAGGGGCCCAAGCCCGGGGTTACACAGAGGAGGGCCCATGCCAACCGTGCTTCGCTGGACTCTGGGTACTAAAGGGACTCTGGTTACTAACAGGGACGGGGAGGTGAAGTGATGGCTATCGCTAGCAGTCTGTGTAGTTTTTCGTTCATTAATTTAAGTGCACGTGGTGATTTTGCTAAATTGGCACAGTGGCAAGAAAGTCCAGGAAATGAGGGCTCGGGAGAGATTAAGACTGCAAGGTTTTGAACGCTTTTTTCCAGTTCAATGTGGGAAATTAGCAGGTGTTATGATGATATGTATGTTGAACTTCTTTTCATTGTACGTAGCCAACCGTGATAATTGGAGGAGGAGTGGATACAATCAATGGAATTGTCTGAAAGAGACCCAAAATCTGATGAGAAAAGGGACAACTGACTACATGTAGGCGAGCAGCTGCAGTAGAATTGGTGGAAATCATATCACATGGGGTCATTGTGACCATGCACGGAGCGGTGCTAGGAGAGGTGGGAAAATGTAACCCTTTTTCTAGAATGGAGGTGTCAGAAAACATGAAAAAGGCAGTGATTCTGGAGCCTCATGTTCGGTTTCGTCAGGATGGGAGCTACAGCAGGGGAACATTACCAGAAGAGATGGAGGCACTGACAATGCAGCTTACAATTGGGGCCAGGGTGGGTAGGCAGTGATGGATGAGCGCATTACAGGCGCGTCGTACTCCTGCTCAGACATTATCTGGGATTGGGCTCGGGACCCGGGTGGTGTGGCGAGGCTGTCCTGTATACCTCTGTCGCGGTCGATGAGAAAGTACGCCGAGCTGCCCCCCAGCAGCGAGTACGCGAGCGTCGCGTTCACCCCAAAGTCGGCGTCGCTCGCATAGATGGGCCCGTTGAGCACCGTCAGGACCGTTCCTGATCACGGACACGTTACAGGCAAATGAGCGTCTCGGTACACTGCATTACGTGTAGAGCCCAGCCAGGACAAGATGGATGAGTTTTGCGCTTGCCAATCGTGCTGATTTAAGTGATAAGCTGCCAATATGAATGCCGTTCTATCGCGTACATGTTCGAGGCTAACCGTACTGATTTATCACATTCACGAATGCAGTTAAAGGGTTTAAAATTGGGGTTGGCGAATGTGAAGTTGAACCAATCTAGGTGTGCTTGCTTTCATGCCGCTGTGCTTATAACTCCATGTGTGGGCTGTCGATATGTCATGCAAGGGATGTCAAGTGATGAAATCTATTTGAAAAACAACGAATGTCAGTCAATTCCACTGCTAATGAAATTATAACATCGGACACGGGAGCTGAAAATCCAATAATTTAACATCAGCATCATAGGTTTGTGAAATACATAAATAACTAAATTGTATTGCTGTGTCTAATATTGCTGCACGGTTCTTGCATTACCACAACCCACACACTATATTATCACTATATTATCACTATATTATCACAATATTATCACACATGGTACTCTTTGAACACAAACACGGGAGTGAACTGCATTCACCGTTTGGAGAATTCTCCGGGATCTCTGCCTCGTACGTGACTTGAGAAAATACCGGACTGTTATCGTTTTCATCCAGAATGGTCACAATCATGATGTCGGAATCCTGCAGGGAGACCGGACCAAGATAAGAGAAAGCCATTGTGCAATCACACATCAAAAGAAAATATTCCCCTGGATATCCTTTAAGAGACTGTTGGGGCAAGTTCTGTTAGCGAGCACCTATTCAGACCGGCCAGCAAGGAATATGAGGTGTTTGGTCAACACCAAGCCCGGCCGCCTTTGCCTCCCCAGTGCTGATGTTTGTACACACTACACCAGGTACGTATTTAAGGCTGATTCGACTTTGGGGAAACCAGTTCTAATATTCGCCACCGATGTTGGCTGTGAGTGGAAATTGAACTTGGGTCGCCGGATTGGTAGTGCAGTGCACTAACCAGATCAGCCCACATCAGCACACACGCAAATATCTCCTCCCCTACTGTCTAGCCATGCAGACGAGGGGGGGCAAGTGCTGTTCGAGCCACATGTGGGGAAGTGTGACCAGCATCATCCCTGAGTATCTCCACAGTGCTGATGTTTACACACTGCATTGGGTACTTATTTAAGGCTACATTTAACCCAAAACAGGTTCAGATACCACATCCCACTGATGTAATTCGTGGCTACCAATAAAACGTGATTCAGTGGTATCATAGCTTAGTTCGCTGGCCACTGCACTACTACTACCTCCCCATCACACATGCACACACGTGTGCATACCCACACACATCCATACACGTGTGCACATACACGAATATTCATGCACACATGCACAACAGCTGTCATTTAGTGACATCACCAGGGCGCTTGTTCCAGGCAAAATACTTTGAGGTTATGTGAAAAGTCAGCTGTTATGGATTAACTGACAGATGCACAACCTGTGCTCCCCACTGTGCCAGCTTGCACGCACACAATCATACATGCACACACACATATACAAATAAAACTAAAACAAATATCCCCCATACAGCCTTTAACAGATTGTTGGGGCAAGTGCTTTTAGCGATCACCGCTGAAGGCCGGCACAGCCCACGAGAAGGCGGTTAGCCAACACCAAGCCTGGCCACCTTTGTCTCCCCAGTGGCAATGTTTAGACATCACCACCAGGTACTCACTTGAGGCCGATTCGACCTAGGAGAGGCCCAGTTCAGGTTCTGACATTAGCCACAGTCATCAGTCGCGAACGGGAATCGAACTTGGGCTGTTGGGTAGATAGCGCAGTGCTCGAATCGCCACAACACTAGACCACTCCCCGCACACACAATCACAACACAATGAAGACGACAGCCTCCATGGGCGTGCACCTTGCGAGCGTAGCTGGGGTTGTCGGGGTTGTCGCGGACCGTCAGCGTGAGTCTGTACTCGGCCACGCGCTCGCGGTCCAGCGGCCGGTTCACGTAAACGAGCCCCGTCTGAAAGGCACCCGACGTGGACGGGACATCTCTGAGACCTCATCCGGTTTCACGGAGAGCTCTTCTGCGGTCAAGCTCTGCTTTTAACTTTTGCGTTTGAATCAAAGCAGCCCCGTGGCTGTGGGTCCCTGTGTGAGGCTATGGTTCTCTATCTGAGTCTTTAAGAGTTTCCATGTGAGCCTATGGGTTTCATGTGAGTCTATGGATCTCTACGCAAATATATGGGTCTTTGTGTCAGTGTATGGGTCTCTGTGTGAGTCTATGGATCTTTATGTAAGTCTATGGGTCTCTTGGCGAGTATATGAGCCTCTCTGTACGTCTATGGATCTCCATGTACATCTATGGATCTCTGTGTGAGTATAAGGGTCTTCGTGTGAGTCCATGGGTCTCTGTTTAAGTCAATGGGTCCCTGTGTTAGGCTATGGTACTCTATGTTGAGTGTATGGGTCTCTTTGTGAGTCAATGAATCTCTATGTGAGTCAATTCTTCTCGATGTGAGTCTGTGTATCTCTGTGTGAGTCTATCATGGAATCACTTTGTTGACTTTTCTGACTGTCAGCATAAAAGGCCCTCTCCCCGTTGCAGAAAGAGAGGCGTGCGTATGCGAGTGTGTGTGTGCGCGTGTATGCACATAGGTGTGTGCGTGCGTGTGTTGTACGTTTGTGTTTGTGCATGTGTGTGTGCATGTGTGCAAAACAACCCCCTACCTCCTCGCGGTGCCGGACGGGCAACTCTGTCGTGGACAGTGCTGTGGGGGGAAGGCCAGTTCCGATTGGCTCCTCCCCTCATGGCGTCTGTGTCCACCACAGTGGCTAAACGGGGGCTCTGGACGGGTGCGAGGGGCTGGTAACCCCTTCACCTTCAATTAATTACCACTAAACCACGAGTTAAACTGAAATATGTAACTAATAAGCTTGTGCCGGAGGCCGCGGGGGGACAGGCGTCTATGACGTCTCCTGGCCAAACCCCAATTGGCGGAGCCAAGAGATTGAATCTCTACCCTCGGGGCTCCTCCAGAAACAACGAAAAGCCACTACGGATGGCCACGTGGAATGTTCGAACACTCACTGCGGAGGAGAGGCTGCCACTCCTCTGTCGGGAGCTGGACCGGTACCGCCTGGATCTCTGTGGCATTCAGGAGGTCCGATGGGCTGGTTCTGGCTCCTGCCACCATGAGGGGTGGACAGTCCTCTACTCGGGGCAGCAGACTGCCAAACAATAGGGTGTGGCTCTTCTTTTGAACAAAAGAATGAAGGGGGCGTAGGAGCGTGGCGGTGAGGTGTGGGAAGCTGTAAGCCCCAGGCTACTTTGGGCTCGCCTTCCCATCAACCGGAGGCGAGGAGTGGTGGTCGTGGTTACTTATGCCCCCACCGAAGACGAACATCCGTGGAGGGATGCAGGCAAAGCCGATGAGTCAGATGCCTTCTATGACCTCCTGTCACAGGTGCTGGCTAAAGTGGCACCTCGGGATAGAGTCATCATGTTGGATGACTTCAATGCCCGAGTTGGTCATGATGCTGGCACCTGGTCTGGAGTGATTGGAGGGCATGGGCCAGATCAGCTCAATAACAACGGTAGGAGGCTGCTAGATTTTTGTGCAGCCCATGGGCTTGTAATTACCAACACGCTGTTCCGGCATCGGCGCATCCACACATCATGGATTGATGCCGGGTCCAAGCAAGAACATCTGCTGGACTACATAATGATGGACTAGCGGATGCGAGCCCATGTCCTTGACACCAGGACCTACCGTGGAGCTGATCTGCCCTCTGACCATCGACTAGTCATCTGTAAGATGCGCCTGCCATTCTTCCACTCCGGTGGTGGGTGTACACCCAGGACCCCATTCCAACCTAAAGTGGCCTGGTCTCAGTTATCTGATGAAAGTTGCAAGCGAGAAGTTCATCATCGCTTGCGGCTGGGATTGGCATCATCCCCCACTCCTCCTGATGTCGAGGGTAAATGGGCGAGGTTTAGGACTGTGACTCATGCAGCTGCAATGGCTGCTTTGGGTACGCGGTCCAGACCTCCCCAGAGACCCTGGCTGACAGAGGAGGTGTTCAGGATGGTTGAGAAAAAGCGGCAGGCCCACTGTCATCGGCTACAGAATCCCACGTCAGTGAATCAGGAGGCTTACCGCAGCCTTCGCTCGGAGGTTCGGAGAGCCATGAGGTGCTGCAAGGATGGGTGGTGGTCGCGGGTTGCTGAGGAGATGGAGTCTGCCTCAGTGGCCCGCGATCACAAATCTCTATTTAACTCCATCAAAAAAGTAACCTGCAGCGCCACACCTATTACCATCATTAGGGGAAAAAACGGTGATCCAATCTCCAACCCCCAGGAACAGGTTTGCAGATTTGCTGAGCATTTCTTTGAAATGCTCAGCCTGAGCTGAGCATTTCTTTGAAATGCTCAGCCAGGAAAACATCGTAGCACAAAGTGAGGATGACCCTGCTGGGGCTGCGGTGCCTCAAATATTGGAAGAAGTCCTGTGAGTGGCTGGCTGAAGTACCATCTGTTGAGGAAGTACTGAAGGCGATCCGGAGTCTGAGACCAGGAAAGGCAGCGGGCAGAGATGATCTTCCAAGCGAAATGCTGAGGGAGGGTGGCGTTTGTGCACAGACTGCACTATATGACATCATAACAACAGTCTGAACCACTGGACGGGTTCCGCAGGATTGGAAGGATGCCCTGGTGGTCCCCCTCTTTAAGAAGGGGGACCGCACAGACTGTAACAACTACAGGGGCATCTCACTCCTCAGTGTGCCGGGAAAGGTCCTGGGAAGGATTATTCAACATCGCCTTTGCAGGCACGCTGAGGAGAGGCTTGCGGAGCCCCAATGCGGTTTCAGGAAAGGGCGGTCCTGCACAGATGCCATATTTTCTGTCCTTCTGCTACAGCAGAGGTGTAGGGAATTCCAACAAGACCTACATCTCTGCTTTATTGACCTGGTCAAGGCCTATGATACCATCAGTAGGCCTGGGCTCTGGGTTGTTCTTCGTGCTTTTGGAGTCCCTGACCCTTTGCTCACGATCATTAAGGACCTTCATGATGGTGAGCGGGCCTGGGTAAAACTACGTGGCCGGGAGTCAGAGCCATTCCCTGTACACCTTGGGGTGCGTCAGGGATGTCCTCTGGCTCCCACATTATTTAACATCTATTTTGACCACGTATTTCGTGAAGCCTTCAATAGCTGTACCGGGGGAATCTCCATTTGGTACAGATATAATGGGAGGCTGATCGATGCCCGGGTGCGGTCAAAGGATGGCTCCCTATTGCTCAACCACGTTATGTATGCCGATGATTTGGTAATAGCTGCTCATTCAGAGGAGGAGTTGGAGACGCTGCTGCTGAGACTGGAGCGTGCCACTAAGAGATGGGGCCTTACCATCAGCCCTACCAAAACTAAGCACCTGCCTGGGTATTTTGTACCATCGGACACTCCACCCCCACAACTCCCAATCGGTGATGGGGCAGTTGTGGAGAGAGTGGAGAGTTTCCCATACCTGGGCAGTGTGCTTATGACCGGCTCCAGTTTAACAGCAGAGGTCTCACTCCGAATCAGTCAAGCGGCAACATCTTTTCATCGGTTGCGTAACGCTGTGTGGAAGCTACCTGGTCTGTTGCACCGCACTTAGCTTCAGGTCTTCTCGGCCACAGTCATTCCCTCCCTTCTCTACGCTTGCGAAACGTGGACCCCCCTAATGGAACATCTTCGCCAGTTAGAAACATTTAGGCTGGCCTGCCTACGATCCATCCTGGGTTTAACCAGGCTGGATTGTGTGAGGAGCTCACAAATCCTTGAAAGATCTGGGCAAGGTCCCATCGGTGAGCTCCTCCAGCAGGCAAGGCTGCGTTGGCTGGGTCATGTAGCCCGCATGCCCAGCCACCGCATGCCGAAACAGCTCCTGTTCGGCCGGATCGAGGGGGCTAAATGGGCGCGGCACGGGCTAGAGAAGAGATGGAGTGACGTGGTACAGGAGGACGTGGAGCTGAGTGGACTTGCCGATGACTGGTACCAGCTGTGTCAAGATCGGTCTCTGTGGAGGAGGCTCGTGAAGGACGCTACTGGGCAGTTGCAGGCAGTCGCCCTCCAACAACAACGGAGGGCGGAGGAGCGACGCTCACAACAACGAGCGGAGCGCCGGGTGGCTAAAGCACAGCAGGTTGGCACAGTAGGGGGCACAGTTGGTGCATCAGCCAGTCATCTCAGTCAGTCGACCCGTGGCTCCTGGGTCTGCCCCGTGACCTCCTGCCAGCGGGCGTTCGACACTTCACGTGGCCTCAAGGTGCACATGGCCTGGCACAAGCGTCGTGGTGACGTCACCGCCACTTAGTGGCGTGTGTGTGTGCAAAGGTGTGTGCGTGCGTGTTCGTGAATGTGTGCGTGCATGTGTGCGTGTGAATAGGTGTGTGCATGCATGCATGTGCGTGCGTGTGTGCGTGTGCATGCGTGTGTGTAGGTGTGTGCGTGCGTGTGTTGTGTGAGTTCGTGCGTGTGTAAGATGTGTGTGTGCATGCGTGCGTGCATAGGTGTGCATGTGCGCGCGTGCATAGGTCTGTGCATGCATGCGTGTGCGTGTATGCGTGTGTGCACATGCGTAGCTGTTGTGCGTGTGCGCGCGCGTGTGTGTGTGCACAGGCGGACCGTGTCGTTGATGGCGAAGGCGCCGCCCGTGTTGCCGTCGGTGATGCTGTAGGAGAGCAGCGCATTGCGGCCCTCGTCTGCGTCGCTCGCCCGCACGCGGCTCACGATGGCCAGCACGGCCGCCGCCTCGCTCAGCGACGCGTTGGCCGGCAGGTTGAGGAACACGGGGTCGTTGTCATTGACGTCCAGCACGCGCACGCCCACCGTCAGCTGGTGGGGATGCGGCGGCGTGTGTGCGTGCGCGCGTAGTGTTCGTCGTGAGGAGCGGTGATACGGCGGTTAGCGCACTGCGCAACGAACCTGGCGACCCGAGTTAATCGCGGTCAGGACCAATAACAGTCGCGAATATTTTAACCGGGCCTTTCGTAAGTGAACCCAGCATTAAATGGGTAACTATTGCAGTGTGCAAACATCAATATTGGGGAGAGTGGTTGGGTGTGGTGGTGATCACACCACCTCCTCGTGCTCCGTTCCAGCCTCTATAGGTGCTCGCCAACAGCACTGGCCCCAGGAGTCTGTTAAAGGCTTTGTGTGTTCATAACCCTCTGTAGTGAAGGGTTATGAACACGTAATTTACATGTAAGAATAAAGATATATTTAATAGTTTTTTTTATTATAGCAGTGACACTGTCCACCCAGGGAGTTAAATGGTTGAAAGTGAGCGGCTCACAATCAGAAAGTTCAAATCCTGGTTGGGCGTTAAGTCACGTCACCATTCTTGTGGGGTCAATGAAATCTGTACCACTTTGTCAACAGTAGATCGACTCACCCCCACCATAGGCATACGGAATTCCACCACTGGCTCAGAGGTGTAAACAGGAGATGGGCACCAATGCCTCAATGCTCATTTGAGCCAGAACTCACTTTGACTTTAAGCAGTAGCATTAGTAATAATAATATGGGTGCTCAACTGACGGTGGAGTTGAGTGGAGGGGTGCCCATGTCTTTGGCCATGATGGTGAGGTTGTAGAAAGCCTGGGTCTCACGGTCGAGCTCCACGTAACGTCTGACCCTGAGGTCTCCATCGGCTGGGGAGATCACGAACTCATCTGTGTGGTGGAGTGAAGTGGCGGGAGGAGAGAAAGCAGTGGGCAAGGTTTAGGGCCGTGTGCGTGTGTGTGCTTTGGGGAGTGTGGTGGTGCAGCGGTTAGCGTGCTGCACTCTACAATCCCGGCAACCGGAGTTCGATCCCGCTCACGGCCGACACCAGTGACAATTATCTTAATCGGGCCTCCCCTAGGTTGACTCTGCCTTAAATGTGTGCCTTGTGCAATGTCTAAAACATCAGCACTGGGGAGACGAAGGCGGCTGGGCGTGGTGATAGACACACCGCCCCACCCACTCCCCTACCCCCGTGTTCTGCCTTCAAAGGTGTTTGATAACAGCTCTTGCATCAACAGCATGTGCAGGGCACATGGGGGAACTTTGTCTTTGTACTTGTGTGTTTGCTTGTGCATGTGTGTGTACTTGCTAAAACACAGCAAGTTGGCACAGTGGGCGGCATAGGTGGTGCATCTGTCAGTCATCTAAGTAAATCCATAACACCTTCTTGGTCCGTCCTGTAACCTCCTGGCAGCCTGGCACAAGCGGCGCAGTGACATCAACGCCACTGAGTGGTGAATGGCGGCCGCTGTTGTTGTTGTTGAGTATTTGTGCATGTCTGTGTGCACGTTGGAAGTGATCCACTTACTGCGGGGGTCCCCGTCTATGATGCTGTACTCGAGTTCGCCATTGAGGCCTGAGTCCTGGTCGCTGGCCATGAAGGTGGCGATGCGAGGGCCGGGTTGCCCTTCAGAGACGTCGATGGGGCCCTCGTAGGAGCGTAGGAACCACGGCGTGACGTCATTCACGTCCGCCACGTGCACGCTCACCTGTGCCGCGGGCACGCGCGTGAGACCCTCTGAGCTCAATAGTTATTTTTCAGAAGTGACCTGGCTATCACAAATTATAGCTCAACAAAGTGGCTTATCATTTATAGGACATTTATCGCAACAAAATACTCTGAACGCACGTTGATTCTAAATGTGGAGGGAAAAACCGGAGGACCCGGGGAAAAAGCCACACAACCATGGGGAGAGAAACATGCAAACTCCCAATATACAGGCGCCAGGGTCGGGATCGAATACACGACCTCCTGTATAGCAGGCAAGGTAGTTAACATCTCGCCACCGTGGGGTTCCACGGTGGTGAGACCAGGTGAAGCTCCAGCACCCTGTGGATATTGTCTGCCACTCATTAAAGAAATCTTCATCATGATCAATCCACTGCTGGATGAGGCCTTCACAAGTTGCTACCATCTCTCATAGCCTATCGAAGACCCCAGTCAACCTTCGCTCCCTGGGAGAGTTTACTCATTCTCTTCTGCTGCCCTCAGATTTTGGAACTCCCTTCCCCTAGCCGTCAGTGTTAAGAAACTCCCTGCCCCTGTTCAATTCCAGGCTCAGTACCTTACTCTCCACGATGACTGACTGTCTCTCTATAAACTAAAGATGCCCACTCTTGTGAGCAGAATCTTGAAATGCGGTTGCCCTTGGATGCTACGTATATCCAAATTGCATCGTAGTGTTGCTCGTATGTATGTTAGCGAATGCTAATGCTTGTCACGTGCCTCACCTAAACCTCCACCTTCTTCTTTTCAACCGTGTCTCCTTACCTTAATTTTTTAATCAGTGAAGCGCTGGGAGGGAGCTGTGCATGTGTGTTCGTGCGGGCTCTGCACGGCACGCACGGTGGCGGTGGAGGTGAGACGCCGCGCAGGGTCGCGGGGCTGGTCGGTCGCCGTCACCACCAGCAGGTAGAGGCCGGCGCTCACCTCAAAGTCCAGCGCCTTCACGGCGGTGAGCACGCCCTGCTCACAAATGCACAGACAAACGCACACAACAACAACCGCCATTCACTGCTTAGTAGCGGTGATGTCACCACGGCGCTTATGGCAGGCTACGTGCACTTTAAAACCACGTGAAGTGTCAAAGGCTCGCTGACAGGACTTCACAGGACAAACCCAGATGCCATGGGTTGACTAACTGATATGACTGGCAGATGCACCGCCTGTGTCCCCTACTGTGGGAACAAATGCACACACAGACGCACAAACAGATGCACACGCACCGGCTCCTCACCTGTGATCGCAGTCACGTTATGCTACTCTTCACTTTGGTTGCTCAAATAATCGATTTTCTTGGTTGTGCAGTTTTGCTCTTTTGCATCGGCCACATTCGTGCAGGACTGGAGCAGAGGCATAGTGTATCGAACAACTGCACAATGAATCCCGTAATGCAAGTTCACACATAGACTGGACTCGGCAGATGACCAGCTACAGCCATACCTAGCATTATATTTTATGTAGTGTGTCAGGTGTGTAAACATTTTCTGGGTCGTTGATCCGGATAGACCCAGGCTGAAATTAAACTCTTTGATGGAGTAGCTCCATTACCATCGAGATCATGAGCACTTGGCAACAAAGAGAAAGGCTGCAGGCCATGAATCCCACGTCCTTCCTAACGGTGCTTCATTTAAGCCGGAACAGTTCAGAACCTTGTTTAGGGATCGATTTTTGGCACACCACCTCCACTTCGCCTGGATTTTTTATCCTCATGATACCGCGGTGGTGGTGCGAGTGGTGGTGAGCAAATAACAGAAGCTATTGGTTCTTATGTGTTGAACGTCTTTCGCGCCGTACGGAGCCAACCGTGCTAATCAGAGGTACCACAGGTTACCAGAAGTCCTCGACGGCAGTGCGGTTACGCGTAACGTCCTCGTCCCCGATATAAAACGCACAAGTCCGCGACGTCAAGCGAAGCAACGTCCGCAACGTCCGCGCTTGGCTCGGCGGCGTTCCCGCGAAGCGACGGGGCGAGATCCCCGCGGCCGTCGCCCTCGGCCCCACCTCACCGTGCCGTTGTCGATGCCGAACGTGGCGGCGGTGTTGCCGCTCACGATGGCGTAGACGACGCGGGCGTTGTCGCCCTCGTCGGGGTCGGAGGCGGTGACGTTGGCGACGGCGACGCCTGCCGTGCTGGGCCCCTCCGTCAGGAGCACCTCGTAGGTCGCGGCCCCGAACGCCGGCGCGTTGTCGTTCTCGTCCGTGATGCGGATCAGCACGGAGGTGGTGGCCTGCGCGGGGGTCGCGGTGAGGCAGATGCACGCGTGGACGCAGACGCTGCTCTTTTTACCAGAGCCTTTGTGTAATTGTTGTAATTTTTACCACAGCCTTTGTGTAATTGTTGTAATTTTTATCGATGCTTGTTTATTCAGGGTGGCCTCACTGAGTCTTCAGGAGGATTCTGCCAAGTGTTCGCTGTAGGGGGTAAAAGTTGCTGCTGTGTGATCCAAATTGAGTAGTTTGCAAGGACTTTTTTGTCAGCATTGGCATGTTTGGTCAATACCGGTTGCATTGGTTTTTTTAAGCTGTGGAAGGAAACCGGAGATCCCGGAGGTAACTCGTGTAAAGCATGAGAAAAACATATAAAACTCCACACAGAAAGGTGCCCGAGGTGGAAATCAAACTCACGTCCTTCTTGCTGTGAGGCGCAATAAGGAATTCGCAACCCCGCAGCCCTTATTGATATTCGTACTGTATTGGCAGTGGGATTCGTAGTTGTTGTGGCTTCTGTTTGGGATAGCAGCAAATTTCACTCTCGCTTCTTTTCATTTGCAATCAAATGGGCGGATGATAACACTGTGTATTTTTATGCCTAAATGAGGATCGCAACTTAGGGTTTCTGTACAGAAACGGTGGGAATATGTTGTAGAAAGAGGCAGTTGGTTAATATGCAGAGGAAAAAAGGTCTTGACCCTGGACTTAAACATGGGCAGGTAATGGACAGCACGGATGGCTGGGGAAAGCGAGTTCCAGACTTTGGGGGGGGTAGCAGAAGTTTGATCGCAATGCGAATGTAGTCTACAGCAATGTAACAGTGTGAGGCTCACAACAGACATCTGGTGCCATTGCAGATCTGTAGATATTTCAAGCTGGAGAACTGCAACTGACCACACCTGAAGCTCCGCTGACGGTTACAGCCGCTTCGATTTGCGAAATTGACATTTCGAAACCGCGGCTTAATGTTGTCAAAGTTGTGGCTCCCGCACAATTAGCAAGACCCTATGATGACTGCCCTTGCCACCTAAGCAAAACGAATGCCCTTGTCCAAATTGCGAAAGTGTGATGAACGATTTCTTGCTTTAAATGTTTTTGGAAAAACTAATCACAAGTCTCAACAGCCAAGTTGAGAGAAACCTCACTCATACGAAGGTGTTGGTGTGATTTACGGCCGAGAAAGAGACTTCAGTTTCGCTTAGATTCATTCGTGATTTATTTCAGCTTTGCGGTCTCCATATGAGCGTGACTGCAGCTATTATTCACGTGGAGTAGCAAAAGCGGCGAATGTTGAGTTTTAATGTTTGAATCAATAGGAAGGTTTACAGTCTGGCATCAACGGAGGCCCATTGTCAGGAGCGAGCTAGGCAATGTGTCTTCCAGCGGAGGTGGCAGACGTCAGTCGGCGTGAGTTAATATCCGCCCGAGAGCCAGCGTGAGGCTCTTGGTAAAAAGCTGCACGCGAGCGTCCGTGGATTAAAGCTTTGCAGTGCTGACGCATGTGCCACTTTGCCACTATAGGTAAACGTGTTTACCTATTGTGGCAAGGTCTAGAATTACGGCTCTGAGAATGAGTTCCTCACCAGTGTCACAAGAACAGCGTTGTAAACAACGAACAGTGAGGCTGTATATACGGGAAAAATATTAGTATAAAGTATCTGCTTACGTTTCATATCAATATCTCGCACGGTTTTGACTGCTCAAGATAATATTTATGAAAGGTTATTTGCTTGGTGATGTAACTGACTATCTTATCACTCAATATTTGTCATAATCAGACTTTCAAATCATGAGCTGTCTAATAATCTACAATTACAGTAAAATACTACTCTCAGTAGTTTGTTTTCAAGATGATCCCACTGGGAATATGTGCCCAGTTTTCCATTTGAATACATGTTTTGCATGTGCCAGGACAGTGGAGCACTTGGAGAAATTCCACACCTACAAGAAGCAGAACTTACTTTCTGAAGTGCTTCCTCATTACCCGATAGGTGAGTGTCTCATGGATTGATGCCATCTTCACATGATCTACCAACCCTGCCTGCAAATCACCAGGTTGCACAGGGGTTGATGCACAACGCACTGAGCCGCTAACGCCGAGGTCCTGGCTTCGAATCTCGGATGTGCGGTGCGAGAGGGACGTGTGATGAGAGAGATGTGTGATGAGAGGGACGTGTGATGAGAGGGACGTGTGATGAGAGGGACGTGTGATGAGAGGGACGTGTGATGAGAGGGATGTGTGATGAGAGGGATGTGCAAGAGGGACGTGTGATGAGAGAGATGTGTGATGAGAGGGACGTGTGATGAGAGGGACGTGTGATGAGAGGGACGTGTGATGAGAGGGACGTGTGATGAGAGGGACGTGTGATGAGAGGGACGTGTGATGAGAGGGACGTGTGATGAGAGGGACGTGTGATGAGAGGGACGTGTGATGAGAGGGACGTGTGATGAGAGGGAAGTGTGATGAAAGGGACGTGTGATGAGAGGGACGTGTGATGAGAGGGACGTGTGATGAGAGGGATGTGTGATGAGAGGGACGTGTGATGAGAGGGACGTGTGATGAGAGGGACGTGTGATGAGAGGGACGTGTGATGAGAGGGACGTGTGATGAGAGGGATGTGTGATGAGAGGGACGTGTGATGAGTGGGACGTATGATGAGAGGGACGTGTGATGAGAGGGATGTGTGATGAGAGGGACGTGCAAGAGGGACGTGTGATGAGAGGGACGTGTGATGAGAGGGATGTGTGATGAGAGGGATGTGTGATGAGAGGGACGTGTGATGATAGGGATGTGTGATGAGAGGGACGTGCAAGAGGGACGTGTGATGAGAGGGACGTGTGATGAGAGGGATTTGTGATGAGAGGGACGTGCAAGAGGGACGTGTGATGAGAGGGACGTGTGATGAGATGGACGTGTGATGAGAGGGACGTGTAAGAGGGACGTGTGATGAGAGGGATGTGTGATGAGTGGGATGTGTGATGAGAGGGATGTGTGATGAGTGGGACGTGTGATGAGAGGGACATGTGATGAGTGGGACGTGTGATGAGTGGGACGTGTGATGAGAGGGACGTGTGATGAGTGGGACGTGTGATGAGTGGGACGTGTGATGAGAGGGACGTGTGATGAGTGGGACGTGTGATGAGAGGGACGTGTGATGAGTGGGACGTGTGATGAGAGGGACGTGTAATGAGAGGGACGTGTGATGAGTGGGACGTGTGATGAGAGGGACGTGTCATGAGAGGGACGTGTGATGAGTGGGACGTGTGATGAGAGGGATGTGTGATGAGTGGGACGTGTGATGAGAGGGATGTGTGATGAGTGGGACGTGTGATGAGTGGGACGTGTGATGAGAGGGACGTGTGATGAGAGGGACGTGCAAGAGGGACGTGCGGCGCTTACAACCGGAGATGCCGCGCGTGATGCGTGTGACCGCTACCGAGAGGGCGGGGTTGCCGTCGTCCTCCACGGTGATGGTGAGGTTGTACGCGGCACGGCGCTCGCGGTCGGGTGGCTCGGGCCGCGTGCTGATCTCCCCTGACGCGCGGTCGATGCGGAACGTCTGCGCGGCGTCGCCCGCCGTGATGTAGTAAGACAGCGCCGCATTGGGCCCCGCGTCGCGGTCCGACGCACGAACCCGCACCACTGTCGTGCCGCCGCCCACATTCTGGGGATGGCACCGCGGCATTGGGGGGATGGTGAGGCCGCCAAGACCGGACGGCGCCTGTGCCGTGCGTGCCGTGTGTGCTGTGCGTTCCGTGAGTGCCGTGAGTGCCGTGTGTCGTGCGTGCCATGTGTCATGTATGCCGTGCGTGCCGTGCGTACCTTGTTTCGTGCGTGCTGTGTGCCGTGCGTGCTGTGTGTCGTGTGTGCCGTGCATGCCACGTGTCGTGCATGCCACGTGCCGTGCATGCCGTGTGTCGTGCGTGTCGTGCATGCCACGTGCCGTGCGTGCTGTGTGTCGTGCGTGCCGTGCATACCTTGTGTCGTGCATACCTTGTGTCGTGCGTGCCGTGTGTCGTGCGTGCCGTGCGTGTCATGCGTGCCGTGCGTGCCGTGCGTGCCGTGCATATCATGCGTGCAGTGTGTCGTGTGTGCCGTGTGTGCCGTGCGCGCTGTGCGGGCACAGAACCCCAGAGTGCACTGAGCTGGCACCGCTGAGATCCTGCCCTCCAATTTGAGTTTGAGCCACCTGTGATTAAACCGGCTTCTCACGCCAATAGCACAATTGCATTAGAATTTAAATAAATGTTTTCAACATCTTACACAGGCCGTGGGGTTGTGGCCAGGAGCCACGTGTATAAAACACTAAAGGTGAAATGTTCTGTTTTCAAACTAAAAGGATTTTTTTTTTAAACCCAACACAGCACCTATCTCATAGATAAATGCCTTGGGTGCATGTCCCCGACTATGTTAGAGGAGTTGGGAACTTTGTTAATTGGAAAAAAAAGTTTTTTTTATATATATATCACGTTCAGAAGAGCTTGAATGTTGCGACTGTGGTGTCATTCCAATACTGTGTAATGTAGCATCGTTGTAGTGACCATTAGGGTTCCACTGAGTGTGATGTCTAAGTCTTTCCTTTCCTCAATATTAATTTTCAGATCTATGTCAGACAGCCTGGGACATGCAGCTTGGAAAGTCCATGAGAACTGTTTAGTTTCAGGTTGCCTCTTTCTATACGATATTCATGTAACTAACCACACATGTTCTCCCATCTACACAGGGCTGCATTGGTTATGGAGATGGCTCTGACTATGGCAACTCTCTGAAGGCTATTTCTGATACTCAATGACAGTATATATATATCTGAAAACATCTATACATTCCTGGGGATTACGTCCGTACGTGTTAAGGAATGCATTGCATACATATGCCGCATTGGTTTTCCTGCTATATTTGTATGTGTGCGCGTGTGCCCTCTGGAATCCCACGTGCCACTGTGGGAATTGTTGCATGTACTGTATGTTGTATGTATGTTGAACTACAGTCTGTTCTCCTATAATGCGGCAGTTGCGTTCCTGAAGAACACCGCGTTATGGTAATATCGCGTTGTAATAAATAATATATAATATCGGGGGTAAAGTTACAATCTGCGATAACACGTGAAATGCGTATACTGGCTGAACAAAGACTGGGGCACGTGGGTAGCATCTAGAAGCATCCAGCAGCATCCCGCCATGTGTGATGCTATGCAGAGGCAGCTTATTCCTACTTGCGTGGCGTAGTTTTGTTCACTCAATCGCGTTATATCCAATTCGCATTATAAAAAATGTGTTCCCTGATATATTTATCGCGTTATATCCAATTCACTTGATGAAAACACGCGTTACGGGAACTTTGTTAATTGGAAAAAAAAGTTTTTTTTATATATATATATCACGTTCAGAAGAGCTTGAATGTTGCGACTGTGGTGTCATTCCAATACTGTGTAATGTAGCATCGTTGTAGTGACCATTAGGGTTCCACTGAGTGTGATGTCTAAGTCTTTCCTTTCCTCAATATTAATTTTCAGATCTATGTCAGACAGCCTGGGACATGCAGCTTGGAAAGTCCATGAGAACTGTTTAGTTTCAGGTTGCCTCTTTCTATACGATATTCATGTAACTAACCACACATGTTCTCCCATCTACACAGGGCTGCATTGGTTATGGAGATGGCTCTGACTATGGCAACTCTCTGAAGGCTATTTCTGATACTCAATGACAGTATATATATATCTGAAAACATCTATACATTCCTGGGGATTACGTCCGTACGTGTTAAGGAATGCATTGCATACATATGCCGCATTGGTTTTCCTGCTATATTTGTATGTGTGCGCGTGTGCCCTCTGGAATCCCACGTGCCACTGTGGGAATTGTTGCATGTACTGTATGTTGTATGTATGTTGAACTACAGTCTGTTCTCCTATAATGCGGCAGTTGCGTTCCTGAAGAACACCGCGTTATGGTAATATCGCGTTGTAATAAATAATATATAATATCGGGGGTAAAGTTACAATCTGCGATAACACGTGAAATGCGTATACTGGCTGAACAAAGACTGGGGCACGTGGGTAGCATCTAGAAGCATCCAGCAGCATCCCGCCATGTGTGATGCTATGCAGAGGCAGCTTATTCCTACTTGCGTGGCGTAGTTTTGTTCACTCAATCGCGTTATATCCAATTCGCATTATAAAAAATGTGTTCCCTGATATATTTATCGCGTTATATCCAATTCACTTGATGAAAACACGCGTTACGGGAGAACAGACTGTACGTTCGCACCGTGCGTGGCCAACCGTGCCAATCGGAGGTGCAGCAATGGTGACAAATATGCTACGGCGATAAAAGAAATTCAGGTTTCCAGCCACCTGGTTTGAAGTCAAATGTAAACGCTGCGGTAGAAGCTGGGAATGTTGAAAACTGTTTTACTGAAAGCGCGTGGCACCATGTGGCCCACGAGCAGATCGCTGGGTGGGCTGTGGAGCCCCCTGTTCGAGTATAACACAGAAGTTAGATAAAGAACGGCCGATGCTAGAGCGCTGTCTGACTTGGTGAATATTTGTTTGGCTCATTGGCTCGCAATTGCCATCCTATGGGGCAAGGGTTTGTGGAAGAGAGCCAGGCAATCTGCCTCTTGGCTGCTTGTGTGCCCTAGGTGAGAGCTCTGCTGTTAAGTGGAAGAAAAAAAATCAATCTATTAACTTGTTTAAAAAACACACAATTCTGCTGACATAGATTTATAGTTTTCTAACTTTGTGAATTTATGACGCTACTGTGTGTATTGGCAATCGGACTCAATTCCAATATTTTAGAAATATAGTAAGTTTGGCTAAATTTATTAAATATATTTATTTTTACTTTTAATTTAAATCCAGGTGGTCCCGATTGAAATTGCACACAAACTAATAAATTACTCCCCAATGTGCGAAATTTATCTTCATAAAAAAACCCAGTATTGTAATCCTGGCCCGAGTCCAGGCTCAAAGCCCCCATTACATCGTTCATCGTTCATGGATTTTGGTGGAGCAATAAGTCTCTTGATCAGGATTTACAGCCCCCCCCCCCCCAAATAAAAAACCCTTAAAATATGGTTCAGATGAGGACATGTACATTTCTGGGTGCCCACTCCATTAACAGGAATGCGCCGTTCCCTCAGAAAAATTCAATTGTGTCTCGTGCCACGCAACAATTGTCTCTCTTCTGCTGCCGACAGAACTAACACCCATTTGTGTGGTCCACTGAAGCCCTGATAGAGGTGACAGCGAACCGGATGAGTTACAAACAGTGGTGGATAGCAATTTGGGCCAGATTTATGAAGACAAATTTTGCCATCAGTAATTTCCTACATTGTAGCTGGAGACATTGACACAACACATGAACTGTGGGTCCATTGTATTTAATGCAGGTATTTGAAGCATTGTGTGTGGTTAATATAATTTGTCAGAGTTGACACATAACACTGTGTAACAATTTTTATTTTATTTTTGTTTCTGGCTAGTAAGTGTTATTTCCTAATTGCTTATGCCTCAAAAGTACAGAAAATGGCTATTATTCCCCACAAACTTTGCTTTTGTGACCAGGACAGTGATATTTTTAAATGTATCTATTTTCCAGAACATACCATATAGATGCAGTGCCGAGTAAACTTGGAGTAACTTCTAGAACATTCTAGAACTTTCCAGTAATATAAATAGTAGTATAAATAAAGGGGCCTTAAGCCCACATGTTCAGTTTAGTTCCAGCTACCTAAGTGGATACATATATGCATTTTTCTGAGATTGCATCAAGAGGCATGGAGGACAGGACGAGAATCCGAGATTTCCCAAACCGCTACAGGTTGCAGCCGCTAGATTTGTCGACTGGGATCTGGATGTGTATTTGTCAGGCACCCACGCACCACATTATTCAGCCTACAGCAGAGTTGAGCGCCGGATGGCTCCACTGAGCCGAGAGCTAGCCGGACTAGTGCTACCTCGTGATCATGATGGGTCACATCTCAATGCATCAGGAAAAACAACCGACACGGAGTTGGAAAAGCAGAACTTTTAAAAAGCAGGAAAAACACTGGCAGAAGTATGGTCTGCAGTCGTATTAGATTAGCATGATGTCCATGTAGAATATATTGACCCAGTAAAGCGTGAATCACCCAGTGAACCAGAAGTCAAATGGGTCGTGCGTCACGTCAGGCAGAGTCAATATTTTCTACATATCACTAAGTGTGATGATTCTGGCTGCTGTCGCCCATGGCGCACCTCATGTAAAAAATACTTTCCTGAACGTTTCCTGCCCATTCCTGTCGTACTGACACATTCTGCAGCTGGTCTTAGCATTCCTGAGCCAGAATCTGTTAAGGATCAGATGCACATGCACTACAGTTCACTTGCTCAGCAGCTAGCCTTTGGATAATCAAAAGTTCCTTTGAACGCGTCATTTGATATGCACTGTCCGTCACTAGCACAACCTGAAATTATCAATCGCACATGTCCCGTGTGCGGCGTGTATCACTCATCGCAGGCCAGTGTAAAACTACAGCAGCACATTCATACTACTGAGTCTTCTGACAGTGAGAACAATCAAAAGCTGGATGATGATGATGATGTCAGCAACGCTGTGGATATTGAGACGGCGGCCCAGCAGACTGCAGCTAATACTGCTGTGCTTTAGCCTCACATTGCGTGTGTTGACGAAATTCCTATAATACGTAACTTGTTCGACTGGGTTCAGTCTGCGTTTGAACCTAGCGGACACTATACAAACTTTTTAAAAGTACGCAATTTAATTATTTAATGCAGCCGGCGGTGGACTATCTGTTTGCTTAAACACGTTAATATTATTAATCCTTGATCGTTTCTGCGTGGATTAAATATCGGCCATTCTATAGGATTCGGGGTGGGGGGGGGGGGGGTGCGTCAAGCGTACGTAAGCAGGTGGGGGGGGGGGTGTAAAAAGTACGCGTGCGTACAGGGAGGGGGGGAGGGGTCAAGTTTTGACAGATTTTTGCGTATGCACTAAATGGATGGCCCCATACTGGACTTTGAACGCCGCTACCAAGGACAGTAGAACGAGAACGTGATGGGAGACTACATTTGGGGGCTGATTCGTGAAAGTGATTTACAGTAAATCGTAAATCTTGAAAAACTAATCACTTCTAAATCTTTTGTAGTCATTTTTGTATTACTTTAGTATAAATACATGTAAATTTTGATTTATGTTGTTTTTTCTGACTTTATATGAACGAAAAAACACAAATTCGCCCGTTTTCTCATTGAAAATAGGTCAATTTCAAAATATCACTGTCCTGGTCACAAAAGCAAAGTTTGTGGGGAATAATAGCCATTTCTATACTTTTTAGGCATAAGCAATTACGAAATAAACTTACTACCCAAGGAACAAAAATTGTGTTACAGAGTGCAACCATCGACACAAATTAGGTTCGCCTAATAAGACAAAGGTTACATATTGGACGTGTTGCTGCAGTTTGCTTCAGGCATAGCTGGGAGCTTCGTTGCAATTTTCACTGTAAAATGTGCTAACAATTTATTTGTTTTTAATATCAGTCTCTGGGCACAGGCCCAAAGACCCAAAACACCAAGCATCCAGCAACAAGCAGCACTATTTAATAGATGAATTGCGTAAGGTTATACAAACCTGAGAAAATAGACATCGGGATAGAATTCCGAAGTGGAGCAGTGCGAGGAAAAGAGAAAGGGAAGTGTTTTGACCTGCAGTGTGGTGAGTGAGTGGGTGAGTGGGTGAGTGAGTGGGTGGGTGAGTGGGTGAGTGAGTGGGTGAGTGGGTGGGTGCGTGGGTGGGTGAGTGGGTGAGTGGGTGGGTGAGTGGGTGGGTGAGTGGGTGAGTGGGTGGGTGAGTGGGTGGGTGGGTGGGTGAGTGGGTGAGTGAGTGGGTGGGTGAGTGGGTGGGTGAGTGGGTGAGTGACTGTGTTGTTGTGAAAGGTCCTGGAAACAATAATTCAACATCACCTTGCCAGACATGCTGCGGAGAAGCTTTCGGAGCGCCAATGCGGTTTCACACCAGGGTGGTTATGCATGGATACCACTTTCTCTGTCCGTATGGGACAGCAGAAATGTACATAACTTGGACTAGCATGAGGGTTGCTACATTCCGCAGTCCCAAAGCAGGGGGGGGGGGGGCTGCGGGGTGTTCCAGGATCCCCCGAGACCCCCCTGGAACTCTCTGGAAGGGAGGCGTGGCCAGGGGCGGACACACCTGGGGAGGTGGATAAAAGCCGGACCTCTGGACGAGTCTGGGGCCAGTCCGAAGACCGAAGCTTGAAGACCAGCTAGCCTAGGACTCTGGGAACCGCTAGACCCGTTGCCCTAGTAAGCACCGGGACCGAGTGGGCCAGTGGTGAGACCCTGGGAACCCCCGGGCCCGACGTCCTTGTAAGGGCCGGGACCAAGTGGGCCAGTGGTCGGGACCCGTACCTTGGCTGCGTCGGGTCAGTATAGCCTCCCCTAGGTCACCCTTAGCCGGAGGAGAGAGAGCCCGTGGTCCGAGTGAAAGGGCACGCTAGCCCGGGGGTCGTACGTCCCTAGGTAGTAGGTAAAGGGGCCGCTGCCCCTTTGTGTTAAGACTGCTATTGTTACCGTTATTGTAAATAAACGTGTTGCCTCTACAAGTCGTCTCCACTCTCCTTGAACCCACGACAATACCATAAATAGGCCAGGGCTCTGGGTTAATCTTCATGCTTTTGGAGTCCCAGACTGTCTGCTCACAATCATTAAGGACCTTACTGATAGTGGGCAGGCCCAGGTGACGTTGTGTGGTCAGGTGTTGGAGCCATTTTCTGTTAACTTTGGGGTGTGACAGGTATATCCTTTGGCCCTTACACTATTCTTTGACCACCTAGTTCAAGAAGCTTTCCATGGATGTACCGGCGGAATTTTCATCTGGTATAGATACATTGGGAGGCTGAGCAATGCCCGGGTGCGGTCAAGGGACAGCTCCTAATTGGTCAACCATATTTTTACATGAGGATGATCTCATGTTTGCTGCGCACTCTGAGGAGTTGGAGATGCTACTGCTGAACCTGGAGCAAGCTACTAAGAGATGGCACCTTACCATCATCCCCACAAAAATAAAGCACCTGCCTGGGTATTTTATGTCATCAAACGCTCCCCTCCCTCAACTCCCCATGAGAGATGGGGCGGTTGTGGAGAGAGTGGAGAAGTTTCCGTACTTGGGCAGTCTGCTTATGTTGAACTTCTTTCGCACTGTACATAGCCAATCATGCTAATCAGAGGTGTGGGGGAAGGACAACAAACTTATCACACAAAGCAGTTCTAATGAAATGAGTTTTTAATCTTGATTTAATAGCGCATAGCTCCAGTGGCTTCCTAATATCGGAAGGAAGAGCGTGCCAGACGGCTGCAGAAGTGCCTATGAAAGCGCGCGATCCAGTATTTGTTCGATGGCTAGCCAATAGCCGCTGAGAGGATGATCGGAGTTTGCATGACGGTTTATGCTCCTTGATGAGATCAGCAAAGTTTGAGCGCCATTATTTTTTCATCAGCTGTGTATCGCTGTGTGGAAGCTACCTGGCCTGTCGCTCCATACAACGCTCTAGGTCTTCTTGGTCACAGTTATGCCCTCCTTTCTCTATGCTTACGAGATGTGGAGCACTCGAAAGGGACATCTGCGCCAGTTTGAAACATTCAGGCTAGCCTGCCTATGATCCATCCTGGGTTTAACCACATTGGATTGTGTGAGGAGCTCCTCCGGCAAGCAAGACTGCGTTGGCTTGGTCATGTAGTCCGCATGCCCAGCCACCACATGCCCAAGCAGCTTCTGTTTGGCTGGGTAGTTGGGGCTAAATGGGCAATGCATGGACCAGAGAAGAGATGGACTGATTTGGTACAGAAGGATGTGGAGCTGATTGGACTTGCCGATGACTGGTACCAGCAGTGTCAAGATTGGCCTCTGTGAACGAGGTTCATGAAGGACGTAGCTGGGAAGTTGGAGGCAGTCACCCTCCAGCAACAACGGAGGGCAGACGAGCGATGCTCAGAACAACGAGCAGAGCATCGTGCGGCTAAAACACAGAAAGTTGGCACATTGGGGAGCACAGTTGGTGCATCTGCCAGTTATCTCAGTCAGCCAACCTATGGCATCTGTGTCTGTTCCGTGACCTCCTGCAGCGAGCCTTCGACACTCCACGTGGCCTCAAAGTGGGCTTAGCATGGCCGTGGTGACGTCAACGCCACTTAGTGGTGAACGGCAGTTGTTGTTTGGCTTGTCGTGTGGTGGTTGAGTCGAGGAATCAATGAGTAAAGGTCACGGGAAGATTAGCTGCCGTAGCAGCGATGGTAGAGCGATACACAGTTAAATATTGAGCTCAACACATCTGAATATGTTCCCGTGTGCGTGCCCACCGTCACTCACCTCCACCACGCTGACGGCGTAGCCGCCGGGGCTCAGGAAGATGGGCACATTGTCGTTCACGTCCAGCACGATGACGGACAAGTTGAAGGTGGTGGAGCGGGGTGGGGAGCCTCCATCCAGTGCCACGATCTGCACCCCACGGTTTGAAGATGCATAGCGCGGTGTGACGACCCGCATCCCGGTGTGACGACACGCATCCCGGTGTGACGACGCGCATCCCGGTGTGATGACACGCATCCCGGTGTGATGACACGCATCCCGGTGTGATGACGCGCATCCCGGTGTGACGACGCGCATCCCGGTGTGACGACGCGCATCCCGGTGTGACGACACACATCACGGTGTGACGACGCGCATCCCGGTGTGACGACACGCATCACGGTGTGACGACGCGCATCCCGGTGTGACGACGCGCATCCCGGTGTGACGACACGCATCCCGGTGTGATGACACGCATCCCGGTGTGACGACACGCATCCCGGTGTGACGACGCACATCCCGGTGTGACGATGCGCATCCCGGTGTGACGACGCGCATCCCGGTGTGACGACGCACATCCCGGTGTGACGACGCGCATCCCGGTGTGACGACACGCATCCCGGTGTGACGACGCGCATCCCGGTGTGACGACACGCATCCCGGTGTGATGACGTGCATCTCAGTGTGATGATGCACAGCGCGGTGTGACAATGCACAACGTGGTTTGACGACGCGCATCCAGGTGTAACGATGTACAGTGCAAATGTGACGATGCACATACCGGTGTGTCAGTGCACATCCCGGTGTGACGACGCGCATCCCGGTGTGACTATGAACATCCCGGTGTGACGACGTGCATTCCGGTGTGACGACGCGTATTTCGGTGTGACGATGCGCATCTGGATGTGACGATGCGCATGCTGATGTGACGACACGCAACCCGGTGTAACGACGCGTGTCCCGGTGTGATGACACGTATCCCGGTGTCACGAGCTCTGGTAACAAATCCTGGTAAGTGGAGCTCTGCTACGAGTGCTCATCTCGCAATGAGAAGCTCATGGGTTAAAGTCGTGATGAAGGATCGATTCAGTCTAACATCCCTCTCAGGTTGAGAGAATGACCGACCCTCTGTTGTCATTCCATGGATAGACTGGACCTGACTTTGGGAACGTGAAATTTCCATCATTGGCTCACAGACGCTAATGGATATGCTGTTTCGTTGCCCGTACACGCGGGAAGGACTCTTTGCACTGCGTAAGGCAGTTGCTGAAATTGTATTTTTTAAAAATCCCGGTGCTTAAATCACAAAACCAACATAGCAAGAGGAAAGTTACAGTCACATTGATAATCATGGTCACAACAATGGGATTGAAATTGAATTATTTCAAATTTTCTGTCATGCTGTGCAGATCAATTTTCACGCTGAGATAACGAGTAGTCACTGCTGTAACAGAAAAAAAATTGCCATTAGGGCAAAACTACAGTGATTGGAATGCCTGGGGAGGCAGGGGGGCCACTAACGCGATGAATGTGTCACCTTTTTGGCAGCAAAAATAGAAACGTCCCGTACACTCTGGGCCAAGGCATAAGCAAAAGTGATTTTACCACCTTCTGCAGGTCGTGAGCTGGCATAGAGGATTTCTTTCAATCACGTGAACTCCTTCCTTTCTCTTGTAAGCCATTAAGGGCACACCATGGTAGCGAGACGTTAACTACCTCGCCTGGTATAAAGAAGGGCGTGGGTTTGATCCCGAACCTGACGCCTGCTGTATATTTGGAGTTTGCATGTTCCCCCGTGGTCGCATGGTCCTCCGGTTTTTCCCCCCACATTTAGAATTAACATGCGTTTAAGAGTATTTGGCTGCTATACATTTCCACGTGAGAAGCCACTTGGTTGAGCTATCATCTGTGGCAGGCTCGCTTCTGAAAAATAATTATATAGCTCAGCGGGCCTTACTTGGTTAAAATAAAAAAAAATCTAGTTTTAGTTTAGTTAACCATCCCACTGTTGGGCAAGGCCTCCTTCCCCAATGTCTACCATTCCCTCAATCTCTTGCCACCTCTTCTGTCCATTGGGCTCCTCCGCATCTTCCCAATCTCCCCCCTCCCCCCTCCAACATCTCATGTTCTGTCCACCCCTCTCATTCCCTTTAGAGCCCCCTATTCCATCCCTAATCTGGCCCGTTTGTCATCCGAAGTCCGAGACTGATGTCCTGCCAAGTTCCATTTGAGGTTTTTTTTTCTGTGTAAATTGTGTCTGTTATCCGAGCTTTAATTCACAAATCATAATTCATGACGTTGTCCCTTCTCGCCACGTTCAAAGTCCTCCTCTCCGTTGCTCTTTGGCATACTATGAGTAACGCTCCATATCTGTTTAATAGCAACAGGCAACTCGTGACCTCAAGGTCATTACTGCTATAATACAAGAACCCATTACTTTTTATTTTCAAACACGTAGGTCATTCATTCATTTTCACTTTATTAAGGTGTATCTTTCTTCCCCTAAATAATATAAACTGACTCGTTCTAAACATGATAAAGGAAACATCAAATTATGATTTTACTTTTCAACAAAGTCTGCTTTGGCCACGTCTACTATTGTGACGCCGCTTTCGTTTTGCTGCACAATTCCAGGGTTCATTCGTCATCATCTGTATGTATGTATGCTGAACCTCTTTCGCACCATACGTAGCCAGCCGTGCTAATCGGAGGTGTGGGGGAAGGACAACAACCATCTATCATCATCATCATCCATGACGCCTATTTATTTGAACATTTTCACACGCCGGTTCACTTCCAATAATTTCCCTAGATATACAAACGTAATTGTGCTTTCCAGTTGCTTCCTTCTTACAATGATTAAAATATATTCTGCGAAATTGACGTGTGGAACTGTTTTTCTTATATTTATCTTTAGCCTTGCTTTGCAAACCTTGTTTAGTGATTCAATCATTGTGATTGATTGTGGGGCGATGCTACCCGCCCTGGCTGTCTTGTTTCTGTGCTACACTATTTAAATGTTTGCTACCGTATAAAAGTACACTGTACATGCGTGTCACTACGTGTTTGCACTGTGTGTGTCACTGGACACCCTGGACACCCTTGCTAATGAGATGTTCCATTTCCAGGGCTTATCCAGACACAATATCGTATTAAGTACATTCAAAGGACACCACCTGGGGACGCAGACACGGTGAACTGCCGCTTCAGCGCATTGAACTTTACTTTTTGCATTTCCTTTCATTTTGGGTAGTAGAGTAAGCATGTTTTTTTTTCCAAATCTGTCATTAGAACCCTTCAATTAATTGTTTTGTTGTTTTAATTTTAACAAATATTTCTGGGACGAATTATTTTATTCGGTAACCTTTACTGCGACCATGCTCGTCTGGCTGTCCAGGCAAGCACCACAACACGACCAACAATAACAACACAGCAACTACACCAAAGCCACTTCTTACCCAACCACAATCCCATTGTTTTGTGTTGGTAAATCGCCTTGAGAGTTTATGAAAGGCGCTATACAAGCTGCAAAAATAAATATTACAAATCAGATTCTTGGGTGAATGAACGATTATTATTTTGTTGTCCTTCCCCCGCACCACCGATGGGCACGGTTGGCTACGTATGGTGCGAAAGAAGTTCAACATACATAGAAGTGCAAACGAATTAACGGCCTATTGCTTGACAGGGTACTGAGGCCAGAAGCCCGAGCGAAAACGTCACTGGCGAGAGTGCTGCCCTCTAGTCACTGCGCCATACAAGCCCGCGTGGGTGCCCGTGCGTGCGTGCGTGCTCGTTCAGCCAACCCATGGCACCTGCTGGGCTGTCTCGTGGCTGCCTGTCAGCGAGCCTTCGACACTTCACGTGGTCTCAAAGTGCACGTGGCCTGGCACAGGCGCCGTGGTGACGTCACCGTCACTTCGGGGCGACTGGCAGGTATTGGTGTGCTCGTGCGTGTGTTGTCTCACCCGGAGCCAGTATCCCTCGACGGTCTCTCTGTCGAGGGGCTGTGCCACGCGCACCTCCCCACTTCCCGTCAACGTTCTGGAGATGGAAAAGGCCCACCCCGTGTTCCCATCCGCAATCGTGTAGTTCACCTGTGGGTCCAGATGACTCAAGTGAGAACGACGACCCGCCCGCTAGGGCCGGTGGGAAAGGCGGTGGCTTCTCTCCTGCACGGTGAGTGGAATGCCCGCACAGTGTGAGTGATGGGTAGAGCTGAGATGGGATTGTTTATAATATTGCAACACTGCAATTGAGTTTGGGTCAACACACATTCACTATTAGTGATGTTTCATTATCAGAAGCAGAAAATATAATAAGACTGGAGGAATCCGATGAGCTATAAAGCTATTTTTCACAGATGTCCAGTAGGGGCACGGGGTAAGAACGTTACAACAACAAACAGTACAACAACGTGATAGTAGTGCAAAGTACAAGAAAGGTCAACAAATCACCCAAACACACAAACACATTCAACTAAACCATCCCCATCCTACCAGGCAAAGCCCACTGAGGTATTAACTTTTTTTTCAGAAGCGACCTCGCCACAAATGATAACAGCTCAACAAAGTGACCTCATCATTTGGACATTTATAGCAGAAAATAATCAAAATAATCTCATACTGACTTCTCATCTCTTACTTTTAAGGTCAGGAATACGAAGGCTACATTTTAGATTTTCAAGTTTACTTCACGTATAACGATAAAGAGTTAATGTCAATCAGATATGTAGTGTGGAAATGTTTGTATTTTCCTCATGTTTATTTCCCCATTTAGCATATATTGTGTGAGTATCACATGGATAACTCACACGTTTAAATTTGTAGTAATTTGATATATACCCGTGATACATGAATATAATACTTTATCTAAAAAAATTATTAGTGTGACATTTCTATTAGGTTTTAACACAGCAGAGAAATGACGTTGTTGTGCGTGCATTAATTTCCAATAATTTTTTTTTAAAGCCAGGTGCTAGCTCATTGAAATATAACTCACACGCAAAAGAGACAATTAATACAAAACGTAAAAAAGAAATTCAAATATTGTTTCAATCCGCTTCTTGGAAAAATGCTTAATTAGTCCCTGCAAGTGGTGAGCAATGAAGTGGGGAAGAGGAATGGATCGAAGCAGGAGGTGAGAATGCGGCACTCATCGACGTTGTCAGCGCTGAAATCCAATCGTTCCCATTCGCAAGTCTCCAGAGGCCCTCCCCACCGGTGCTGCACCACAAAGCCCCCCCCCCCCCGCCGTTGCGATGCTGCCATGGGCCACTTATCCGGATGGAGAATACGAAGATACCGCAACGGGCATGGCATCAACGCATCTTGCGTGCCCATTAATCATTCGCGGCTGCTAAATTTACGAGAGAGCCACCACTTTCACGCAAGCCCGCATCCGGGCCGCTTAGGCGATGCGGCGAGGGGGCAATGGTGCTCGGTCAATCGCTCTTAAGTTGGCAATGATGCAGCTCCCGTCTATCGTCGTCAGATCCCGGGCCCTCTGCGACTGATCTTATGTTCATCAGCACTGGGTGCAGGTGGCCACACCTGGTGTGGCTAATTAAAGAAACCACGACACAGACAGCATTATATATTCTTGGTTCTTTCGGTAAAGTCACGTTGAAGGGAAACAATAAAATAATAATAATATATATAAAACAATTAAATTCTCACGACGTTTCGACTGTAACGCAAACAGTCATCATCAGGTAAATCAAAACAGACAGCATTGTTTCTCCGAACAGTGAGACAGTGACCTCGATACAACTATTAACTCAGATTTAAACATCATACTGTAGAACCTTATTTCCCAAAGCCATAAATATATGCCACGTCGAGACCCTGGGTGTACGCGTGGATATGAGATCGAGCGTTGAATTGGACTGGTGAACGCGAGCGACGATAGATGGCTGACTCGGTGAGCTCTAGCGCACGCGCATGAGCGGGCGAGTTAGAATATCATTAGACGGCCGCACGAGAGCGGCCGGGTGAACGCATGAGTGGTTTATTTAATTTCAGTGCGCAGTCCTCTCTCCCAGTGCTGATATCATTGAACTGCGTGAATGAGCCTTCTTGAGAAACCAGTCTGTCTGGTCGTGTGTGTGTGTGTGGAGGGACGGCGCGGAAGGGTAGCTGTTAGCGTACTCCGATACGAACCCAGCAACCCGAGTTCAATTCCCACTCATGGCCAACACCAGTGACGATTCTCTGAACCGGTCTTGGACCTCCCCTAGGTCGACTCAGTCTCACCTGGTACGATGTTTCAACATCACCACGAGGGAGACAAAGGTCCCCGGGTGTGGTGCTGGCCACCTATCTCCTCGTGTGCCGTGCCGGCCTTCGTAGGTGCTCGCTAACGGCACTTGCCCCGACAGTCTGCTACAGGCTACACGGGAAGGGGGGTGGGGGGGATCCTTGTGCCCGTGTGTGCGTGGGCGCGTGCGCTCACGGTGCCGTTACTGCCGGCGTCGCGGTCCGTGGCGTGCAGCACGGTGAGCAGCGTGCCCGGGGCGGCGCTCTCCCGCACCTCCACCAACGTCACGCTCCCCGCTTCGAACTCGGGGCTGTTGTCATTCTCGTCCGTCACATTCACGTACACCTAGTGGCGACACGCTCCTTCGAGTGACAACACGCGTGCGCACGCACGTGCACGCGTGGCCCTCTCCACAATGCACTGCTGGGCGAGGCCCTCCCGACGTCCCGTGAGGGGTCACTTGACCATAATTCACCACGCTGGGCTGGCCAATGCGGTTTTGGTCAAGGCGGGACGCATAAACATTGAAGCGTGGTGCAGTGCAACAATGTATTTTGTTTCACTGCCCTCTGTCAACAACACACAATAACGATGATCCCAGATACGGTGTACTATTCTTTCCAGGGTATCCTACGTGATACCTTGAGGGTTATTTAGATGCCTATATAGAGGCCTATAGAGAGGCTCTCCAGAGATCCCTCGAGTGGAGGCCCTTCCACCAGCAGTGGCGTGAGCAAGCAAACGCAGGGCTGCACCTTTCCTGTCAAATTTCAGATCCTCTCTAGGACTCATCTTGCCCCTCCCATTGCCACTCATGAGACTCCATCACAACACGTCCAGTATACAAAATGTAATTACTATGTCACTGGACCCACGTTTGTTTTCGTTTCTCTGTGCTCAGGTGACATTAACATTTAATTGGAGCAAAGCTGCGATATATTCCCATAATCACCACAGCAAACATAAGCACCAGGTTTATTGGTGAGCATGCATTAGCTCAGCACACTGCAAGCGCAAACGCGCGCACACACACACACGTAAACGCACGTACTCGGACACATCCACTTACACACACACACACATGCACTCGCACACAAAGCACGCTTTTACCTTCTGCACATTTATCAGAAGTTCCATGTCATGTCGGGACATTCAGAGAACAAAGCATTAAAATTGGGAAAAAAAGCAATTGAACCCAAGGTGGCGGTTGTTCACCCACACTGCTGTGCCTCACATTTTCATTCGGCTCGTATCGTGGGCCTTGTTGTGCACAAATGGAACGCCGAGTGTAATATACGAGGGGTGGCCGTAGGTCGGGGGACACCGGAGGATCGCCGTTGCCACCGCCGTTCTCCCGGATGCCGGAGAGAGCTGCGGGGCGCGGAAATTGCCTCGTTTATTTTATCCCGCGACATCGCCTCCGTTGAGGGCCATCCGCGGGCTGCGCCGGCATTAATTCACGTGGCGAGAACGGAGAATCGCCGCTCATCGGCATCTGCCAGCTTCCCGAATTCGCCCATTCTTTATCTGTCACCCCCCCCCCCCACCAACGTTTCAGCCCAACCGACTCCCGTCCGTAAACGCCTTCCACTGAGAATATATATTTTTTTATCGGAAACCGTTCGTTGTGTAACTTAAGAAATACATTTTTTTTTTTTAATCAGAGCTGAACCCTCGGCGCTGCGGTCTGGGTAGACGACGAACGCCCGGCATTGTACGTGCGCCGAGCGAACCCGAGCGAAGTAACTCACTACGGCGATGGCCTCCCGGGGCCCGCCGTCCCGCGAGAGCACGGTGAGCATGTAGGAGTCCGTGGCCTCGCGGTCCAACGCCGCCTGGGTCGTGATCTCTCCCTGCAGGGCGGCAATTAATTCTGCGTTATCGCTGCAGCAAACGTACAAAAGATGCCCTCCCTGTATGTATATACATTTGTTGAACTTCTTTTCGCACCGTACGTAGCCAACCGTGCTAATTGGAGGTGTGGGGGGAAGGGACAACTAAACACAAAAAACTGTTCTAAAGAAATTAGTTTTCAAACCTAGTGATTTCTTAATATCAGAAGAGCGTTCCAGCGTTCCAGACGGCTACAGAAGCGCATCTGAAACGGCCTGTATAGGCTGCTGAGGCAAGTGCTGATAGTGAGCACCTATTAAGGGCAGAATGGCATATGAGGCAAATGGTGTGTCTAGAACCACGCCCGGCCAGCTTTTTCTCACCATGTTTTGACACTGCACTCGGGACTGGCTGAGTTGACTTAGGCGAGGACCGGTTCTGATATCGTTGGCCACTGTTATGAGCTGTGGTTGCGAATGCAACCCAGATGGCTGAGTTCGTAGTGCAGTGCACTCACCACGATTCCACCATGCCAAGCGTGCACGCATGCACACACACACACACAGCCACACTTCTGTATGAAGCCCAGCGTGAATTCGGATTTACGGTGCTTAAATGGGCACAGAGGTGTTGTAAACAAGGCAATTCCCATTCACGGAAATTGGCGAGGGACACCCAAGATTGTTAGGCTGCGCAAAGTGTTTTAGTCTTGTAAGTTTTTTACTCTGGTTATAAATTTGCCATACACGAAAGAACCAAAGAGTAATTGCCATACATGCTACGGTAACAGTGGATTTTTAAAGCGCAGGGTGTGATGGCTTTTGGACCAGCGCATCCAAACTGCCTCAACAAATACGATTTGTTCGCAAGTGATGCCCGAGAACCCGCACTACACAAATAGCCCCACACAATTAAACGACACAGTCCGAAGCTGCGTAAAGGTAATGAGATCTCGGAGCAGGAGCCAGTTTATTGTAGACGCTCCAGCTTGAGCGTCATAAAACCAGCAGCATGCCACCACCACTAACAACGATATATTTTTTCAAGTTCATTTGTTCATTATGGCAATGCTGTCAAAACTAGAGCCCTTGACACGACACAGTCCCTTCATGGAAGGGTGTTCTGAAAGTGAGACACGGGACACACTGAATTGCTTTATGGGCAGTATTATATGCCTTCAAACCCTCAACAATTTCAACAATTATGTCCTTTACCCGCTCGACTGATTGAAGACGTGTGACCGCTAGATGTCTGTGTGTGAGGATCCTGAGCAATTCTCATCAAACAATGCTCGTTTTTTACACAGCCACAATGTTCCTAATTTTCTGTGATATTTGCTGATTATTGCTATGATTTAGCCATAACCATGTTTTAATTATTTTTTTGCAAAAACACAATTTCGGGAAAATGTTCAACACAAATTTTGCCTCTTAGAAGATTTTCTTCAACTAAATAACAATAAGTGTTCTCTTAGTTAGGAAAAAAACACAATTACCTCACAACATCAGCAATCAACTGTCCATCTGGTTGACTCTGATCTCTGTGTAAGTCAAAAGGCACGAAATCTGGGTTTCATTCTCGACTCTAACCTCTCCTTTTCTTTTCACATTTTCCTTTATGGCGGGAGAGCTGCATAACATCCTGCCGTAGCAGCTCTCCCGCTATATATTTTTCCTGCCTCAGCAGCTCTCCCACTATTCTTTTTTCACCTGATGATGATTGCTTGTGTTGCGATCGAAACGTCGTGATATTGTTATTATTTTTTTCTATCTACGTGGCTTTACCGAAATACCCAAAGAATATGAATTGATGCATTTGTAAGTTGCAGGCTCGCCTACTGCAATTCTCTGTTATTTGTTCTTCCTTCGTCTCTCACCCAACGTGTGAAGGACGTTCAAAACGCATCTGCAAGAGAACTCACTCGTAGCCATAAGCATCATATTACAGCCATTTTACCATCCCTCAACTGGGCACCGATTCAGTCCGGAATCACCTTCAAGGCTGCACTCACTCTTTAAAAAATTATTCCGGGCTAGCCGCTCTCTATCTTTCCCCTCTCATTTCAGTTTACTCTGCCCTCCCTGGTGTCTCCGTTTATCTTCTCTAGGTCTGCTCTCCACCCCAAAAATATAACTCAAAACCACTGGTGGACGAGCTTTCTCAAGCGCTAGCCCCCACAGTCTGGAATACACTCCCATGCCACATGCGACAAATCAACTCCATCACATTATTATTCAAATGCGAACTAAAGGCCTTTTTTAATTAATCCGGGCATACGCTGATAAAAAAAGAAATCACATTTTGGACATTTGACCGATTGGTCTAAATTAGTCGTAACATTTTGGCACTCCACTCCACCGCCCCTCCTGTAAAGGTGTCCTGGCTTGAGTGACACAGTGGGATTGTGCTCTGAGATGTGTAGACCTAATTGACTCATTTCTCTGTGGTGATAACTTTCTTGTTGTTTGTGCCTTTTGTCTTCGTGCCATTTCTTAATTTTAAAATTTTCTCAGGGTTTTCATTTTGCTTGGTAGTTGCTATAAATAGGATTTGGCCCTTATATATATAATTCATGTACAGCGGTTGTGGGATGAAATTACCATGAATGACATTATATAAAATGTAATAATTCTTATAAATTATTATTATAAGAATGATTTACTTGCCCATGATAAGTCATGGTGCATCTCAATACTATATCAGAAGGTTCCTACTCACCAAATGCTAAATTAACTTTTTTGGGCACAAGATTTGTTTTACTAATTCAAGATACAATGACTGTTAGTCAAGAATAATGACAGAGTGGCAGCCAAGGAATAGAACGTGTACCAGGATCGCGAGAGGTAGCGGCAGCTTTGGGGGGGCCTTCATTTGGGGTGCCACGGTCGCGAGATACTAACTCCCTCTCCTGGTATTCAGGAGGTTGTGGGTTCAATCCCGACGCTGATGCCTGTAAATTTTCATCTTCTCCCCGCGGCCGTGTGGAATTTTGTCCAGGTCCTCCGGTTTTTCCCTCCACATTGAAAAACATACGTTTATAGCATTTGGCTGCTATAAATGTCCAAGTGATTATCCAATTCGTTGAGCTATCATTTGTAACCTGGTCGTTTCCGAAAAGAGCTATTTCGCCCAGTGGGCCTTACCTGGTAAAATAAGAAAATGTTTAGTTGATAGTTTACTAGTTTAATTTAGCAGTACATTGCCCCATGGCTGATGATTGGATTACAACTGACTTTTAAACCATATTCCCACCCCAAGTGTAGTTGCAATACAAATTGAACTGCCACAAAATAAGAAAACTGTCGGTTTATTTCTGTGGGCTGGTTCTAATAGCGCCTGCTGCCTGCTGTGGCAGCAGTGGTGGTGGCAGTGGCAGTGGAGGTGGTGGCGGTGAGGGATGGCGAGGGGGCCTGTGCCACGGCGGTGGTAGCAGCGGCATCTCACGGTGAGGTTGTTGAGGCGGAAGAGCGCGGCGGCCTTGGCGTCGGTGTCAGGGTCGAGGCGGTACGAGATCACGGCGAGGGCGTCGGCCGAGCGGGCGGCCACGCGCACCACGACGGTGCCAGGCACCGCGGCCTCGCTCAGCGCCGCTTGGTACGCGGCGAGCGAGAAGGACAGCTTCTCGTCGAGTTCGTTCTGCAGTGACACCCGCAGCTCGCACGACGCCGTGTGGAACGGGGGAGCCTGGTCGGTGGCCACCACCTGCGGAGGGAGAAAACAAACAAACACGAGCGGCAGGGCGAGACGTCGACACTCCCTTCGAGCCCGCAGGAGCCGTCCGGCCAAGGGGTGTCAGCCAACACGAGGGGGCGGTGTGGCCAGCACCACAGCCAACTGCGTTAATCACCCCATTGCTCACGGAGGCTCGTGGCAGATAAAAAAAAAACACTCACCGCTGATGTTAGCCATGGCCAGCAATTGAACTCGGGGAATTGGGTTATGAGAGCGGTACGCTAACGCGACGCTACCGCTCCCCGTATCCGGTGCACGTTTTGAGAACCCATGGAGGTTGTCACTGCATGCAAGGTGGTGATGTCGCAAGAATCACATCTAACTACCTTAGCCGACTCCATGCTAACATTTACACTCTGCACTGGGTACTCATTTGAGGGTGAACTGACATTGGGAAGCTCTAGGACGGGTGCTGATACTACTTCCCACTGATAAAGTGCGGCTTAAAATTGTAATGCAAGTGTGCAAACCACTGCCCCACACGCTGAGACAACGATGTTAAGTTTGATTATAGTGACAAATTGGAAAACTACTCCATACAATGCAATATATACACAACTACTTTACAGCCTTTTGTCAATCCACAACTGGATGAGGTTTATTTTCTAACGTGACTTTTGCAATGTTCACCATTACCCTGTTCCTTAGCAAGGGTTTGTACTCCCGCCCTGACTTAGAAGTCATAAGCCACCACTAATTTTTGCACACAAGCTGTTTCACTGGGCATGGGTCCCAGAAAACGATCTGGCTATTCTGGTGGGTCACGATTTGGGAAGTTTTTGGAACCGCTGTTTCTAAACGACAGTCGGGCAAGCAGCTCGCAACTTGCTTGGGGGTTCACTCAGCCCATCATCCCTACATGTTCGGTTAAAATGAGTACCACTTTTTAGGGAAGTCAACAGTGGTTGTTCTATGTGTAGGAGCATGAAATTTTAACCATTGGCTCAGGGCTGTAAACAGGAGATGAGCACCAATGCCTCAATGCTCATATGAGCAGGAAATGGCTTTGACTTTGACTTGTGGACTAAAAGCAATCAAACAGGCCACGTGTGTGCACTCGCCGTAGCTGGCCCTGGGAAGGATAATCGGTTTAAGTACCACTCTGAGCTACATCGGGAGCTGCGATTGGTGCTTAGTGAGGAGCGCCGAGCTCTTCTGCAGGAACTCGGCCCTCCAGGGCAACAGTGGACCTTTAAATAACCTGTTAGGCTCGCGCTAATCCCCCCAACAACGGCCTCGCACAGCTGTAAAGGAACCGAATAGGGCAATAAAAGCAGTTCAAGTGTGCTGCACGGTAATCAAGGATAATAATTAAGGAACATTAGCGCAGGTAACGGTTTCGGCCACGTGCAGTGGCAGTTGTCCCGTCCACGCATATGAGGAGAGTGTGAGCGTTGCAATGCATCTCCTTAAGTTTGCCACGGGAGATTAGACCAAGCACAATGAGGCACTGGCCGCGGATGAGCGAGGGAAGGTGCCAGCTGAAGGCTCTTAATGCCGCGCAAGGTATGGCGCGGCACGCGCATTGCGGCGGGCTAAGCCGTAGGATTTTGCCGTTGCTATGGAGGGATTGACGTGAATGCAATATGATAAAAAAAAATGCACCGACGCCAAATAATGATCCGTACAATTTGGGCGGCAGAGTGGCATGCCGACAACATCGAGGTTCGATTGTTCCCGCGGTGGCGAGATGTTATCTCCCTCGCCTTGTATACGGGAGGACGTGGGTTCGATCCCTACCCTGACACCTGTATATTTGGAGTTTGCATATTCTACCCGTGGTCACGTGTATTTTTCTCCAGGTCCTCCGATTTTTCCCTCCACATTTAGAATAATGTATTTAGAGTATTTGGCGAATATAAATTTCCACATGAAAAGCCACTTCGTTGAGGTATCATTTGTGGCCAGGTCGATTCTGAAAAATAGGTATATAGCTCAGTGGGCCTTACATGATAAAATAAAAAGTTTAGTTGAATCGTTTCAGTTTTAACTCGGGCACTTTCTGAGCCGAGTTTGAGTGTTCTGCCCCTGTTCTATATGGGTTTATTTCGGGTTCTCTGGTTTCCTCCCATAACAAAAAAATGTACAATGTAACTGGTATTGACCAACCATCTCAAAGCTGTGAATTTATAGGAAAATTACTTGATTGGGATCACACGAAGCAACATTACCCCCACTCACAAACTTGGCAGGACAAACTCCTGAAAAAAATAGTCTTCGGACAGTGAGGCATTCCTGGGTAAACAATCACAGTAATAAAAGTCAAAAAAATGCATGGCTCTATTTTCAGTACCCAAAAAAATTAAATACTGCATTCAAATAAGAATTGGCCAAGCATATCAAAGTGTGCCGATTTAAAACCAGCCATCAGAAAATGTTTTTTAAAATATTTAATTCTCATCAGGCCTCATGGTGTTAGGTGCTTGTTAACTCTATGTGCTACGAAGAAGGGTATTGTCCGAAACGTCGGCTATTATATATATACATATTTTAATGCTACAGTGTTATTGACGAACATGTTGAGGTTGTATTGTTAATTGTGCGCCACTCCCAATGCAGCGTCATCAAAATAAGACCAAAGCAGAGGACTGTTTAAAAAAACTTCATCTCGCTGAGGCTTTCCTGGTTCAATTATGAATTACTATTATTATTAGGTTCTTCATCTTTCCCACCGACAAAAATGCGGGTCAGCAGTTTCAGGGCAGAATCGAGCGTGTGTAGCAGTTGGGGACGTGGCTCGTGTCTTCAGTTTTTGGCCGAGTGATTGAGGGATTTTGACCCAGATTCAGATGTCACGTTCCCTCTCCCACCTAAACACTGAGCACACAATGATGAGAATATGCGATTTTACCACCAACCCCGCACACCTCCGTCGCCGTTTCTCCACCTTCAGGGGTTTATAAGGCACAGAAGAGCATCTAAATAATCTAATGTAGCAACGAAACACAATCAGCATCTCAGGATGCTGTCACAGCTGTTTGTGTTAAAATGGGCTATCCCTCAACTGCGTTTTCTTGAAAACAATTGTTGCTGTGAACTCCATTTTCTAGGTTACATAGCCAATCTTATTCAATCATGCTTGTTAACCCAGGTCACCCTTGCAAAAGAGGCAATGTTTCATTGTCTCGATGGGTTTATTTAATCTCCTGGTTAACTAAAGGAGACTACGGCTGGTGTAGCATTCGCAATATTTGTTTAATATCACACGTGCTTATAAAACACTTTACTTGTATACAGGATATACACACACACACACACATTGATCCCGGTTTATCTTCATGGACTCTTGGGACAAATTCTGTAAGCACAAAGCACCTATTAAGGCTGGCAGGCAATGATGAATTGGTACGGCTAACACGTAGCCAAGCCACCTTCGTTTCCCCAGCACTAATATTGATACCACGCAACATTGTTAATGTATTCCGAGTTGGCCTGAATCAGTCCAGGTTGAGTTTCTCGTCGTGGATGAGATGGATTATCAGGAATCACACCCAGACTGCTGGGATCACAACAGAATTCACTCACCACCACGTAGTCACTCCCAGCATGATGGTACATTAACAACCGCCATTTGCCACTAAGTGGCGGTGACATCACCAGGGCGCTTGTCCAGGCTAAGTGCACTTTAAGACCACGTGAATCGTTGAACCCCCACTGGCAGGTCACGGGACAGACCCAGGTGCCATGGGTTGACTGACTGAGATGCTATGGGTTGACTGTCTGAGGTACATTAACACACACAGACACAGGTATACAGGGTTATCGTGGTAAATACCCTGCTGGGGCCAGGTGGATTATTATATAGCAGGATTGTGAGAGGTGGTGATAGCTTTGAGAGACTTTCATCAAGCAGCGGATTGACTATGGCTGATGTTGATGCCTCTGCATTTCATAATTCACATTCCCAGCTTATTTTGTATAGGTAACTTGTTTTGTCTGTTGTACAAATTGTAAAAACCAGCATGGCATTTTCATGCATGGTCGCGAATCACTTCTCACGGGGCGCGACTTGGTGCACGCACGGTGAAGAGTGAGAACCGACGTTACTTGACAAATCGGCGTGATGTCACAACACCGGCCAAGCGGTGTGCCGAGCGAACGCCGCGGCGTCGCACCATGAGCAGGTATTCAGGGCGCGTCTCATAGTCGATCGGCGCCACCGTCACGATGAGGCCCGTGCTCTCGTCGATGCCGAACGTGTCGTTTCCTCCGGACGCGATGGAGTAGCGCACGGTTCCCGCATCGCCTGCAGTGGTGACACGCGACCACAAGCCGGCTCTCAACGCGGTGCCCCCACTGCAGCAGCACTCAGAGCCCAGAGCCGAGGGCCAGGGGCTGCTCGTGGCTTCAGTGAGGGGAGGCCTCAGCCTTCTATTTCAAGGTTTTATTGCTTTCCTTAGGCGGAGTTTGACTTCTATATTTGGGGTGGGGGGGGGAGGCAGGGGTTCGCTTTGTCCCTCACATTAGGAATCGCGGGTGCATGTAATTATTATTATTTATATCTTATTTGTAAACTACTGAAACTAAATTAATAAAGGTGTCTAGTTTGGGCAGGACGTTGCTCCCCCGTGCTCCCCCCTCAAACTCCGCCCATGTCGCTTTCCAGCTGAGGCAGAAGATGTTAATGCATTTATTCTGTCCGTCCACCCATCTATTACGAGGGGCACTGTAAGATTCGTCAAGATGGTTCAATATGCAATAATTCAATATCTCCGATTGGCTATGTACGGTGTGAAATAAGTTCAACATAATACAATATGAACAAAATGTTATTATAAAGTGATTTCGCTATTTGGAACCCATTGAAAACTGACCTAACTGATTAAATAGTTTCCCAAATCATGGAGGTACCAATTACCACAGTTTTTGAAGTAGGCCATAAAATACTGGAATTGAACCCATGTCACCAGAATTAGAGTGCACTGAAGTATTTTTTATATCATTGTTTTTGAGCACAGGCCCAAAGGCACAAATGCCAATTCAAACATCACACCATTGGCATACACAACACAAAGGCAAACATACCCTCTGTAGTCTTATATACTCAGGGCATGTGCTGTTAAAATGCACCTATTAAGTCCAGCATGGTGGAAGCACCATTGCTGGCCACTTTTATGTCCTCAGTGGTGAGGTGTACACTCTGAAGCAGGTTCCCCTTTAAGCGAGGTCCAGGACCAGTTCAGATATCTTTCACCGCTGATGTTATCTGTGGCAAGGAATCAAACTCAGGTCACTGTGTTAATAGCACGGTGTACGAACCACTACAGCACCACTCTCCCATTATATGCACACACACACACACACACGTGCACATCCCACACACCCAGGTCACGGTCCATTGCCTTGACGACGATAACCGAGGTGCCCACGCCGGCCGTCTCGCGTAGGCCCGTGCGGACGTACTGCTGCTGCGCGAACGTCGGCGCCTCGTCGTTCACATCCTCCACCACCACCGTCACCTAGCAACCGCACGGTGCACAGGCCCGCCAACTTCATTAGGCCGGCGGTGCTTCACAACCGCACGGTCGCAAGCGAGCACCCTCCCGGGGCTGCCAGCGCCGATGGCTAGCCGACTCCCTCCCTCGCTCGCCCCTGCGCACGCTTCCTCTTGGCAAGCAGCCACTCGCAGCGCTAACCTTGCCAGGAGCAAAGCACGTGGCATTTATCGCCACCAATAAACTTCACAACGGTAACTGTTGACTGCACTTACTCTTGTTGTTCAGTGGCTGTGCCGGCCAATGGGGAACTGGCATGCACTGAATAATAATTCTCAATGTAAAAAAAGTGAAGGAAATTAATTTAAAATGTCCTTGCATTTGTAGTTCCTGCCAATTTTATTTGATTTTCCCCTGCCAGATATATGCTGAGCTCCATTCTTGGCGTGCTGAGTAAAAATCCCAAAGTCTGTCAAGTGCTCAATCACAAGATCTACACTGTGATTATACGCCTGTCCAGGAAAGTTCCACCATTGTCAAGACACATCAAGGGGGTATTCCTGTGTACATTTTGGCCAAATTATTTGTAGCGTATCATTGTGTGTGGAAGGAAACCACTAGTGTCTGGGGAAAACCCACGTGTGGAAGGGGAGAATGCTCAACCTTCACCATGTCAGCCTGTCAGCAAGCCTTACTTCCCCTCCAGACACCTCATTAACCGCTGAGTTGGTCTCGACGTTTCACCCTTTCCACTCGGTGTGACACGGTGTCACCGTATTCCCGTGCATGTGTGGCTCTTGCCACTTGCTCTGCAGGCCTCTCTAACCCTCGCATCTCAAAGCGCGACGGCTCAGCTCCGAGCACCCCCGCACATTCGCGCCGCGCGAGATGACGTGAACTCCGGCGGGGACCTCTCCCTGCGGCCTCCCAGCACTTCCACCTCCCCCCCCCCCACCTCCCCCAGCAGCTCCTCACCCGGATGATGCTGCTGAGCCCCACGCTGTCATTGTTGAAGGCCTCCACCTGCAGCACATGCAGGGCCACCGTCTCGCGATCCAGCGGCGTTGCGCCGCGGGAAATCAGTCCGCTGCTTACGTTCACCAAGAAGTTGCCGTCTTGGTTGCCTGCGGAGATGGAGTCGGTGGCGCGAAGACAGAGTCCAGTGCAGGATTTTAATATGTATGTATATACGGTTATTCCAATTGCGCTATATGTAACTGCGTGATAAGATGAAACAATGTCCAGCACATACCAGTGCATCACCATCTCATGTTAGAGAACAAACTGCAGCAGGAAATATCAAAAAAACTACTTCTGAGATCCTTTTAAGTTACCTCTTGCCCATAAAAGGGGCACTTTATTTTTGCATACACCCTCAAAAAGATGTTTTTAACGTGGGAATCGAACGGATATATTTGATTCTCAGATCTGAAGTTTTACTACTTGAGAATGTGGATTAGTACCGGGTGGCCTAGACCAGGTTTCAAACCCAGGCCGAGCCACCCGGCCACTCCCAGTTGATGTCCCCTCAGCCCAACTCTCGAGTCCTGGGGGTTGCTGGTTTCGGAGCATTGCAGCTCAATGCACTTCATCCTCTGAAGAGTTAAGAGCCGAAAATATGCAGAGTGAAACTGTGGACAAGGATGGAACGAGCTGTTGACACTGTTGCGGATGTGTGCGTTTTTATTGATGCAATATTGGCTGTGCGATAGTGAGTCGGGAGTGGGATTTTAAATGAGGGGAGCAGGGCAGACAAACGCTTCACCTGAAATTATTCTGTACCAGACTCTGCCGTTGATGCCCTCGTCGATATCGGTGGCCTGGACCTGCAGGCCACTCAGAGTCGCGCCGTCAATGTCACCCCTTCCTCTCCCGGGGTCTCGATATGATGTTGCATTTAGTCACTTATACATTAAAATCATGCTTTACATTTTATACCAAAACAAAAGTGTAGCGTCACTCTCACAACAAACACATGCTTTGCCTGTAAATCAGATGTGTACTATGTAGCTTACATATGAACAAAAACAAAGCTCCCTCATACAATCTTCAACAGACTGTTAGGGCAAGGTGCTGTTAGTGAGCACCTATTAAGGCCGGCACAGCACATGAGGGTGGTGGGTGGCCAACACCAAACCCGGCAGCCTTTGTCTCTCTAGTGGCGATGTTTACACATCGCACCAGGTGCTTATTTGAGGCTGAGTCGACCTAGGTGAGGCCCAGGACCAGTTCAGATAATCGTCAATGGTGTTGGGCGTGAGCGGGAATCGAACTCGGGTCGCCGGGTTCGTAGCGCAGCGTAGCGCTAACCGCTTCCGCTCCACTAAGCACTGCAACACTCGCTCACGTACACACACACACGCGTACACACACGCGTACACACATACACGCGTACACACAAACGCGTACACACACGCGTACACACACGCACGCGTGCACACATGCGTGCACACACGCGTGCACACACGCGTGCACACACACGCACGCATGCACACACATAACAACAACCGCCATTCGCCACTAAGTGGCGGTGACGTCACCACGACGCTTGTGCCAGGCCATGTGCACCTTGAGGCCACGTGAAGGGTCAAACGCCTGCTGGCAGGAGGTCACGGGGCAGACCCAGGTGCCACGGGTCGACTGACTGAGATGACTGGCTGATGCACCACCTGTGCCCCCTACTGTGCCAACCTGCTGTGCTTTAGCCACTCGGCGCTCCGCTCGTTGTTGTGAGCGTCGCTCCTCCACCCTCCGTTGTTGTTGGAGGGCGACTGCCTCCAACTGCCCAGTAGCGTCCTTCACGAGCCTCCTCCACAGAGGCCGATCTTGACACCGCTGGTACCAGTCATCGGCAAGTCTACTCAGCTCCACGTTCTCCTGTACCACATCACTCCATCTCTTCTCTAGCCCGTGCCGCGCCCGTCTAGCCCCCTCTCTCCGGTCGAACAAAAGCTGTTTCGGCATGCGGTGGCTGGGCATGCGGGCTACATGACCCAGCCAACGCAGCCTTGCCCGCCGGAGGAGCTCATCGATGGGACCTTGCCCAGATCTTTCAAAGATGTGTGAGCTCCTCACACAACCCAGTCTGGTTCGACCCAGGATGGATCGTAGGCAGGCCAGCCTAAATGTTTCTAACCGGCGAAGATGTTCCATTAGGGGGGTCCACGTTTCGCAAGCGTAAAGAAGGGAGGGAATAACCGTGGCCGAGAAGACCTGAAGCTTAGTGCGGAGCGACAGACCAGGTAGCTTCCACACAGCGTTACGCAACCGATGAAAAGATATTGCCGCTCGACTGATTTGGAGTAGACACACACACGCGTACACACACACGCGCGTACAAACACGTACACACACACACGCGTACACACACGCGTACGTACACACACACACGTACGCACACACACAAGCGCGCACGCTCTGCTCGCCCGCATTCCCGTGGACTCGCCTGCAGGATGATGGCGCCGCGCGTGACATTCTCGGGCACGGAGACCTCGTAGCTGCCCTCCAGGAAGAGGGGCCGGTTGTCGTTGACGTCGAGCACCAGCACGTCCAGCGTGGTGGTGCCCGTGCGCCGGCTCCCCGCCGGACCGTTGTCTGCCCGCACCGCGCCCCGGTTAGCGCCAGGGGGCAGCGACACTCGCTGGGTGCAACGTGCCGTGTCCCAATGTGGGGCGACGTGGTGCGCAGTGAAGGGCGGTGCAGAAAAAAGCTATCGTATTGTACGTCTATGTTTCCACGTCTATGCTCCTCGCATTCAGTAACGAACACTGGCCACCAGCGCATATAACTCAACAGTCTACAGGACTAAAATTGTTATCTTGTTTTTGACAGTGCGTATAACGTTAACCACTGAATTCAAACCCTCACTCGTATAATATGCCACCATATGTTTTCTATTCAAGAATGTCTACATTTCCAGTTCACCTGCTAAATGATACATTTGATCGAGTTCCTGTTTAACCAATCACTGTAACTTTGTTCAGCCAATTTATCGATTCCTTCGCTTCACTTGGACGTGCACACACACAGGAGGAGGCATCGTTCTGGGGATAGTTCCGTGAGCGATTCCCCAGCGAGATCAGTGATGATGGAACCCCCCCGTGTCTCTGATGTTCTGAAGCAGGTGGGCTTACTCACCAATGGCCTCGATTACCAAGGAGTAGGAGGCCTTGGTCTCTCGGTCCAAGCTCACGACCGTCCGCACCAAGCCGTCCCTGAAGCCGACGCTGAACTGCCCGTCCTGGTTCCCACCTATCGCCACAAGCCAAGGCCAGTGGAGAAAGTTGCACAACTTAGGGAAAGAAAACCAAGCCCACGTTGTCTCGGGAGGCGTATCACTTTCTCTTTTTTAACCCGTTGAGACACTCAAGAGAGCATTCTTAGCAAGAATGGCCTGGGGTCACCACAATCACGAAGGAAAAGCAAGTAAAATAAAGTACAGCAAACAAAGCAAATATAAATCGGAACAAAACAACTATCAAATAAGAAATCGAAAATGTTGCACAAACATAAATCAATGTTAGACCTAAGTAAAATATTACATTTCCTGCAGTGCAGATCAGCTCGGACAAATAACTTTTAAACTGATCAAAGTAAAATGACCAAATTAAGTTACATAAACTTTAAACGGATATATGGTGACTAAAGTACCGATATGTAAACTGATAAGAAACTCAACATAATCATCGAGCAGCATGTGTTATGACGAAGGGCCATTGCCTGAAACGTCATCTCATGTTTCCTTTTAAGGCCACGGTGTTATTAACGAATGAGGTTTTTTTTTGTTATGATTGCTCGTTCACCAACGCTAACATAGTATTATGTATGTTGAAATTCTGTCACACCATACGTTACCAAACGCGTTAACCGGAGGTGCGGGAGAAGGTCAACAAGATAGACACAAAAAGTAGCTCCAAACAAAAATATTTTCAATCTAGATTTAAAAGTGCATAGCTCCAGTGGCTTATTAATATCGGAAGAGCGTTACAGACTGGTGCAAAGCGCATCCGAAAGCATGCGACGCGGTGACCGCCTTTGTTATGATGGCCAACCAAAAATCCGCTGCTGCGAGGATAACCGGGAGTATCAACAGACAGGGGTCCAAGTGGAATGTGCGGAGGGCACCGGTGATGAAGAAGCTGAGCTCGGCGTTGAGGCCGGAGTCAGCATCTGTGCAGTTGAGGCTGATCACGACGGAGTCCCGGGCCACGCTTTCCATCAGCGACACGGCGGAGCGCGCCGGATGGAACGTCGGCGCGTTGTCATTCACGTCCAGCACTGCGACGAGGTCATTCGGCGGAAATCTCCGTTTAGTATATTTACACGTAAAAATATTAGCAGAGAGAGGGAGAGAGAGAGCGAAGGGCTCAAATATGTATTTACAAACCCGGGTCATGCTTGTGCCCATTCGATTCAGCATAACAATTTCAAGTGGGAAGCAAAGCGTTTGGCCAACGTTGCCAACCGTCCGGCCCCTACTGCTGCACGGAGGTTAGTGAGCCCAGGCCGCCTCCCGTGATCAAAACCGGGTGCTCTCCTGTGGCGAGTTGCTGGTCTCAATCCGGTCACTAATAACTGAACCGAAAACGGTAACATTTTACTTTGGCACTGCAAAGTTAATTTGCCAAAATTCCAGCTCTGCAAATAAAAAATATATATATAGTTTTGACCGTCATGCAATGACGAGCTATCACTGTCAGTAGCAGGGCGGGTGGGAAAGTGCTGTCCCCTACAGTGTGCACAACAGTAGGTCACTTCGATGGTGGTAACTCCGCGATATCCACTTCTGTCGGCTGTTCTCGAGCACAAATAGCCACGCTAACTCTGCGACAGATCCGAATGTGTACAGTAATGTTGTCTTATGACATGACATTGATACATACAGTCAGAATATCATAATCAGAATATTTAAACTGGAGGAATCCAATGAGCTATCAAGCTCTTTTTTTTCACAGATGTCCAGTAGTTTTCACAGACGTGCAGGAAAACAAAACAAAACGAACTGCCGCAACAGCAACAACAACACGGCACGTAGGCGCGCATGATGCGGTCGCTGTACCGACGAGCGAGAGGGTCGTGGTGGAGCTTAGCGCCGGCGTCCCTCTGTCAGTGGCCACCAGTCGGAGCTGGTAGGCCGCCACGGCCTCACGGTCGAGCTGCACGAGGGTGGTGATGAGGCCCGTGGCGGCGTCCAGCTGGAAGTCGGGCCTGGGCAGGGCCGCCGTCATGGAGTACGTCACGTTACCGTTGGCGCCTTCGTCCGGGTCGGTCGCCGTCACCTGGAAGGGGGCGAGCCGTGGACAAGTGAGTGGTAAATGCGCTGGCGGCGGCGTCTCGTGAAGCTAAGCGAGCCTGGTTTAGTAGTTGTTGGTCGTAAGACTACCTGGGGAAAACTTTGACTGCGAGGTGGCCAGGAGATGGCAGTACAGCAGTGGGTTCTTTGAATGCGGAGATATTTGGTGGTTATTAGGAAATGGGCCAGAGCATATGTTGGTACTGTACCACTGAAGGGAACAAACCATAAGAACCGATTTATTTACATGCCTAATGAGAGTGTATTTGACTACACGCTCGTTTTAAATGATAATGGGTTTTTCCCCGTTTTTCTGGAAACAAAACAGGTGTTAAGATGTTAAAACACCAAACTGAAACCTTTTACAATGAATCATGTCTGCATTAACCACAATGCTTGTGGTCAGAATGCAAAAAAAACCACTGATAATATATGCATTGTTCTTGAAACTGATTGGTCCACACCCGAAACCGCTTTCTTTTGAGCCTCGTCTCAAACGGTGTTAGACCAGAGAACGCCAAAAGGCGTACAGCCCAAAGACAATGCACTATCAGAGTAATGAGAGCTCGGGGTAAGCATCTACATCATGGGACCTCGTTTGTAAAAGGTTTCAGGTTGGTGTTTTAACATCTTAACACCTGTTTTGTTGCCAGATTAAAGGGGAAAAACCTATTATCATATTTTGGTACTGGCAAAGTAGGTCCCATGATGTCGTTTTAAATGGTTATAATATGGCTTACTGTTACTGGCCACATCAGGACATTGGAAGCTCCAAGGCGATTATGCCACCTCAGTACTGATAAGTAACGTACAGTATCTGGTCTGGGCTCATGGACTAAACCCCCAGCACGCTGCAGCAACCAGGGCCATCTCTGAAAATCCTCGGTCAACTGCTCTTTGGGGGTTACTCCTCTTTTTCTGATACCCTCGGGTCTGGAATTCATCCCAACAGCCCTCCATGCTGCTGAATCCCCCTTCCACTATTCCACGTTTACCGTCTTCTGTCAATGACTGACCATGTTAAAATGACCAGGTTATTATGTTAGATGTGTATACCTAGCCATGCGTGGACTTTTGTATCCTGTGATGCACATGTCCTAACAGCGTCTTCAGCTGCACTTAGACACTTTGTAAATCTACATCTGAATTTGTGTACGAGTTTTCTCTGGGTACTCCAGTTTCTTATCACACCAATCATTCATTAATGGAAATGGCCAAACTTGAACTTACAAACTCTCAATTTGGAGTCTGCTAATCTATTAGCTGAACTAAATATATACCATATCAACTGGTGAGAAAATTATGTATATGTTTTGGCCATATCAAGGACAAAGATGATAGCGTCCCAGAGATACGGAGTGTGAAAGGAAGGGCAGGTAGCACAAGAGCGGGAAGCTTGGAGAAAGTATGCCAAAGTCACAAAAGATCAGTATTCATCTCATGGCGAATATAATTTCAAATGTCACAAAAATAACTCTGCATGCAAACAAAAAATTAATCCTGTGGCTTTCATTTGGTTGTAATTGTTACAATTTGGATCCAATTCTGTTTGTTGAAGATGGCTCAAGTGTCGTAATGCTTTTAGCCGTTTTGTTCTGAGCGTAAATTGTGTGTGTGCGTGTGGAGGAAAGTCTCTTTCTATAAAAAAATATTGGGGCTCTGGGGCAGGGGACCCATAAATTATAAACTTAATTAATAATTTTTTTCCAGGTAATGCCCACTCAGCTATATAGCTCTTTTTCAAAAGTGACTTGGTCACAAATGATAGCTCAACGAAGTGGCTTACAATGTGGAAATATATAGCAGCAGCCAAATACTCTAAACATGATGTTAATTCTAAATGTGGAGGAAAAAACCGGAGGACACGGATAAAAATCCACGCAACCACGGGGAGAAAATGCAAACTCCAAATATGCAGGCGTCAGGGTCAGGATCGAACCCATGACTACTGTATACCGGGCGAGGTAGTTAACATCTCGCCACCGTGGCACCCCCAAAGAAGAAAGATCATCTCTCACTGGATTTTCACTTTGAAGATGCATTCAGTTTACTTTAGAATGAGACGAAGATAATTATCTCTGAGCAGGTCTGATCGAACTGTTACAAGTGTAGTGCCATGGAATTGGTCACTATGTAGCATAGCGCTGGTTGCTGGCAGAGAAGGAGATCTGCAGTTGCAGCAGCCCTGTCTGTCAGCTGGTCATGTGACAAACCAGAGAGAGGGATGTAGGGAAAAGGTTAGAGAGGGGGCACGAGAGGGAAGCCCGGGAACCTGCTAGTAGGTTCTAGAAGGGGGGCGTGGCCGGGGCAGAGCGAGGCTACACTGGGAGGATAAAAGGGGACCCCGAGCGAAGGTTCGGGGCTGTTGCCTGGAGTGAGATCCCGTCGTGCTATAGGAGTCTTCGCCGCAATCTTCATCTGCTCGGTGCCATCAGTCAGGCAGTCTGCCAGCTGTCCTGACTGGGGGCTGTAGTTACTCTGTGTGGACCGTGAAGGCTATTAATAAATAGGGTGCCTCCTATTCTTAGTGTCTCCGAATCAGTCACTACACAAGAAAAGTAAAATGTAAGTGCCTGTAGGAATCTCTGTTTCATTAAATGTGTTTCTAAAGTGGTTGCATTCAACTCTGCAGGTTATAAACACACGTCGGCTGCACACTGAATTGCAAAAGCAAAACAAAAAGAGCAACACTTAAAAATAAATACACAGTCCTAAAATGCACTTAAGTAATTATCTGGAAAAGCATAACTGATTGTCAAGATTATTTGATTGTCTTGGAACACTTGACTAATTACATTTCAAGGAGTGATGTTTACATTAAGAACACAGGACAAGTAGCTCTGCTAATTTGCAGTTGATTACATAAATATGAAATAGACCATTCTCACGCATTGTTTACATGGCACTGGTGCCCATTGCTTATTTCAAATCAGATTGGGAAATTTGCTCCTCGCATTAAATATCAGGTCAGCAGAGAGCCCTTGTCATAATTTTTTTTGCTTTTTTTAAATCAAGCTCCAGCATTGATTTGGACGTCGGTCATTCCATTGTTGAACAGTGGCCTCCTGCGCATGAGCTGACCTCATCGTTTCGTCTCCACGGTGGTCATCCTCTAAGGCATGTTCTCTCCTTTAAAAGACGAGCTCAGGAAAAGTACATTCGGGGTATTTAGCCTTTGATAGATGTATGCAAATAGGCCGTGAATCAGGCCCCGTAACTTTAACTTCTGACACTGACTAAGGAGGCATCAAAAAAGCTTGGTTTTCTTTCCCATGCCAAAGCCTTCTGAAATTCCGAATGATTGTTACTCCTCTACAAAGCACAAATCAGGACAACGTTGTAATACTGCTATCATATCTGGAGTGTATCACCTGGTTCCTACCTCACTACACTTGATGGAATTCAATGTAGAGCAGTCAGGGTGATCAATGATCCAGAACTCACTGAATAATTCCAGTCATGAACAGTCAGTTACCTCCTTACCACTCTTCTATCGCTGCTGCCATTACTGTTGCCATGAATGACACGCATTGATTCCTCCAACCGTGTTTAGGACCCGGTCTACCAGACCATTTCGTCTCATCCATCCGTTGTTCGACCACCCACACTGCTTCTCTTTATGATTCTTCCCTTGCTCTGCTCCACTTTGAAATTCCCTCCCATTGTCTCTCCCCAAGCTCTTAGAATGACCATGCTCAATTCAAGAAATGCATAAACTCTTACCAATGACGACTTTAACACCACCGTTTGCTGGTGGCGACTTGGAATTTTGGGCCTTTGAGCATGTGATTATTTTTTCAGTCGTAATAATTTCAACTTGTAACGTACCGCTGCCACACAGTACTCGCTCACCCTTGTAGAGACAGGCATGGCTCTGAGGCGCGAGGAGGAACCACAGACGAGCGGGAGAGCAGCCGCGCGTAGAGCCGGCACCAACAATCTGCCAAGCTCTCTGGTCCTCTATACATTAAGATGTTATTGGGAACATTAATGAGTGTTCACATGTGGGAGAAAACCGGAGTACCTGGAGAAAACTCATGCTTTCGAGGAGCAAACAGTCTATCCCATGCAGGTGGAACAGGTGGAGTCCACATTGTGCTGTGCCGACTTCTCCTGGTGACCCGAGGCATGACACCTCGACACCCGTGGGAAGCCGGCCATTGCCAGCGCTGGGCCAACGGGCCACGTGGGCCACCACCGCTTCCCTCACCTGGAAGAGCGTCGAGTTTGCTGGCAGCCCCTCCAGCACCTGCAGCGCGTACGGCAGCCCCACGAAGCTTGGCTCGTTGTCGTTGACGTCCTGCAGCAGCACCGTGACCGTAGCGCTCGCCGTGGCGCGGCGCGGGGGGGAGCCGCCTGGCGGTGGACGGTGGCGTTGGAGGGGGGAGGGCCGATGCGAGTAAAAGATCAGATTTGAGAGCGCAGTCGATCTAGAGCCAGGAAAGGTTTTAAGAAATGTGATTTGAGAAATGAGGGGCATATAGACGGTTGTCTCTTGTGGCTGCCGGTTGATTGGTGCATGGCAGATTGATTAGCTAGGTTTGCCAGTGGATGGGTAGGTGGGTAGCTGTGTGGATGGGTTTGTAAGTGGAGTGAGTAGTCAGGTGCGTAAATAGGTATTATCATCAGCCGTGATGTATCCCATGCTGGATGAAGACCACCCCAAGCCATTTCCATCTCTCACGGTCCTTCGACACATGAATCCATTTAGCCCCTGCACGTGATCTGATTTCATTACTCCATCTCTATGGTAGATGTCCTCTGGGTTGCATTCTGTCCTTTGGCTGCCACTCAATCGTTAGTCTCGACTGATGGCCATCATCCCTTCTGTCGTGCCAAGTCCAAAGCGTCAAACGTGTCCTACGCAAGCCCCACTTACTTTTCTTAACAGGCAATAAAACACGATGTCCTTTACTTGAATATGATAGCTAAGGCCTTTATAACTCAGCTCAGAGGCCAATTAAACATGTATCTTGCAAAACAAACTTGGAAAACGCAATGATTAAGTGCAAGAATATATGGTGCAAAATTTCTAACTATAAAAAGCAACCATAAATTTGTACAGATTGTGAATACGTTTAACGTACATATAGGGCATGTTTATTCTCATACATAGGGCAAAATATTAAATACCCCACATGCATCAACTATTACCACCCTCGGTTTGAATCCCAGGCTTGGATTGAAAATGCATCTCACATAAAACCGATGTTTCCATTCTCAGCACTCGTGATCTCTCTGTTTAAATATGGTATGTTTAGTCAAAAGTACCCACAGTAAATAATCAGAGACTATCACTGTCTTGTCTACACAGCTGATGATAATAATCGTAACTTAGTGGCCATGCGTAGAATTATTTAAATGTTCAGGCAAAGATCTCTTATGTTTATTCCTAGTTGTCATTGTTGCTGTCAGAGGGAGTTCAGACGTGATATATTTATTTGATTAGTGTCCATACCCCAAAAGAACAATTATGCTGATTTTCAAATCTAATCATTCTCAATCTACATCTGATCAAGAACCATTACGGCACTTTAATTGGTTTGGCCAAACAACCCAAGCAGAGCTGTCTTTAAAAAATGAGTATGACTAACTGAGGCTTTCCCGTGTATTATAACAACCGATCATAAGTATATGCTTAAAACATATATGAAACAAAACGAAAACAAGCAGCGGCCCTACACTGCAAAAGTGCCCGTTTTAGTAGATAAAGCAGTGCAGATAAAGCACACACAGAGATGGGGGAGGGGAGCGAGGGGGTTCGGTGGCAGCAGAGTGGGAGGAATTGTGGGAGGGTGTGGAATGGGTCCCGGGAGATTTCGGGGTCAGCGCCACTGGGTCGAGGGAAGGGCGGCCGGGGTCAACTCCCAGGAGCCCCTGCTGTGCCGAGGGCCCACGGCGCCACAGCGTGATTGAGTTACAAGCTCCGATATTGAGAACTAAATTATGAAGAGTGGGAAGCCTCCCTGCAGAGCTTGAGGTGAGAGAGAGAGGGAGTCTGCGAGAGATTAGGGGTTTTAGACTTGGTGGCTGTGTGGGATTAGGATTATTGTTGAGGTGAGATTAAAATCATTAGTGGACTCTGAGCCCTCTGGGGATGACAGCGTGGAGTTGGAATTACCTATCTCTGTTTTCCCCCTGCATTAAACCCACACCTGAAGAGAGATAAAGTGTTTTCACTCACGGATACGATCTGAAGGTGTTGACCCATACAGCTTTGAGATGTACAAGTTCAAGCACAAAGCACAAGTTTCTTGCATATTCATCCCAGTAACCTCTATGTCAACATTTGCAAACGTAGGCTCACTTATTTTAAACTGTTTTCCTATCCATTTAATATTTAAGTAAATATAATTGATGTAATTGTTTTTATTTCAATTATTAAATTACTGTACTTAATTCCAAACCAGGTGAGATCAAACTGAGACTAAACATCTTTTTAGAATTTTGATTTAAAGCTTTCTTGACTGCAGTGATTCATATTCTTGGTTCTTTCGGTAAAGTCACGTTGAAGGGAAACAATAAAATACACAGTCATCATCACCTGATGATGACTGCTTGTGTTGCAGTCGAAACGTCGTGAGAATTTTATTGTTTTATATATATTATTATTTTATTGTTTCCCTTCAACGTGACTTTACCGAAAGAACCAAGAATATATATCTTTTTAGAAGACAAACCTTGATTCATTAGATACAATGCACATTCAATAAGATCTGTGAAAAGTAATATCGTTCAGGGTGGGCTTGTTATGCAAGTCAGAAGAAACCTTAAATACAAAGCATGAAGTGACAGTTTGCCAATGATCGATGAAGATTAAAGATTTTGATTTAAAGCTTTCGTGACTGCAGTAATTCATATTCTTAGTTTTTTCGGTAAAGTCACGTTGAAGAGAAACAACAAAATAACAAAATATATATAAAACAATAAAAAATTCTCACGACGTTTCGACCATAACTCAAACGGTCATCATCAGGTGTGTCGGTTTGCATAAATTTCTTTTGAAAACGGCATATTTATTTATTTATATATATATGAAAAATATAACGTTTGCGTCACGCGCAACGATTGGCAGTTTGCCCAGGACTAGTCCATCTATTTTTTGAAAAGAGGAGGGGGGAGACGAAATTTGTTTTCATGTATGCTGTCTGAAAGCCACTGTAAGCGTGAACAATCAATCAAGAACTGAAATGATTTATCAAATCTTTCCAATGATTGCTAAGATAGAATCCATCTTCTCGGTTGAAATTGTCTCTGTGCTTGTATATGTGGATAGCCTCATGAACGAATCTCTCATGGAAGCCAGATGGCTTACAAAGAACCTCCGTCTTGGAAAAGTCAATGGCATGTGAGCCTACTGAATTAGAACAATGATCTGCTACGGCCGAGGTGTTGGTCCTACCGTGTTTAAGGTCTGTTTTATGTTCACGAATGCGGTCCGAGATATGGCATTTGGTTTCTCCAATGTAACTACTACCACAGAGGCAACTTAGTTTGTAGACACCAGGGTATTGTATGTCCGGAATCACATCTTTTACAGACGGAACCAGATCACGGATTTTATGTAATGTGTTGAAACGGACCTGGATCTTGTGTTTATTCAAGATTTTGGAGATCTTTTTTGTGATCCCAGCAATGTAGGGTAAAGTGATGGTTTTGAAAGGCTCCTCAAGAGGGTTCTTCTTCATGGTTTGAGTGATAGCTTTGCGGATTGTATAGTCGGAGTAACCATTAGCCCTAAGAGCTTGGTGTACGTGCTTGAGTTCACTGCTTATGTGTTCCTGGTCGGATATGCATTGGGCTCTATGATACAGAGTCTTGATGAGAGAATTCTTCTGTGATGGATGGTGGTGGGAATCCGGTTTCAGATAAGCATCCGTATGGGTAGCTTTCCTGTAGACAGAGTGGCTCATTGAACCATCAGGTCTCTTTTTAATTAGGACATCCAAAAAAGGTATCTTGCCATCTATTTCGACTTCCATGGTAAATCTGATGGCTGGGTGTATGGAATTGATGTGGTCGAAGAATTGGTCTAGAGCAGGCCGGCCATGTGGCCAGATGACAAAAGTGTCATCCACGTACCTCTTCCATAAGGTTGGGCGCAGAGTGGCAGTCTGGATGGCGTCAGTCTCAAATTTCTCCATGAAAATGTTAGCTATAACTGGAGAAAGGGGGGAGCCCATTGGGGTGCCCTCAGTTTGTTTGTAGAAAGTTCCATTCCAAGTGAAGTATGTATTGGTTAAACAGTGTCTCACCAGGGGGGGTACCTCAGTGTTTAGTCCTTGATGAACCAAGTCTTCAATGATTGCAATGGTGTCAGGTACAGGAACCTTGGTGAATAAGGAAACTACATCAAAACTGACAAGCAGGTCGTCTGGGCACAGGGAAATACCCTTGATTGTTGATACCAGGTGAGTAGAATTTTGTACCGCAGAGGTGGTTTTTCCAGTGAAAGGACGCAGGATTTCAGACAAAAAACGAGCTAGTTTGTAGGTGGGGGAGCTGATAGTAGAGACTATGGGACGAAGAGGTGTATCAACTTTATGTATTTTTGGTAAGCCGTATAATCTTGGTGGCCTGGCAGCAGAAGGTTTCAACGAAAACTGTTTAGATTGATCAATTAATGCGGTTGAATCAGAAATTATTTTGTTGGTTTGTGTGACGAGGCTGTTGGTGGGATCTCTTTTTATTTTTGTATAACTACCATCGTCGAGTAATTCTTTAATTTTGTTGTTGTATTCTATTTTATCCATGATGACAGTAGCATTGCCTTTGTCAGCTGAGAGAACTACAATATCATTCCTCTTTTTTAATTTATATAATTCAAAACGCTCATCTTTGCTGAGGTTGCTAGCTGGCATCTTAGCGTTTTTGAGGGTTGCAGCGATTTCAGATCTTGCTACGTCTGCAGCGATGTGACCCAGGCCCCTGAGAGCAACGTCTACTTGGGCAATTATATCATTAACTGGTATGTGTTTAGGTGTGACTGCAAAGTTTAGACCTTTAGCTAAAACGGATTTCAGACCATCGGAAATAGAACTGTTACTGCGATTAATTACGACTTTATTAACGTCTAACTTTTTGGTGTATGGGTCCGGTCTTTTGTTGAAGAGGAGGTTAAATTTGGAAATCAGGTTTTCCTTACATTTGGTCGACATAGTAGCAGCTGAAGAGGCAGTCATATTGTCTACATGTTCCCAATCCGATGTGGACATTATTGCCGTCAATGATAAGTGTGATTTGTAGAGTGTCTTGTCTAACTGATCTAGTTCTGTGCGTATAAGTCTGATTTTTTCTGAGATAAGAGCTAAGCTAGTTTTGAAAAGAATTCGTTTCGCATTAGAAGAAGTTACAGT